TCCTCCCATAGTGCACTTCTCTGAGCACGAGGCCGCCACGCTGGCAGAGCGGCTTAAAGGTGAGAGGAGCCGATCAAACCGTAAACCGATCAATTTACAGAAATGCTTTTTTATAGCACATTTCCACAAAAACCATTAAAAAACATCCAGTCGTTGAAATAAAAATAAAAATCTAAATCTAAAATACACCTAAATAGAATGGAACTGGCAGTGTGGGTTACGAGCACCAAAAGGGTGCATGAAAGGCAGCAGCAAACAGAAAGGTCTTTAATGTGGATTTAAAGGAGCTTCGGGAGCTTGTGTGGAGGAGAACAACTGAAGCTGCTTCTCCATCTTTAGTTCTGACTCAGAAACAGAAAGTGGACCCGTCCCAGACGACCTGAGGGTCCGTGGTGGTTCATCAGGTATCAGCAGATCAATGAACACTGTGCCCTCAGCACACTGTGTGATGTGTGGATGTTCTTCTGAAGCCCCCCCCCCCCCCCCCCCCCCCTTCCTCCTTATTTCCTGCTGTAGCTGATTTTTATCGCCACGACTGAAAATAACCCAGTTTTACAGCAGAAAGCAGTTTTTCTTCACACCGAGCAGAGCTGTGTTTATTCACATTTATCACAGAGACTACGGAGTCGTTTCAGGAAGCAGATTAGAACATTTAATAAATAACAACTTTACTGTTTATCAGTAAAGGAACAATAACACTTCTACACAACATAGAAATACAATAGTGTCACGGTTTGGGTTCATGTCTGGTTTTATTTTGTAGTTTCTTTCCTCTGTCCTCCCTGGGTCACGTCACTTCCTGCCTTGTCCTGTCGTCCCCTGTGATTGTCTGTCATGTCATGATAGTTTCCACCCTCGTGTATTCAAGCCGTGTGTGTCTCTTGTCACTGTTGGCGTCGTTGTCTATCGTCGTGGATGTCTCTGGTTCCTGTCTGCCTTTTGCCCCACTTCCTGTGTGTGTTCTCGCCCGTTGGCTTTTGCTTTGCTTCCTTTTTGACTATTAAAGTCGTTTTTGCTTTTGAACTCTGCATTTGAGTCCTGCCTCCCACGCATCCCTGACAGATAGTGATACAGAGGAAATACAATAGTAATACAGAGGAAATACAATAGTAATACAGAGGAAATACAATAGTAATACAATATTAAAACAATAGTGATAAAATAGTAATACAATAGGAACACAACTTCAATACAATAGTAACGCAATAGTTCCACTATTGTTATACAATATTAACACAATAGTAATACGATGGCAGAGCAGGTGAAAAGCAAACAGTGCGTCTATAGTGTCTCATGTGAGGAACCTGTTGCTTGGTAACGGTGCACACACACACACACACACACACACACACACACACACACACACACTTGTACACTGTTGTGCTCAGGTAGAAGGTTTATTGATGCTCACAGGAATTAAACTACCGAAACGTTGTGCCGCCGCTCATCCGTCCTCCGCCTCCTGACACAAGGCGCCGGTGTCGTGTGATTGGCTCCTCGTACAGCGGCAGGATTGTGTGTCTGTGTGAGGCGGTTCATCTTCTCTCTGCAGGCCTCTTAGCGCTCTGGTCCAACGGTGCACTCGGTGGAGGCTTTGTTGGTTTTGGAGGATCACAAATGCTGTCTGTGCTCAGCGGCTGAGCGGCGGTTCGTGGAGGCGGGAGAAGAGAAGCGTTTGATTCCTCACGGCCGCTCGGCTGTTTGTTCAGCGCGACTGAACGTTAAAACCACTTCCTCCTCCTTCAGACCCAGAGCCCCACAGAGCGCCAGTCAGTGGTCGTTCTGGGTGGTTATTGTGGTTGTACTTGGTTGTAGATTTTTATTTATTTGACCTTTATTTAACCAGGTAAAATCATTTGCTGTCCTGCTCCTAAATGGTGGAAGGAGGTCTCTGAAGACATCAGGACCACAGAGAGCCTTCACGTCTTCAGACTAAAGACACACCTCTTCAGACTCTACCTCCACTAACACACTAACTAACTGCAGCACTTACATTGGACTTATAATGGTTCTTATCTACAGCATATTGCTCTTCTGAGTTTGTTTCCTTATGGTTAAATACACTTATTGTAAGTCGCTTTGGATAAAAGCGTCAGATAAATGACATGTGATGGAATGTAATGTAAAATGAAAGGAGTTATAACCAAACACAGTACGGACTTTGGGAATGATGAGCCAAAATGAAGGTGGTGGATCTTAAATAGCGATTGCTGTCAGAAATGTGCAGAAGATGTGAGAGGTAGCAGTGGTCATTCCCACAATGGATTTGTAGACCACGAGCAGCCAGTGTTGTAGTCACCTGGTATGATGGGGGGGCAATCCACCAATCTGTACAGATCACAGTGGTGGGTGGTGAAGGGCGTCCAGTTTTCTGAGGGTGGACTTTTATAAATTATATCGCCATAATCGAATAGAGGAAGGATTTCTAATTGGTTTAGTTGGTTGTAGATGAAGATGATTATAGTTGGTTGTAGACGTTTATAGTTGGTTGTAGACGTTTATAGTTGGTTGTAGACGTTTATAGTTGGTTGTAGATGATTATAGTTGGTTGTAGACGTTTATAGTTGGTTGTAGATGATTATAGTTGATTGTAGACGTTTATAGTTGGTTGTAGACGTTTATAGTTGGTTGTAGACGTTTATAGTTGGTTGTAGATGATTATAGTTGGTTGTAGACGTTTATAGTTGGTTGTAGATGATTATAGTTGATGATTATAGTTGGTTGTAGACGTTTATAGTTGGTTGTAGACGTTTATAGTTGGTTGTAGACGATTATAGTTGGTTGTAGACGTTTATAGTTGGTTGTAGATGATTATAGTTGGTTGTAGACGTTTATAGTTGGTTGTAGATGATGATAATTTGCCGTTGTTGGTTGTAGACGTTTATAGTTGGTTGTATTCGGCGGTAGTTTGGGTGTGGTTTAAGGTTACAGGTGTGTGGTTTCAGTTTATATTTAATTATGCTTCGGGATTATAGTTTGTTTTGAAAGAGATACCAAGATGATAATTAATATTTTCCTTCTGCTGTCCTCAGAGGACCATAAATTCAGCGAAGCGACGGCGGTGCTGTTCACCTGGATCGACCGTGGCGAGGTCAACCGCCGGACCGCCAACCACTTCTACTCCATGATCCAGTCGGCCAACAGCCACGTCCGGAGGCTGATGAGCGAGAAAGCCCAGCACGAGGAGGACATGGAGCATGCCAAGGAGATCTTCAAGAACGCCCTGCTGGCCATCCTCTACCAGTGTAAGGACCTTTTTACCATAAAGACCAGTCGGGCAGACCCTCTGAGGTAGGTTCCTCCTACAGCTCCATGTGTTCCTGGGGGTCTTCTCACGGCCAAACCGTTTGGAATCAACCAGCAAGTCATCTTAGTTCATCGGCTTCTTCTGCGCTTTACGAAACAATTCACATACATATTTAAATCCCTTTATTTTAAACTCCAATATGCAGTTACAGCGAGTTTCTCTTTCAACGAGCTCTGCTTTCCACCTCAGGAGGCTACAGTTAAAGTTATTTATTTATATATCATATGATCATCCAACAATGTGAATTGTTTAAATAAATAATAATGAAATTACATACGAAGCCAGTTGTAATGTAATCTAAGTCTAAAGTGAAATAGTGCAGCAGGAGAACAGTTTGTAAAGTACGTATTATATTAATATTGCGTCTAATGAAGGTTGTGATATTGAAAGTTCATAGGTCGCGAAGATGTGAAACTCTATAGAACTGGGGCCAATAATCCGCTCACGAGTTCTGGATTTAATCTAAAGAGAGTTACGCCAGGATGAGGTGGAGCTGCTCACCGACGTGGTGGATCCGATCCGTTATCTCACAATGAGTCATTGGCTCTGCAGCTCGTCGCCATGACGACCCGCCCCATCAGGCTCCAGGTCTCAAACGCAGTATGATAAATATCGTTCCCCATGATGACTTTATACTTGAATGATATTACTTTTGTACTACAGGATCGAAGTATTAGTATTTGATCGCAGTACTCCTCTTTGTCTCTAGCTGATCAATGATCTCTCCTCGTACGTTCACCTTAACGTTAATTTTCATACGATATTATATACAGTGTTGTATCAGAAATGCGATCGTAGCCAATAGAAAGAAGAAACAGGTGAAGAGAACTAGAGAATTTACCAAAGAATAGTAAAGAATCTATTTAAATGGCTTAGCGGAGCGGCCTTCAACCAAAGGGAACCTGCAACAGCTCAGTCCAGAAACACGTGAACACGAAAAGCAGATCACAAAGTGGGTCGGAGATCTGAAGGAGCCTGATGATGAAATATTATGCAGGTTTAAGCAGGAATCAGCTCAGGTTGAGTATTTGTGAGGAACACTTTCAAAGGCAACATTTAACCTCAGGACATTTGGCTTCAATTCACTTTCACTGTAAAGCTCCTCCTCCTCGAGGCTCAAGCTCCGCCTCCGCTTTGGTTAAATGTTGCCCTGGTCAGTCGAACAGGAAGTGAAGCAGCACGTAGGTACGGGGCGGCAGCCGGAGAGACCTGATGGTCACGTGATCACACATCAGTGTACGGACCAGAATCATCTGCAGAAGTTCTGCTGACAATCACAGATCATCATTTTTCATGTTGGTCAAGACGTGTTTTCTGGAAGATAGAAGTGACTTTCCTAAAATGTTTGTGACTGGACTCCACGTTGTGTCATCATGTGCTCAGTGACTCTGCAGGACTCAGAGGAACATCTGGTCTGAAGGACCCACAAGCATGTGTGGATTTGACTAAAATGACAACATGACAACAACAAGAACTGACCTGCCAATCAGCGTGTAGCCCCGCCCTATAAAATCCCCTCAATCTCTAGGACGTCCCCCCCTACGACCAGAGGAGTCGCCCCCTGCTGGTCACTACAGAGAAGTAGAGTCATTTCCTCATAGACGTCTATGGGAGCAGAGGAGTCGCCCCCTGCTGGTCACTACAGAGAATGCAGCTTTAACACATGATGGTCTGGCTTCTCTGGGTGTCTCCCGACTGTTCCTATGACAACCACATCAGAGAGCTTTCTCTTGTTCACAAGTTGGATTCTGACTGACATGAATACAAGCCAAAAAAAAACCACTCCACCTCCGCCTGGCAGACGAGCTGAATGAGTTCTACTGCAGATTCGAAAGACAACATCCTGATCCCATCCCCCACAGCTCCACCAACCTGGTGTTCACTGACATCTTCAACACCTCCCTGGAGACCTGCCACGTACCAGCCTGCTTCAAGGCCTCCACCATCATCCCTGTCCCCAAGAAGCCCAGGATCACAGGACTCAATGACTACAGGCCCGTCGCCCTGACCTCGATTTTCTAAAAAAAAATTTACTCAGAGGTTGCTAATCACTTCCTACTTTATTTGATAATTAAAGAAAATCAACAGATGAATTACCTTCTCTAATTTTTTACAAGAGAAAAAAAATCTTTGTCACAAATATGATTTTCTATGAACATGCAAGAACCAACGCAGCTTGCATTTCAACACAATATGGAAGTAGCCGATGTAAACAAAATATGAAACAGATTCATTTTTCTTTTAAATGAAAAAAAAGCTGCTCTTAGTCTCAGACTGGTCCGTATTTGTAAAATATCGGAAAAAGTCCAAATCTGTGAATATCTTGCCAACTTTCAATGCGGATCGACTTTTTGTAAAATGGAAATAATGAGGTAAGATATGCGCAGGCTCCTCCATAGTTCGGTAAAGTTATTAGATATTCAGATTCAGACTGACGGACCGGTCTGCGAGCTGGACGCATTGCTCTTAATGTGCCGGTAATGATGGTAAATGATGCTTGTAGCTGGTTGTCATCTCCACTACGGTTACCGAAGGGGGGCGTTTGTTTTTTCACAACGTTTTATCTCATAATCTCAACTTTCTATCCCCTTTCTTTAGTGCGGAAATGGGCTTCAGGTGTAGAGACCATGGTGACTGGCTCCGCCCCCTTACTGTCAAAACGAACAACAGCGAGCGCGTAGAAAACACCTTCGAGCGCGAGCAGAGATTCACCTCGCGAGCGAGAAAGTTCACGCTCCGCGAGGGAGCAAATATCTCGCGCGAGACAGACTTTTTTTAAAAATTCCGATTTTTTCTAGCAGCGCCTTTGACAGACGCACTCCTCCCATCTGTCCCGGTGTAGCTCCACCTGAGCTCAGGAGGACACTGTGAGGACGCCCTGAGGACAGCGTGTGTCCTGTTAGCATCAGTCATTGCTACAACGCTACATAAACAGCTTGCTTTGTCTTGACCCCCCCCCTTCTCCTCCTCTTGCTCATCCTCCCCCTCGTCCTCCTCCTCCTCCTCCTCTTCCTCTCCCTCCCCCTCCTCCTCCTCCTCTTCACCCCAAAGTCGAGCAGATCAAAGCCGTTTTCAACGCTGCCACCCGGCAAAAGGCTTGGGACCATTTCTCAAAAGCTCAGCGCAAGAACATAGACATTTGGAGAAAGCAGTGTGAGGTTAGTGAACCATCTCTTCTCAGAGTCCCACAGGAGACAGACAGGAGACAGGAGACAGGCCTCTCCTAAGATATGATGTCTCTGAAATGTGTGAGACATCGCCATGGCAACAGTGATTTCCAGGGTTCAGCCTCAGATCACTTACTCAAATATGGATGAGGAGGAGAAGAAGAATTCAGTGTTTAGTCTCGCTCAGTAAACTGCAGAATTAAAACCAACCAGACCTGAATATTGTGGTCATGTAATATTTATGTCTGTGAGAATAAAATGAAACGAGTTAAAAGAGTTAACTAACCAACGGTTAACTGAGCAATAGCTATGAGAGGTAAAATCTATGTTTTTATGAATGGAGTCTGGTGTGTTTGAGCTTCAGCTCCTCATCAAATATCGATCGTCTCTGTTGTTTGAGGGTTTGAATGAATTGAATCTAAATTGAATGAATGAACTGAACTGGTTGTATTCCTGCACTTTGAATCATCTGGAGCCTGCAAATAGGTCAGGTGAGCCTCTTCTGAACCAGGTAAGACTCAGTGATGAGACAGTCCGTGTGATGGTCCTCCTGTGGTGGTCGCAGCGTGGTAAGTGTCGCCACGGCAACGGCTTGGGCCGCCGGAGGACGAGAGGAGGCGCAGATTTCTGTAGAAGCCAATGGAGAGAATGCAGCTTCAAGACGGAGAATATACAGTATATATATTTATATATAAATACATATACTGTATATCCTCTCTGTGTCATCTATTGGCGTCCCAGGAGCTGAGGAACGCTCACAGTGAGGAGATCATGGGTATCAGACGGGAGGAGGAGATGGAGATGTCTGAAGAAGACAACGAAGAGGAGGAGGAGGAGGACACTCCCTGCAAGAGGCTTCGCACCGAGGACACCGGTACGCATGAGCTGATGACATCATCAATCCTGTTTCCTGTGTGTCACCTTCACACTAAAGCCTGAAGGTTCAACTTATTTCCTTTCCCTCCTTGTCGTCTCCTCCTCTTCCTGCTCCTCCTACCCGCCTCCTCTCTTCGCCTCCTCCTCCCACAGGCGCATGTGATCAGACTCATGCATCTCTGAAGGAGGAGAACGACTCTTTGCGTTGGCAGCTGGAGGCGTACAGGAACGAGGTGGAGCTTCTGAAGAGGGAGCAGCGAGGAGGAGGAGCAAGAGGAGCAGGGAGACATGAGGAAGATCCTCCAGTGACTCCCAGCTGTGAGGTTCCGATCCAGATACTGCAGCAGAACATGCACCACTTGCAGCAGGTGGGCCGGCTTGGTCTGGAAACCGATTTACCCCCCGGTTACATACAGACGTATACGACGCACACAGACACACACACATCCTGACCACATGTTGGTAGGTCACTCATTTGTCGTCCTCTTGTTGTTTATATATCGTCCCTTTAAAAAAGAATGAAACTAGGACTTGTTTCTATTTACTGCTGTTAATATGTAAATGTTAATAATATATGTGCATAGCTTGTTGTTGCAATGAAAGCACCACAGAAGAAGAAGTGATTGGTTTTCCTGGGGTAATGTGAGGTCACATCCTCCACTTCTTCATTCATTTGATCGATCAATAAGTTAATAAAGTCACCTGATCATCAGCTGATCTCTTCCATCTCTAAAGATTCAAAGTTTGTCTTCCAGCAACTCCTGAGTCTGCAGGAGCAGCTGAGGAGTAAAGAGGCCGAGCTGCAGGAGGCCAGGGAGGAGCACCGCTACCTGCAAGGGGGCGTGGCCCACCTGAGAGACCAGGTGAGTAGGACGGGTCCCAAGGGTGCCCACACTTCTCCAGCTCGCAAGCTACTTTTCAACTAACCAGGTCAGGAGATCCACCCCCTCCCCTCCGCGCCGGGGGGTAAATACCACGCATGCGCAGCGACGTGATGACGTGAAGTCATTTCTTTTCTCTGGTTCTGCCTTTGAGATGGACTGGATGCGATGGACCTATTGGGCACCCCTCATCTAAAGCGGTGGAGTTATCCGTCCCTCAAGGACGATAGCTAATAACTATTCCAGCTGGGATTGGAATTGTACCTCCTGGTCTAATATCAACCACCTTGACCTCTGTGGAAAAGGTCACAGGGTTCAGGACAGGTGGATACGAGGGCTCATGAGCAGTTAGGAAAACGCAACCCAAGGGAATCCGAGCTTTGTGTCTAATAAGTCCCATGATGCATCAGGCCTGTGTCTCCCCACACTAACTCCTGTAACTCCATCAATCAACGGCTGAACTGTGTGGCTTTAACGTCCGGTTTGTCTCCACGTGTCTCCAGCTGCTCGCTAACGGAGACGTGGTGGACCGGACCAACGGAGACCTCCACCAACCGGTACCGCTCGTCTTCTTCTGTGGTCCCGAACATAAGCACAAATATATACAAATATATATGAATGTGTGTATATATATAGATACGCACATTCATATTTACTGCATCCAATACTTTTCATGTGTAACACAAACGTATATATATATATATATATATATATATATATATATATATATATACTTCTCCCTGTGCGCAGTTACATGTGTCATTGGGAGAAAATCCATTTTTCAGATAAAAAAAGTTATTTCTTTCCCATTTCTCTGCGGCTTGATACTAAGTGGCCGCGGTGGTTGAGCACCTCACACACACACACGCGCACACGCGCACACACGCACACACACACACACTCACACACTCACACGCGCACACACACACACACACACACACACGCACACGCACACACACACACACACACACAAATGAACTTCTGACCTCAGATCTGCTGAACTAGAAGCTGAAACATTCCGAGAGCTACAAAGCTTTTTATTCAGAATCATGTGGGTGTGTTTTAGTGCTCGTTGTCCTCAGTAGTACTCTGGTGTGTACTCAGTGTGTATTCATGTGTTTTTGATGGGGGAAGTAGTGGGATTATAGTCAGTAAAGTCAGTAAAAATGCCAGTAAAACTAAGTAGGATCATCACATTCCTCAACCAGAAGCCGTGGATGAACAGAGGTTTGCCTGCTGCTGACGGCACGAGACCTGCTTTCACATCACGTGATGCTCAGGCCTACAGCTCCGAGCGGAGCCACAAGCTAAAGGTCGCCGCGTGTTTCTGCGTCTTTACGTGTCGACGCACTGGTTTCACTTCCTGGTTGTAAAGTCCTGCGTGTGTTGCAGAGCGATTCACCTCCAGAACAACAGGTGGAGTCACGTGTTTTGTAGAAGACGACCTGGAGAGTCACGTCTTTGTGTGTGGAAGTCGCTGGTTGCTTTATTTATTGATCATAGACTTTATTGCCCCGTGCATCCACACTGCTGCTCTTCATCAAGGACACATTTGTCCCGTATTTTCCTCCACGACTTTGTCCCCCTCGTTGGTGGAGATCTCCCTCCATGAATCAGAGGCCATCCGGCGTCCTCATAGTCCGCCAATGACGGCTTGTACAAGAGCTCATATTTAAAAGCTCTTCAATCTGATCCGTTCTCTCGTAAACGTTCTTCCTTTTAATAACGGCCGTATTGTGCTGTGAAAACGGAGACGTGAGACTCTAAAGGACGTAGTCAGAGACCAATCACAGCCTGCTGCTGCAGGACGCTGCAAAGCTTTAGACGCTAGTCTACAAAAATGGGTCGACGCACGTAAGGAGGTGTGAAAAAAAGACACGCAAGGGACACGCAGGGGACACGCAAGAGACACGCAAAAACTGCTCCATGTCTTTTTCACACTGTACATTTATTTTAAATATACTCTGCACTTTATCTGCTCTTTTGCATTCTGGTTAGATACTAAACTGCATTTTGTTGTCTCGGTATTTGCAATGACAATAAAATGAAATCTAACCCTAAAAAAGTATAAATACTGGATGAGCAATGAAAGAGAGAATAGTGAGGTGTTATCAGCTAGATGTACCAGCTGCTCTGCTTCACACGTGTAACGTGTGTGTGTGTGTGTGTGTGTGTGTGTGTGTGTGCGTGTGTGTGTGTGTGTGTGTGTGTGGTTGCCTAGGCGATGAATGGATGTGCTCCCTCATCAGTCCACTGCAGAGAGAAGAGAGAGAGGAGAAGTGAGGTCGTCATGAGAGGAGGCGTGGCGTCGGAGAAGGAGGCTCTGCTGCTGGGTGAGTAACTGTGCTCATGTACATATACACCTACATGAATATATATATATGTATGTATATCCACTGTTGTCATAGTTACGGGTGATAACACATGTCGGGTTGCACTGAAATATTAGACGGGAGACGAGACAGTCGGCACTGCCAATAATAGGGAATAAATGAAGGGAGAAGTCTCAGGGGGCCGTTTTCTCACAGACGTCTATGGGACAACGAGGTGGTCACTGGTGGTCACCTGGTGGTCACTGGTGGTCACCTGGTGGTCACTGGTGGTCACCTGGTGGTCACTGGTGGTCACTGGTGGTCACCTGGTGGTCACTACAGAGAATGCAGCTTTTAACACATGGAGCTTTGACTTCCTCTTCTTGCTGGACATCGGCAGGAGTGCTCTCCCAGTAAGCTCCCCAGTAGGACTACATGGACCCACTGGGACTGCCAGTGGAGCGTTTAGAGGAGCAGCAGTGGGGGGGTGGTGGGGGGGTGGAGGGGGGGGCCCTTCAGCCCAGAAGCAGAAAATCAGCCCGAAACACAAACTGTCTCTTCTTCTCTGCTCCCTATCTGCGTCTCACTGGCTGAATCCATTCCTGCCTCAGCAGCACATTCATCTCTCTTAGCCGAGCCGAGGAGGAAGGTCGGTGCTTCGTCTTCCTCTCCCTGCTTTTATTCTGCAGGAGACGTTTAAAGACACACATACTCACTCAGGAGGAGGACAGTGTTCATGGGAGTAATCCTCTGATACGTTATTCAACCTTCTTCTCTTCTTCGCTCTGATGTGAGAAACAGCAGAGGAACCGATGATGACTTCAAACCAAACTTCATCACGTACAGATTTTCCTCATGAAGCCTTATCTTATCTTATCGGTGTGACCCTGTGACCTTGAAGCTCCTCCTCCTCTAGTCTTTAAACTAAGAAGGAAACCTCCATGATGATTTCTAAGCTGAGAACATTAGCACCTTAATGGAGTAAGAAAACAATCAGACTTTTCACTCATGTTCATCATGTTGATCGTGATTACATCACAGCTGAATCAGTTTATTTGGGGTGATGAAGCTGTAATAAACCATAAATTAAAATTAAATATTAAAACAAAAATGTAAATTATAGGGAATAAAGGCTGGCGCATGTTTCTGTGTCTTTACGCACCGTCGTGTCGACACACTCGCTTCCATTCATGTTGTTGGGCGAAGAGGCAAAAAAGGAAGCGATTAATCGCATGACTTATTCACATGTATTCATCACTTATCTACTTACAACTAAACAATTTGTTTCTTGTTTTTAGTGAACTTGATCAGCAATGGTTAGTGAATCTTAATGTAACTCTTCCCCAAAAATTGTTTCTTGAAGTGGACAAATTAGAGACAACACCTTGGGTTTTAGGAAAGCCAAGGAATGATTTAGGGACATTTAATTGAGAAACGAATTGCCAGATTAGGAGATAAACCAGCGTATTAACAGAACAATATTTACTAGCAAATAAATCGGAACAATATCAGAACAATCTAACCGGCCCTTTCGGAGCAACAGCAACACGATATAAATGTGTTTTCTTTTCATTAGTGTGGTAATCAGGTGGCAGCATCAACGTCTAACGCGTTAACATGCCCACATGTTATATATACACATATATATAATGTGTTTAATGGTCTTCTCTCTGCAGGCGTCATGTCCACCTTCCTCCATGTTCATCCGTTTGGAGCCAACCTGGAGTACCTGTGGTCCTACATCCAGAGACTGGACACTAAGGTGTTCCTGCTCTGTTTGCTAAACATATCATAAATCATCCACTTTTATGTGTATACATATACATTTGTGCAGTCTGATTATTTACTGAGCTGCCTCTCTGTCCCCCCGTCTGTCTGTCCTCAGGTGTCTGCAGTGGACCTGGAGCGTCTGATGGTTCGTCTCCCCAACATGTTCAGACAGGAGCTGAGTGGCGTTGGAGCGACTCTGGAGAAACGGTGGAAGTTCTGCGGCTTCGACAGCCTCGGCTCAGCGTGACACAGGAACCATGCATACGCACACACGGACTGGGACACGCACACGCTATCGGTGTGCGTCGGCGTCCTGAGCCCAGTTGGCTGTATCAGCGTGTGGGACACTGAGGAGACGACCTTGTTCTGCTTCATCTGACCTTCAGGTTGGACCAGCATCCTGGTCCTCGGCCATCCGGATTTAGACAAGAAAGAAGAAATACCAAAGTTTCTGAGAAGGGTTTGATTCCTAATGTCATTTAATTTCATGGATGGATGATTACGAGACACGTTGTCTTTCAATCTGTCATCGCTCTCCGTGGTGCAGACGGATTGTTCTCAGAGTCTGATTCTTCTAACAGTTTGTTTGGGATGTAAAACATTAAATATTAACGGGCTATACGTTCAACCAGTGAAAAATTCCGGAAAATGCAAAACATATCATTTGTTTTGATTCTTTCGAAACCGAAATCTAATGAGCTCGGAAGTTACGTCTTTATTTAAATATGGTACAATTATAAAGGTGATTTTTATATTATTGTCTATTGGACTTAGTACATCATATTTCTCTGTTCACGGTGGTCATGTCTTAATAAAAAGAAGATAATTTTTCCTACAGTTTTCCTGCAATGATTATAACTGGAAGAGGTCAAATATTATTATTGTGATTATTATAGGAAATAATTGGGATGACAAAAACAAGATAAAGAGTCTTCAAAGGGTGATATAAGAGAAGTGACAATGTTTTATGAAGAAGCTGATGTTGCATCTGTATTTAAATATGTTAATAGCTGAGTAGGTTCTTGTTAGCTTCAGTCTTTCTGAAGAAGAGGGGACGCTGTTCTGTTTCAAAAGACTCCAATGCTGTCAGACTATAAATGATGATAAACGGATTTTGTACGTTACTTCGTTAAAGTTAGAGTACTCTTTTTTTTTGTCAGCAGAAACGACTCGCATTTACTTAATTTATGAGTAAACTATACTATTACTATAGTGTTCTGATTGAATGCTTTTTACTCTTTAGTAAATACAGTTTCTTTCCTAAGTTTATGAATTATAACTATCAACTCATTTTGTCAGAATCCTTTGTGTTAGTTACTATTGTCAACTCAACTAACATTCAAATTATGTTAACTTCAGTCAACTAATATTAGCTACTTGTCAACTAATGTTAACTACAGTCACCAACATTTAACTAACGTTAGCTATCCCAGGGATTCCCAAAGTGTGGTGCGGGCACCCCTTGGGGTAACATGTAATGGTGGTCAAATGAAGTCATAATTCATATTAAATATCATTTGTAAATAATCAATATGGTTTTTACACAAAATAGAGAAATGACTTGTAAAACTACCCTTTGTAAGATTGCAATTTAAAATAAAAAACGTACAATTTAATAAATACACTTCAGCTCCTCCTTTTTACACACACGTCTCGAGAGAGGACAGGGACAGAGAGAGGACAGAGACGGAGAGCGAGGACAGACACGGAGAGAGAGGACAGGTACGGAGAAGGACTGAGAGGGACGGAGGAATCTGAGGCGATAGAATTGGAGAGCTAATACTCACGTCTCTTCCTAGCTAACGTAACGTTACCTCGCTCTCTCTGATGGACGCCTCCCTTAGTATCTGTTTCTGAGACTACGCATGTGCCAATATTTGTTCTTTACATGGTTTACTGTGTTTAAGTCATTTAAAATTCCCCTACCTCCGACGATCAGTAGTGATGTGTAACTCTACATTTGGAATTTTAAATAATTTAGCCGCTATGTACGGTTAATTGTAAATGGAATATGATGCAATCTGCCTGTGAACCTGTGCGTGTGTCCTTGTCCTTCTTATTGCTCCTTTAAAGCAGTGGCGATGGTCCATAGAGGGCAATGAGCCATAGTGACACACCCTCTCCTAGCAACGATGTCCCATGATGCATTGCACTGAAATCGGCCATGAGCAACGAAAAACAAAAAAGTTTTGTTTTTTTAAATCATTTTTGTTGTTTATTATATTAAAAATACATTTTACAAATAGTCAATATTTGTGTTTTTGAAACGTGGATTATATACCCGGTAATATTTGTAAATTAAGATATCTGCTCAAACTATAGGCTATGCGTTTCCTGCACGTCCTCTGCGCTTTTCTGCTTGTCTCAGCTGGACTCGGGCCGGTCCCAAACCGGCGGGTCTAAGAAGCAGTCAGCCAATCACTGATAAAGTTAATGAGTGACATTATAATTTCAGCGTCCTAAAATCCATAGAGATTTGGTCCCTCTGCCGCCCTACGCTGCGCTCTCGTCAAGGCGCCGCTTAACAACATAACAAGAGCAGTGTCCTTCAAGAGGACACAACCCGAAACTAGAGGTAAAACAACTGGACCCAGATCAGCCCGACCTCACCATCAGAAAACGGACCGGCGAGAAAGGGAAGCCGACTTCTACACCTGGGGTGTTATTACTACTCATTCTCTCGCGCGAGTTATTACTTAACGTTCGGTGGCGATCGCCGAAAAACAGAGCGGAACAGCGTCTGTTTGGGGCACTAACATTTGCTTTCACAACCGATTGTAACATTATTGATGACAAAGTCCAGCCTCTCGCACCTTTTTGCTTAATTATTGCACAGTTTGTCAGTCAGCATCAATGAAAACACACACTGATGAATATGAAGGCAAATGGCTTGTTGTCCACATTCAGTCAACAACACTTATCAATTAGATATTAAGCCCCAAAATAGTTCCTGACTCACCGATTGGCAGATTTTTTGCACAATCCATCCGCTCTCATGAAAACTCAGATCGGTGACTCGTCATTTGGACTTCGAATTAAACGTTACAACGTAGCTGGTGTGGTGACGTCAGCTGCGTAAATGTAATATCCATCCATCCATTTACAAACTGCCTATCCTGCACACAGGGGGCTGGAGTCTGTCCCAGCCAACTTAGGGCGAGAGACGGGGGACAGGGCGATTCACAGAGACAAACAACCATTCACACACCTACAGGCAATTTCCCACAATTCACCCAGAGCATGTCTTTGGACTGTGGGAGGAAGCCGGAGAACCCAGAGAGAACCCACGCAGACACGGGGAGAACATGCAGACTCCACACAGAAAGGCCACTGGCCGGAGTGGAACCCAGGACCTTCTTGCTGTGAGGAAACAGTGCTGACCACCACGCCACCGTGCCACCATGTCCAGTAATATCTCGGTTTTGGTCCTTGTTTGATACATAACGTAGATGATTACTGGCACAACCTATTTACGTGCAAAGGCACAGCAGAGTTGTGCGTTTTGTCGTACATGTAGAATACAAGATCGAATGCGCATGCACAACATGGGTTTTTTGCTCGTCCACAATGAGTGAAAAAGCAGCTTATTCTGCTATTTGTATCTCATTATGCGTAACGGCTGCATTTGTCATCGTAACATCTAAACAATTGGAATAGAACACATATTGCATATACAACTGTAAGAATAAACAGTAAAAATACAAATACAAGTTTATTAAATAAAAGGATGTAATAAATATTTTTATGTTTGAATTTTGGCAGATAGATGCTACGTGGTCGCCCGTTCTACAGATGCTATGTGATGTTGGTTAGCTAAAGCTAACGCACTCATTACTTGAACCCCCCCAGATACATTTCCCGCCGTAACCCATGGAGGATGCCACCAACAATTAAACGTCACCACCGATAATTATACTTAATATTATACTTAATTCTAAATAAACTTAAATGCTGCTGTACTAACACATGTTATGCAGTGACGAGTAGTCAGGGTAGGTACCTTGTCCAGAGTGTGTCATGGTATTCTGTCCTTCAGCCCTGTGTTCGGTTGACAAAAGTAACCACATTCACTCACAACAACCTGAATAAAATCTTGTTAGGCGTAGACTTAACTGGCACCTCAACGCATACCGATACAAGCTTCAGTCAACTAACTCTAGCTGGAGTTAAATAACGTTAGCTATAGTCAAGCAACATTCAACTAACGTTAGCTTTAGCTAACCAACATCACATACCATCTGTAGAACGGGCGACCACGTTGCATCTTCTTCTATCTGTTGCCTTACAGCTTCATTTTGTATTCCAGTGCTTTATTTCTACTTGTTCTTCCTAATTGATAATGATGACTTTGTTAATCTGAAATGGCGTTGTCTGATTACGATAGGTCTTTGAAATGACTCCTGCCTTCTTGCTTCCGCTGTGAATTCCATTATTTCTCCAGTTTAACCCTGCGACATTGATTAAAACACTGTCAGTTGGTTCATTAACATATTCATTTGATGGTGTTGTTCTGTCAGCTGTAATGAGCAGAATGTGTCACATTACTTTGAATTATTAAATGAAAGACAGGAGCGTCTGGAGCTAACGGCTAACTGCGACAGCCCCAGTGCTGCTGTTTGTCCTCCGGTTAAAGCTTCTCCGTCTCCCTGGTGTTCGACATCAGAGAAGAAGATCTCCATCAGACGCCCTTTCTGCAGTATTCATGTTTCTGGTAAACGCCAACAGATGTCTCTCACAAGTCTTCATACGGCGAGACACAATCACTCTGGACAGGAAGTAAATGAGTAGATTAAAGGTAAAGGAAGCAGTAAAGGAGTTTAATGTGTTAAATCTGAGGAGAACACTCAGACGGCTGTGGTCATCTCACGCCTACTGTGCCTCAGGTCTACCTTCCAGCGCCATCTGACCTCTGCAGCTCACCCAGAATGCAACAGCTCAACTGGTGTTCAACCTACATTCACCCACACCAGTCTACATCCAGGACCTGGTCTACCCTTATGTCCCTGCCCTTCTCACTCCGCTCTGCATCAATCTGCTTGTGTCTCCTCACAGAGACTAAACACTCATTAACATGCCGAGCGTTTGATGCCGTGGCTCCTAAATGGTGCAATAAGCTGTCCAATGACATCAGGACGGAAAGTAGAACTATAACAGAAACACACCTACCGACTCTGGACACCTGGACTTCACTTTAAATAATCTGTTTGTTTTCTTCTCCTCACTGCGGACAGAAATGTTAAAATAAAATAAGACTTATATTACAAATATTAAAATCTCCTGTGACCCTCCGGTGGGCCCCGAGCCGGTGTTTGTGCCCCGCTGCCTGCAGCCTCGGCTCCTCATGATTCAGAAGATTTCCCACTGAACCTGCCAGCTGGGACGCTTCCCTCAGTCACATGATCTCAGGAAGAAGAAGACAGGAAGCAGCTCGGCCGCCAAGTCCCGCCGCCCAGAAGCATCCATCACTGTGTGTGTGTCACTGTGTGTCTGTTTGTTAGCGTTTGTTGGTGTGGGTCTGTGAGCAGCCCCCCATTAGCAGAGCTTCTTCTCTAATGACTCCAATTAGCCGTCTCTTTGTGTTCTCTCTGTGTCCTCTTTGTCGGCGGCCGTGTCGACTCCTTCATGTATTTGTGAGAAGTGAACAAAGTCGTCGTGACGTCAATTTGAAACCTTGAGTTTGATGTTGGTCGTCTCTATCTTGGTTCTTGGTGTCAACCATGTTGTCTTCACGGCTCTGTACTCGGTGGTGATGAGGTCATTCACAAAGAGGCAAAGAACAACCCGAAAGAGACAAAAAACAACCATAAAGAGACACCCCAAAAGGGGAGAAAAAGACTTTACTATCATCAACATTGGTGAAAGAGTCCAACCAGCAGTAGGACGCTGGCAGAAAGGAGCAGGCAGACCACATTATACAATATATATATATATATATATTTAGTTCATATTCCGGTCCTACACTGACACCTGCAGGCTGCATTAACTTATGATTTATTGTGTTTGAAGTCAACAAGTTTTTATTTTTATGATACAAATGATGAGCTCTCATTTTAACTCATGAAGCAGAAAACCTCAAACCAGCTTATTAACTTATTTCTGATTTATTATTTATATTAAGAGTATTTTACATTTCTGGACCTTGATTTAACATTTGATAGCTAAACTACTTTAATGTATGAAGCAAATATGGAGAGTGATAATCAACAAAGATTATTTAAGCTTTTGGTTTTCACTGTTAATATCTGCAGCCGGTAAAGATTTAACGAAAGCGTTAAGAAAATGACAAACCCATCAATTATGAAATCTGTAACTTTAGTCACAAAAGGACAAATACTTTAAAGGAAGTGATTACGATCCATCTAGATTAAAACACTTAATGAGTTAAATTAGATGCTCTACTGTGTGACTTTTGATTAGCAGTGAGTATTTGAGTCTGTGTGCGTTCATGAGATCAGAATCAGCAGACGGCAGACGATCAATATTACTTGTATAAATTATCAAAATAAACTGCTTCAAATCCACAGCAAAGATTCTAAAATAAATTTAAAAAAGAGATAAGTGTGTGTGACCCTGAATATTTTTATATGAGAAAACCAAGGTCTAAACCCACATGAGTGAAGATTGAACTTGATTTTCAAAATAAAATAGAAAGAAGCATGACAATAAACAAACAGAAATAACCACAGCAGAGACAACATGTAGTGCTGATAATCATGCTTTATTAAATCAATACTTGGATAAAACTCAAGGAGGCTGCGTAACTCTACGACTCTTGTCGGCGGTCAACGAGCCGAGCGACGTTCTCCGTCCTCGCGCCGGACGTTGGTGCTCCGGCTGCTCGGCTCGGCCGGCTCCTAAAACAACTAAAGAACCACACAAACACTCTGCAGACCTCCGAGAGGCGGCTCCGCCTCTGCAGGCCGAGCGGCGGGGGACGGACTCTCTCGATCCGCCGAGATCAGAGAAGAGATCCGAGCCGGCGGTCGGCCTGCCAAAGGCGGAGCTCTCAAACAAAAAGAACACGGGAGCTCAGGGAGTGCAGGCCGCTTGCACTGTGAGCGCGTCATCGAAATGGCGTTACGACGAGATCGGTCGGAGGGTGAGGTCCGGTCGCCCTGCGTGCTCGAGGGTAAGAAGCAAACAGCGGTCGGGACCTCGCGCTCCGCTTACGAATCTACGAAGGTTCTGTCTCGGTTGCGTTAACGTCGACGGGGAGCCTCTCGACCCGCCGAGGCAGCTTCAGACTTCAACGTGTGGTTGAGGCGCACAGTTTAGTTTCTCCGTCTGACGGGGTATTCGTTCCTCGAGGAACTTTCTCCCGTCAAACTACACTTAGTTTCACTTAGTTTCAGTTCATATATTATTGTCATAAATAACAATGCATACATTTCCCATAACCGTTCAATTCGGCTATATACATTATGTACATGTCAGAAAAGTGGATTCAAAATCCTCAGTCAGAGTTAACCAATATGGCACATTCTATAACAACGTTCGATTTGAGTCTAGTTTGGCATAAATTAATGTCATGTTTGGTAGAAAAAATAGTTCATATTTACAAGAGCAGGAATCCAGATGTTTTTCACGTTTATCATTTTGCTCGACTAATAAATAAAAAGGCACCGACGTGGGGAAAAGGGGATCTTTGATTATTGTGTTGTTTTTTGGGGTTTCTACACCGATCGAATGCTGATGTGGACGGTGGCCGAGTCAGACCCCAGCTCACTGGACAGCTTCAGGGTGTAGGTCCCGGCGTCCTCCTCCTTCACCCCAGTGATGATGAGGGTGGTCAGGTCCTCGGAGGTCTCAATGTGGAAGCGTCCGCCGGCCGTCACCTCGATGGCTCTGCCGCCCCGGGACCACTGGATGTGTTTGGCGTCACCGGAGAAGGCGCAGGTGACCGTGAGGACTTTTCCCGGCTCAATGCTGATGTCCTCCGGCAGAGCCTCGATCCTGGGCGCAGAGCCTGGAGACCACAGCGGGGCGAAGAGGTTATCAGTTATTTCTCATTAGATTGTGGGATATAAAATTTAAGAAAAGAGACAATATTCTTGAATTAACCAGGATTGAACGTCCGGAGGAACGTCTGTATGTTGACTGATCTATGAAGGCCTGAATGTATGAATACATCTCACAGTATTCTCGTTTGACTTCCTGTAAGTAGTGGACCAATCTCACCGATTGCTCTGAATGAAGATCCCTCCATGTGGGAGGAGCTGCCAGAGCTCATGGCGTACATCTCAGACGCCATGGAGGACATGCTGGACATGGACATGGTCTCAATCTTCATCTCGGCCGCCATGCTGCTGATAGAGCTGGACTCTATCATGGACGACATCATGGCGTGCTGGGCAGAGGTGGAGGACGTGGAGAAAGAGGACGACTCCTCCATCATGTGCGTTTCCTTCTTCATCATCATGGAGGAGCTCACGGACGATGAAGACTCCTTGTGGCTCATCATCATCGATCCCGAGGCTGCAGATAGAAACGGTAACCATGTTAACCTTCTTAAACCATCACAAGATTGGACCAGACTAAAATGGATACCTGAGGCAGCCGCTTACCTTTGAGGGCCAACTGCTGCTCGTGGTAGGCGCTGATCTTCACGCGCATGGACTGGAACACCTGTCCGCTGAATGAGAAGGAGGATTTGGAGACCCCTCCCTCTGACGTCATCTCACAGGTGTACTCTCCCTGGTCGCCATCTGCCAGGTTGTGGATGAGGAGGCTGCAGGAGCCCTCGGAGTAGTGCATCTCAAAGCGGCTGCTCTGGGAGATCTTCCTGCCATTCACAAACCACACCGCCTCCCTGACGCTGCTCTCGCAGACACAGGACATCCTCACAGAGCCCTCGCTGGCCTCCGCCTTCAGCTGACTCAGGACTTTGGGGGGTTTCGGGATGGGGGATTTCACAGTGAGCGGGGACACGACCCTCTTGGGGGACAGGACTGGAGGAGGAGACTTCACCCTCAGAGGGGATTTGATTCCTGAAGGTTCTGGGGACTTCATTCCTCTTGGAGTCTTGATTCCTGCAGGTTCTGGAGATTTTACTCTTATTGGGGTCTTGATTCCGGCAGGTTCTGGGGATTTTACTCCTAGTGGTGTCTTCATTCCGGCAGGTTCTGGGGATTTTACTCTTATTGGTGTCTTGATTCCGGTAGGTTCTGGGGATTTGACTCCTAGTGGTGTCCTAATTCCGGCAGGTTCTGAGGATTTCACTCCTAGTGGTGTCTTGATTCCGGCAGGTTCTGGAGATTTTACTCTTATGGGTGTCTTGATTCCGGCAGGTTCTGGGGATTTGACCCCTAGTGGTGTCTTGATTCCGGCAGGTTCTGGGGATTTGACTCCTAGTGGTGTCTTGATTCCGGCAGGTTCTGGGGATTTGACCCTTAGTGGTGTCTTGATTCCGGCAGGTTCTGGGGATTTGACCCCTAGTGGTGTCTTGATTCCGGCAGGTTCTGGGGATTTGACCCCTAGTGGTGTCTTGATTCCGGCAGGTTCTGGGGATTTGACCCCTTGTGGTGTCTTGATTCCGGCAGGTTCTGGGGATTTAACCCTTTGTGGTGTCTTGATTCCAGCAGGTTCTGGGGATTTGACTCTCTCCGGAGACTTGGCTGGTGGTGGTGACTTGAGTCTGGGTTCAGGAGATTTGACACTCTGCGTTGGAGACTTCACACTTGGAGCTGGTGATTTGACTGAAGGCTCCGGGGACTTGATGCTGGGGACAGGTGAAGCTAGAGAGGGAGCAGGTGATGTGACTGAAGGCTCCGGTGACTTTACCGATGGCTCGGGGGATCTGACGGCTTCGACCTCTTTTTTGGGAACTGGTCTGCGGATGGTCAAGGTGAAGTGCGCCTCCTGTCTGCCTGCTAAGTTCTCTACCACCACCATGTAACTGCCCTCGTCGGAGGCCGTCACGGACTGGATCTCCATGCTCGACTTGTACTGAGTGGTGGTGACCTGGACGCGCAGAGACGATTCCATGGTCCTGCTATGTTGCATCCACGTCACAGTTGGTGCGGGCTCCCCGTCGATATCACAGGAGAATTTGGCGGTCTCTCCCTCGGCAACTGTCACAGACTGGGGCTTGGTGAGGATTTTGGGAGAGAGAGAAGGCTTCGTCTTGTGGACAGTAACTTCCTCAGCGGAAGAGGACTTCACTCTAGCAGCAGACGAGGTGCGTTTCCCGGTCAGAGAAAATGCTTCAGACGAGTAGGAGGAATCAGATGACAGGTAATCCGCGGAGGCATACTTGATGGACGAATCGTACCTCTCTGAGGAGGCAGCATATCTCTCGTGCGACACAACCTCATGTGACTTGGTGACCTTAGACTTGCTCTCCTCCACCTGAAGCTGGGTCTGGGAAGCGTAGCCAGCCTTGAAGTGGCTGGTGTGATAGTGGTCAATCTTAGTGACTTCAGGGACATATCCTTTGGGGATATCCTCGTCCCTACGGCGAGAGGAAAAGGTGGTGTAGCCGCCACCTGACACGTCAAGGGTGGCGTAGTCCGAAGCTTCTCCCTTGGAGTTGGAGCAGACACAGCGGTACGTGCCACTGTCCTCCTCCTGGCAGTCCAGAATGGTGATGGACAAGACACCGCTCATGTTGGTGAAGACATATTTCTCACTGCTGTCGCTGATCTCAGTTCCATTGTGTAGCCACTTGACCTCGGACTCTGGCTTGCTTTGGATGTTCAGGGTGAATTTGGTGTCTTGGCCGATCGGTATGCGATGAGAGCGCATCCTGACAGTCACACGGGGTGCGTGGTCCAGGCTGAACGGGGTCTGGCTCACCACTTGATATTTCCTCTCTGACTTCAGGGCGGCCTTTCTGGCCTCGTAGCGGGACATGATGTCAAAGCGGGCAGACCGCTCGAACCTGGAAGACGAGCGGGATGACCTTTCAACAGACTTGATTGGGCTGGGAGAGCGGGGACGGGTTCTCTCGGGGGTGGGGGACCTCCTCTCCACAACCTCCCCATCTACTTCCACAGGCGGCCTGGAGCGTGACGGTCTGATCAGCTGTGAGACTGGACGCATTAGTTCAATATACGTGGGAGAAAGTGACCTTCTCCTTCTCATGAACTGAGAAACTGTGCGTTTCTTCTTCGTCTCAGCGAACTCAATGGCCTCGTACCTCACCTCCTGCCCCCTCTCTTCAACTTCCATGCCACGCCGCTCCATGCGGACAGGACTGCGGGTTGGAGAGGCAGAGAAGCCCAACTCCAGTTCGTCCTCCAGCATCATACTCTCCTCCTCTGCTCTCCTCACAGAAAGGTAGTCATCCACAGGCATCAGCAGCTCGTGGTCGCTAATGTCTCCCAAGGATCTCCTTCTGGATCTGAAGGAGACCTCGGATTCAGGAGAAGGTGAACGGCGGGCGGGTCTCACAGTCTCCAAGTCATCCAGAGAGAGTTTTGGAATACGCCATCTTGGCCTGTACTGGTCGGTGATTCTGGGGAGGGGCATGACGTAGAACTGCTCCCACCTGGAGAGGCGAATACGTCTCTGCCGCTTCTGCACAATCCTCTCCATCTTCTCGGAAACCTCGTACTGGTCCCTAATTTTTCTATACCACTTCATGTCAGAGAGAGGCATGAACTGTTTGATGGCTTTGTCCTCATCCAGAGCTCTGGGATCATGGATCACAGGCTCTGGTATCTCATAAGGCATAAAGATCCTCCTCTCCTCTTCCAGCTTCTTGGTGGTGGACTTCTCCACTGTGATGTCAAACTCACCCTCAACGTTCTTGGTACCCACCGCAGGCTTGTACATCTCCGCAGCGAACTTGATTGCATCCTGGGCGGTTGGGTTGAGAGGTACAAGCTCCTCGGTGGCCACAATCTGCAGGGCCATCTTGTTTGTCTTTTCAATTTGCTTCTGTACGTGTCTGTATTTCTCCTCTTCACTCTTGTACTCCTTCCTGGTGTAGGTCAGGCGATCCACCTTCAGCATAGCCTGGCAGCTTGCGGAGCCGGCGGAGTTGGTGGCAGTAACCATGTACACACCAGCGTCCTCGAGCAGAGTATTTCGGATGTGTAAGACGTGGCAGTCTACGTCCTCCTGTATGACAACAACCTTGGGACCGAACTGCAGCGAACGGCCGTCCTTCTGCCATTTCAGAGTCGGAGTTGGGCTTCCAGAGACTCTGAGCTCCAAGCGGACGCTGTGTCCCTCAACACAGTCAACGTTAGCCAGCAGACGTTTGAACATTGGCCTCATGGTCTCCTCAGTTACGGGATGAGGTGTCACGGTGAGACGCGCCTTGCAGCTGTCTTCTCCGAACTTGTTGTGAGCCATGACAGTGTATTCTGCATCGTCATCTAAACTCAGGTTGTGGACCATCAACTGGTAGAGACCCTTATCACTGGTGAACGTGTACTTCCTGTCATCTTCACCTGGCTTTAGTCTTTCCCCATTCTTCAGCCACGTCACGTGAGGCTCCGGGTGCACGGTGATAGTGACACCAAAGCGCACGTCTTCGCCGATGTAGGCAGAGCGATGGTAGAGAGGCAAAGTAAACTCGGGCGGCCTCTGCAGGAGTCTGGTCCTGTCAACTCTCCTCCTCATCTTCTTGATGGAGCGGCTGATGTAGTATTCTCTGATGCTCCTCACCGTCTCGACAAAGAGCTCTCCGTTAGCACTGTCCTCTCCATCATCACTCACCACCTTGCATCTGTACACCCCATCATCACTCTCTTCAATGTCCTTCACATAGATGCTGGCAAAACCGTTACTGTAAGTCATTTCATACTTGGTGCTTGAGTGCAGCTGACGGTTACCGTGGTACCACGACACCTGAGTACTCTTGTCGTAGTTGGTGATGTTGCAGGTGAATCTGACGTGGCCACCTTCTTCAGCAAAGCCGTGCATAACTGGCCCGGTGCGAAGGCCACGGTACTCTGTTCCAATCTTCACTTTACCCACGGCCAATCCTCTCTGGTTCTTAAAGGCGCCGCCGTAGGCAACACGAGCTGCAGATACAATGGTATCTGTCCTTTTCACCAGAGATTGGTAGTACCTTCTGTGTCTCAATGTCCTAATGGCCTTGTTGCTGACATTCTCAATCTTCATCTTGAGCCATGGGTGCTCTAGGGCCTCGTGGGCTGTCATACGGACCTTCCTGTCTCTGACCAGAAGTCTGTCAACAAAGTCCATCGCCTCCAGGCTGATGTCCTTGAATGCTTCGCTGTCGAAAATATATTCACAGTTGGAGATGTTCTCAACCATCTGAGTGATGGACTCTGCCCCAAACGGATTGAGGCCACTGAGCAACACGTAGGCCAATACACCAACAGACCACATATCAGTGGCTGTTGTGACCATGTCGTGGCGGTGGATCTCAGGGGCGCAGTACTCTGGAGCAGAGAACAGCATTCTGATGTTTTCTCCTGGCACCAGCAGTCTAGCCTGGCCCATCTCAATGATCTTTGTGGTGGTGCTTCTCCTCGTGGTGTAGACGATGTTGTCCGGGCGGATATCAAAGTGGCCGAAGTTGTGGATATGCATGAACTGGAGGGCAGAGCAGACCTGTTTCAGGTAGCGGACAATCTCCTGCTCCGTGAGCTCGAAGTTGCTTGTGCCAAGACGCTCAAAGATGTCAACTCCAGATATGAATTCAAAGATCAGGACGATCTCCTCCATGCTTTCAAAGTATTCATGCAGGTAGATGATATTCATGTGCCTTGCTACGTTGAGAGCTTCAATTTCTCTGAGAACCAACTCGCGGTCGGTTCCTTTGACCTTGATGGACTTGGCCATGAAGGTCTTCTTCGTGGCAATCTCTGTGCAACGGTGGACCACTCCAAACTGGCAGCGAGCTAGTTCCTCAGAGATGACGTACTTGGAGGACAGCTCCTTGACCTTGTAGAACAGAGCCTCCTCCTTGGTGGTCTCCCTGGTTTCATCCACTTCCTCGTCGTAGTTCCGGATCACAGACTTGTCTTCCTTGGTGGTGATGGGCTCTGTTGGTGGAGAAGGAGGGCTCAGGCCAAGACGGTTTTCAGCAATGAGGCGGAACTGGTACTTGGTCTTTCCAAATACGTTGATGATGGTAATGCTGCAGTCACTGGTCTGTCCAGCACGGATCCACCTGTCAGCAGTTGTAGGACACTTCTCCACTATGTAGTTGATTACGTCGCTTCCGCCATCATTGGCAGGTGGTTCCCAGGTCAAGGTAATGGAGTCCCGAGAAATGTCACTGACAACCAGAGCCTTTGGAGCTTCGGGTATGTCAGCCACATTCACCTCAATGGTTTGCTTGTCTGACCCAAATCTGTTCTTTGCCATCAAAATGTAGTAGCCAGTATCCTTCCTCTCCATTCCCTTCTGGAACACTAGAGAGGTGAAAGACCTGGTGGTGATGACTTGGTGATACGGAGAATTGGAGAGGATCTCCTGTCCCTTCTGCCAAGTGATGGCTGGCTCTGGTTTGCCAGAGATGGGGATCTTAATGGTGATGTGATCCCCACGGACGGCGTGGACTGCTCCCATTCCCTGGAGGTCCTTGGGCAGGTGGATCTTAGCAGGAACTGGAATTCAAATTGATATTTTTTATTGAAGATTTGGTCAACCTGAGGAATTACACTTCCGAGAGATGCAAGATATTTTGTTTTTGCGAGCCTAAAATGATATCCTTACCTTCCACCTCCAGGTTGGCAGTTGTCGAGATGGATCCTGAGGAGTTGGTTGCTCTGACTTGGTAAACGGTGGCGTCCGTCTCCTCAGCGGCAGTGATGACCAGCTGGTAGTAGCCTCCCTTGAACTCTTGGGCTTTAATCTTGGTTCCATCTGCCTCGACCTCTTTTCCGCTGCGGTACCATTTCACCAAAGGTTTGGGATATCCCACCACCTGGTCAAGGGGAAAATAACCGTGTGAATTACTAAAGCGATAACTCATTTGACTGCTTGAAAGCAAAGCTAAACATAGCTCAAATAAAGTACCTTGGTGACAAAGGTGGCATTGGCTTGGTATTTGACGGTCATGTCCCTGATCTCCTCCCTGAACGCAGGAGCACGAGGAGACTGGTCGGACTTGGGGGTGATGGGCGCTGAGATCTCGCTCCAGTCGCTTTCACCGCCCAAGTTCTCACACTTGACGCGGAACTCGTACTCAAAGCCTTCGATCAAGCCTGTAACCTCGTAATTGGTCTCAACCATCTTCTTGCTGGTCACCGACATCCACTTGTTCTGCTTCTTCTCACGTTTTTCCAGGTAGTAGCTAGAGATTTTAGCTCCTCCGTCGCTGCTTGGGGGCTTCCAGCAGACCACACAGGAGTCCTTGGCGGCGCTGATGATGAAGGGCTGTTGTGGAATGCCAGGTTTTTCTGGGAAATAAGCAGGGAACGTCACTGTTGTGCTCAGAAATGTTGCCACAGAAGCCAAAAATGGCAGACAAAGTATGTTTGGACTCACCAAATGGACTCTTAACGATGACCACCGAGGGGATCTCCAGGGACTCACTGACTCCGTATTGGTTCTTGGCAGAGACCCTGAAGTAGTAGCCGGCGCTCTCTATCAGGTTGGGGACGCGGCAGGTGGTGCCAGAAACAGAGGAGGACACCAGTTGCCACTGTTCACCTTCTTTGGCCTCACGTTTCTCCACAATGTAGTTGGTGATCATGGAGCCTCCGTCGTCCTTTGGAGCCTTCCAGCTTATGACTATGGAGCTCTTCAGCAGGGCGTCGACAACGATGGGGCCCTCAGGGATGCACGGTTTATCTGGAAGGAAAAAATGGTTGTTTTTATTCATATAGGCACACATACTAATGGTAGTCATTTGTAATCTATATGTTTGACATAGAAATAAGATAATACAGATGTCGTCACTATATTTGTAACGTTTGCACTTTCTCCTGTTCTCAGAAGTCTGGTGTCACCTTGGATTTCAACGCGCAGGGAAGTGTCCACGGTGCCGTACGTGTTGCTGAGCTGCACCTTGTAGCGGCCAGCGTTGGTCTTCCTCTGGACGTTCCTCACCACCAGGTGGGAGTAGCTCTCCGTGTTTTCAATGACAACATTCTCGGATGCGTTCAGAGGCTTCTTGCCGTAGAACCACATGATCTGGGGGATGGGACGTCCGATGTAGACGACGTGGAGACGGAGGCTGGTCCCGGCCCCAGCGAAATACTTCTCCTTCAGAGGGAAGCCGGGGTGGAACTGGGGAGCCGCCTGCAGTCGCAGCCTGCCACTGGTTTCCACCTCTCCAGCCTCGTTGAGGGCCCTGCAGGTGTAACTGCCCTCGTCCTCCTGCTCGTCCGTCAGGACACTGAGGGAGTGGTTACGGCCATCTGAGCTCATCTTGTACTTGCGGCTCTGGATCAGCTCCTTGCCATAGCGGTACCACTTGATCTCAGGTAGAGGTCTGCCGATGATGCCACAGGTGAGGGTGCCGGACTCGCCGAGCTTGGTGGTCACGTCCGCGATCTCTTCCTTCAGAGCTGGAACCTCACCAACTGCAGAGAGGTGAAGGTTATAATTAGATTTAGATAGTCGCTGAGCACACTGCTATATTGCTTTCCTGATGCAGTATCTGTAACTCTGTCGGGTCACATCCCAAATTGGCTGTGCTTGAATCCACAGACGATAACATTTGTGTTCAGCTAACATGAACACGTGTTGATGATTCATCGCCATGCCGCTGCACCGCTCACCGCTCAGTTTGGTCTTGATGCCCATGGGCGTGCGGCGAGGTCGGCTGAGTCCAGTCTCGTTCTCGGCGATGATCCTGAACTCGTACTCGGTGGCCTCCATCAGACCGCCCATGGTGAACTGTCGATCTTTGGAGCGCTCCTGGTTGCATTTCTTCCAGGCACTTTCTCCTGCCTGCCTGAACTCAATCCAGTAGCCCAGAATCTCCTTCCCACCGTCCTGCTCTGGCCTGAGCCAATGGATGGTGATGCAGTCTTTGGTGATGGAGATGATGTCGATCTCTCCTGGTTGGCTGGGTTTGTCTATGAGGAGGAGGAAAGCACTTATTTCTATCTCGGTTTTCAATGCTTTCACTACTTTAATTACTTATTGATTTGTCTGTATAACAATCGGCAACAAGTGACTCACCGAATGGATCTTTGCAGACCACGGACTCTGAGGCGGGACCAGGCTCGCTTTGCCCGATGTCGTTCTGAGCCAGCACTCTGAACATGTACTCTGCATCGGGGATCAGACCCGTGATGTTGTACATGGTCGTGGTGATGTGGGTCTTGTTGTGTCGGACCCACTTCTCTGTCGACACCTCCCTCCTTTCCACGTAGTATCCTGTGACTCGGGAGCCTCCGTCGTCCCGGGGCCGGGCCCAGGACAGGGACACCACGGTCTTGGTGACGTCCATGATCTCCGGTGGGTTGCTGGGAGGCTCCGGTGGGCCTGGGGGGAAAGCAGGTTGTAATATTCACACCTATTGGACATGTATTGTGGCCGACACGTACACCGCAACTTTGACATTCAGAACCTTCGCCGCGCAAAACTCACAGAGTGGTGTTTTCGGTGTAACGGCCTCATCAGACTTGAGAGATCTGCTGATGCCGAACTGGTTCTCGGCAGAGATCTTGAAGTGGTACTGCACGTTCTCTTTCAGGCCCTTCACCACCAGTGAGGTCTCAGTGACCCGGGAGTCCACTGTACACCAGGCGGCTTTGGGTACTTCCCGCCTTTCCACGATGTATCCCAGAATGTCAGAGCCGCCATCGTCTGACGGTGGCCTCCAGCTGACACGGACCGATCTGGCCTGAATGTCATCAAACTCCAGAGGGCCTTCCGGGATGTCAGGGCGACCGATCACCTTCACCTGGAGGGGGGTGTACAGGAGGTCAAGTTCCAACCACCGCTTTTCATTTGACTCCTGGTACCGAAGTCGATTTATCAGCGAGATTGAGCCGCTCACCTTGATGTACACAGCCTTCCTGCCACATTTGTTCTCCAGCACCAGGTCGTAGGTACCGGTGTCGTCTTTATGCGCCTCTTTTATGACCAGTTCTGTGATGTCATCGTGGGTGGCGATCATGGCCCGGTGGGAGATGTCCCGACCGTCCTTGGTCCACTTGCATGTGGGGATGGGTTTACCCTTGATGGGCACGGACAGCTGGACAACTCCGCCCTGCCGCACCACGTAGCCCTCCTCGTACCTGTGATCCAGCTCGTAGTCGGGATGACCTGAGGAAGACACAGATTGGATATTTGGCGATTAAATTACAATGTTAAAAGACTAAATGTGACATTATTTTGACTGACTGTCATTGATGTTTTTTTTACCGAGCATCTCCTGGACTTTAACTACTCCAGGAACGTCAGCAGGCTCTCCAGTGCCACCAGCATTGCAGGCGACGACCCTGAACTTGTACTCGGCGCCCTGAGGCATGTGGGTCAGCGTGTACTCGCACATCTTGGTGGGCGTGGTGTTGCACAGTGTCCATTCCACCTGGTCCACCTTCTGCATCTCGATGTAGTACCCAGTAATGACAGCACCACCCTCTTCTTCGGGGGGCAGCCAGGCCAGAGAGACCGAGGTCCTGGTGGTGTCGGTGACGCAGGGCTTAAGTGGAGGACCTGGAGGCTCTGTTGAAAGAATACGGGGATAAATATGCTGACTCCATTAGGTGTTGAGACCCTCAGGAATTGAGCTTCTCTCAAAGACCAGGAAGAACACGTACCGATGGGGTCCATGGCCACGGTGATGTCAGAGCTCTCGCTGGGTTTACCAGTTCCTCTGGAGTTGATGGCGGTGACCCGGTGTTCGTACTCCAGCCCCTCTATCAGGCCCGAGGAGCGGTACCTGGTCATGGTGACAGGGTTCTTGCTGACCTTCATCCACCTGTCAGAGCGTGCCTCCTTACGTTCGATGATATAGCCGGCGATGGTGGAGCCGCCGTTGTCTTCGGGCGGTGTCCAGGTCAGGGTCATGCCCTCGTGGGTCGCATCAAGCACCACTGGCCTGCTCGGGGGTCCTGGGATGGCTACGCAGGAAAAACAGACGGGCACAAATGAATGCGATTCACGGATGAACTGGGAAGATCAATAAAAGAATACTTAGAGGACAGAAAAGATAACAGCTCTGATGACTCACTCTTCGCGCTCTTGCACTCCACCACCTCAGACTGCAGGAAGCTGCCGACGCCGAAGCGATTCATGGCGGCGGCGCGGAACACGTACTCTGTTCCCTCGTTGAGGCGCGTGAACTTGAAACAGGGCCGGGTCACCGACTCGGAGATGGTGATCCAGCCTGGTCGGTGGGCGTCGCGCTGCTCCACCACGTAGCCGCTGACGTTGGCACCGCCGTCCTTCTCCGGAGGCTCCCAGCTGATCATCACCGACATGCCGTCATTCTCCTCGATCCTCACTGGCCCGACCGGGACGCCGGGTTTGTCTGGATGGAGGAAGGAGGACAGCTGGTTAGACTTGTTGGTTGCAGCTTTTCCCAATCAGGAACATTTCTCCTTAACGGGCACAACTTCTAGGTTGTAGTTTCTCCTTACCGAGGATGATGACCTTGATGACCTCAGTCGCCGTGCCGACGGCGTTCTTCACCTCCAGCGAGTAGTTCCCCGTGTCGTTGATGGTGGTCTCGCGGATGACGAGGTGGGTGAATTTTCCGTTGCTGTCGATCTTGATGCGGTCCAGACTGTCCTTCAGTTTGACGCCGGCGAAGAACCAGGAGCAGACGGGCTGCGGTTTGGCCTCGAAGGGGATTGTGAGGTCGACGGGTTTACCGCGGTGCACTTGGACGATCTTCTGAGGGATGCTGGTCAAGTCGATCTTCGGCACCACTGGAATACACATATAGAATATAGAATAGAATATGCGTTTTCAATGAATTGTGAAGAGTGTGAGGATGATTTGTTGATGTGTCACCATGTCTCCTTACCCTTGATGTCCTGAATGACCACAGGAGTGACAGTGTCCATGGGCTCGCTGGTTCCTCTGCTGTTGGTGGCTCGAACCCTGAAGAGGTACTGCTCTTTCTCAGTCAGAGACTGGATGATGTGCTGGGACACGGAGGCCTTGACTGTTGCCACGACGCTCCACCTGTCCGTCCCCACCTTGCAGGCCTCCAGGACAAAGCCTGTCAGCCTGCTGGCACCGTCGTGCAGGGGCTTCATCCACTGCAGCGTGACAGAGGACTTGGTGACATGGAGGACCTGTAGGTCCTGAGGTACGGACGGAACCTCGCACAGCAGCACAGCCTCGGACGTCTCGCAGGGCTCGCCGACGCCGTAGATGTTCTCGGCCAGGACCCTGAAAAAGTAGTGCACTCCCTGCTCCAGACCGCTGATCCTGAACAGCGTCTTCCTACATTCGGTGGTGACGGTCTTGTACGACTTCATGTTGGCGTCACGCTTCTCGATGATGTAGTTGCTGACGTGAGCGCCGCCGTCGATGCTCGGGACGTCCCAGGTGATCACGACCGACTCCTTGGTATAGTCCTTCACGTTCACACAACCTGGAGGACCAGGCGTGTCTGCAGGGAGAGAAGAAAAGCACAACTTGTAAACTTGCAAACCTTTTTTATAAACTTACCAAACTGTAATATTTGGTAAGTGAGGAGACTCGAGATGACTCACCGTATACTTTAACCAGGATGGTGGCCGACTTCTTGCCGGACGGGTTCTCCGCCTCCACAACATACTTCCCCGAGTCATAGCGGTTGATGTTCTCCATCGTCAGTGCGGTGAAGCTGTCGGTGTTCTCGATGTAGCCGCGGGTCTGCAGCTCCACGCCCGTCTTCCTCCAGCTCACCACAGGGGGCGGACGGCCGCTGACGAACACGAGGAGGCGCATGGTTCCTCCGGCGCGCAGGCATACCGTCTTCTTCAGGTCCTCGGCCAGCTCCAGATCGGGCATTTCTGAGCGAAAGGACAGCAGTAAGATGAGGCTCAGTGCACCACTTCCCCATCTTCTCAATGGGACTAAGACTAGAATTTTACTTACTGAAATGATTAGGTATGAATCAGTATCAGTGATAACTTCTCTAAAAGGAACTCAGGAACACATTTAGATATTTCATATATTTTTCCTAGAGTTTACCCACAGTATCTAGTATCTTTTGCCACGATACGAGTGTTAACTTCCGCTGCGCGTGGATTTACTGACTTTGGATTCTGCACCAACTCACCGATCTTCTCCAGCGGCTCCACCTCGGCGCTCGCTTCACTGAACTCCCCTGTGCCTTTGCTGTTGATGGCTGCTACTCTGAACCTGTACTTCTTGTTGGACGCCAGGCCGGCGGCCACGTAGTCGTTGGTCTTGAGGGCCTTGGCCGTGGCGCGGTACCACTGCTCCGTTCCCTCCTCCAGGATCTCCACCACGTAGCCGCTGACGTCGGAGCCGCCGTCGTACATGGGCCGGGTCCAGGTCATGCTGATGCTGTGTTTGGTGGTGTCGGTGATGCGAGGCATCGATGGTGGAGCCGGGGTGTCTGGGGGGAGAAGCGGTTTATTACAAATACGTTTTACATCTACTTGGCCCGACTTTATCCCTTCAACGTCGCATTGTGATGGAAGACGATGGAAGCTCACATGTGGGTTCTTTGCAGAGAATGTACGCCGAGGCGTCGCTCGGCTGGCTGTCCCCGGCAGCGTTGACGGCCGTCACCCTGAACTGGTACTCGCTTCCCTCCAGCAGGCCCGTGATCTTCAGACGGGTGTCGTAGATGGTGAAGTTCTTGTTCACCCGCGTCCACCTGGTGAAGAAACAAAAGGCTGCAGTGAGAAAAAAAACTGTGAAAACTAAAAGCTGCCCTCCGAGCTCTTCAGAAGTCGTTCCCACCTGGTGCTGCTCGACTCTCGCTTGTCCACCAGGTAGGTTTTGATTTCGCTACCTCCGTCGCTCTCGGGCTTCAGCCACTCGATGACGACATGCTCCTTGCCCACCGCAGTGGCCTCCGGAGTGCCCGGTTGGGAGGCGAAGGCTGAGGAAGACGGGCAGAGTCACAGGAACAAGGTCAGGGTCACATGATCTACTTGATCGGCAACTTCATTCATTCATTACTATAATTGATGAATTCAACATCAACAGAACCGTCCATCACAGGATGATTTAACTGGTGAGGAGAGCAGTTGCATGCTGCATCTTACTGTAGGCGTTCCTGGCGATGACGGGATCGGACTCAAGAGGAACTCCGGGCCCAAACTTGTTGACTCCTCTGACCCTGAAGACGTACTCGTTGCCCTTGATCAGCCGGGAGCTGACGCACGATAGCGCCTTGCACTCTGTCTCCACGATGGCCCAGTTGAGACGGCTGGTCTCGCGGCGCTCCACGATGTAATGGCTGACGGTGTCGCCGCCGTCCTCCAGAGGAATCTTCCAGGACACAGTGCACTTCTCCTCCGTCACTCTGCTGATGGCGATCTTATCCGTCGGAGCCCCGGGAGTGTCTGAAAGACGAAGCCAGACGTTCAGTTGTGACCTGACCTGAGGCCTCAGAGATCACGCTGTGAGCAGACGTATTTCCTCCGGTACTCACCCAGAACTTTGACGCTGACGGCCACGGTCTTGATTCCGCTGGCGTTCTTGGCGGTCAGGACGTATCGGCCTGTGTCGTACCTGTCGCAGCTCTTGATGACGGCCATGGCTCTGCTGGAGGTGTAGGTCAGCGAGTATTTCTCACCCAGCTCCAAAATCGTGTCGCCCTTTGCCCAGTAGACCGTGGGCTCCGGCTTGCCCCCCACAGCGCCGTCCAGGACCACGTCCGAGCCGGCGTTGACAGTGATGGTCTCACCCAGCAGCTTACCGTCCAGCTCAGCTTTAGGAGGAGCTGCAGTAGAGAAGAGAAAATCAGATATGTTAGAAGTAGAACTCCAACGTTTTAGTGCAGAACAACCAAGTTAAATAATCATAATAAAGACAGTGTAAAACCATGAAAAAGAAAATGGGGCCATAATATATATGTCTGTCGACTAATGGCGATTAATGAACGTTGTTGTTACAATGTTGTTTTTAATGAATAATTGTTTTTCGACTAAATCTTAAAAGTCACTCTAGAAAACGTGTATTTTAGACACTGTTGTTTAATTAATGAATTAAAACAGAGGTAGTAACTTGTTATAGTAGTATACTCGTAGTAACTTGTTATTTGGCCAACGTTTTGATAACCGACCAGTTCAGTGTTTCCCATCATTCTAAATGAAGCAGCAAACCTATAGGGGACCAATGGGAATAAATCAATGGGAACAACGTGTTTGTCACTGGAAAAGGGGTTCTGTTTTTATCTGTTTAAGTTCTGTAGCATGCGGCTCGATACATTTGTCCCTCTGTTGTTTCAGCGTTCTCTGAATGTCGCCATGTTTCCATCATTTGAGCGGCAGGTCACGTGATCTGAAGGCACCTTCGATCATCTTGTAACGGACTGACCTGTTCTGTGAGCAGGTTACGCAGCGTTTGTCCTAAATGGACATTTTTCCCCCTACATTACTTTCACTCTTATACTTTAATTAGTTTTGAAACTTTTACACTTTTACTTAAGTAAAAAACTTGAGTTGATACTTCAGAAGTCTACAGAAGTCTTTTCAAACCGTAGCATATATACTTCTACTAATGAATGTTAATACTTTTGACACACATTTCATCATCTTGGAGGCAGAATTCCACCTGGTGGAACATGTTGAACTAGCAACTCTTCAGCTACCTTAGCGTAGCAGCCAGCTTAGCATAGCAGTGCTTTAAGTGGTCCGTCTTCACGTGGAGGAATTCCACGACACAGTTCTCCGCTCTATGTCGCTCCTCGGTTTGTTTTACTTCCAATGCAAAAAGCACTTTCCATCTATCGTCTTTCTCCGATCAAACTGACTAACTGACTGTTTGCCAGGTTGCACTGGTGCGCCTTACTTTTTTATTCAGGTGCACCCAAACTTTTCCTTGCGTTGCCTTTTAACACCACAATTTCAAGTTAATTTTTATATATATTTTATATATACATTTATATATATTATGTAAATGATTTGAAACAAGAGTAAGGTGTAGGTAAATGGGAAAAAATGTGTAGGGCTGTCACGATATCATATTTTGTAGCGGATGCGAGGACAGGTACCCCGGTGCGACCTAGGAAACATGATGCTGTACGACCAAATTGGTCACACTTTACAGCCCTGATATATATATATATATATATATATATATATATATATATATATATATATATATATAACTATTTGCTTTTTTTCACAGTTCAGAGTTGTCACATGACCAATCAATCAGCTTCCTGAGGTTACTTTTTGGGAAGGGCGCCTTCCTCACATGTGAAGTGACTGTTGGACTGTTGGATTTTGGCATTGGTGTAAAGAGAACATGGGCGTTGGGGTTGAGGGTAGGAGCTATAGCTTTCATCATATGACACTGTATGTGTCATATGATGAAAGCCGTGATGAGGTGATGAATCTAAAGCAGGGGTGTCAAACGTACGGCCTCCCGGATGACTGAAGTGTAACAATGACAGAATGACAGAAAGACATGAATTGCATTTCTATAAAAGTAGCTGCTATTCTTAAAAAGTCCACTGGGGAACGCACTCTGTGAGTGAACGCATGCGTTAGACCAGGGGGATCGGCGACAGCATTTCTCCAGGCAGCAGCGCCCGCTTGAAAATGACGACTCGCAACCTCTGTCGACCGGACCACCCGCGTGACATCAATGTTGACAGTATGTGGCGCCCTACCTAAAATAAGTTTGACACCCCTGATAATAAATGGCTGTATTGACTTTACAACTTACAGTATTCATCCTTGCAGGTGACCGGCCCGGTGACCTCAGAGGGGGCACTGTGGACGCCGGCGGCGTTCTTGGCAACGACACGGTAATCGAAGGTCTCCCCCTCTCCCAGGTTGGTGACGGTGAAGTAGTTCTCGCTGATGGTGGTGTAGTTGCACTTGAGCCAGCGGTTGTCGTCCCACTCGTCCTCGCAGTGGACCTTCCTCTCCACCACGTAGCCCACGATCCTGCTGCCGCCGTCGTTCTGCGGCACGGTCCAGCACAAGGACACGGAGGACCGGGTGATGTCTGTCACCTCGGGTTTACCGGGAGGATCTGGCCAGGGGAGGGTTGAGTATTTAAAGCTGTACCTCAGGCTTCATCTAGGTCTTTACGGGCAGAACTGAATTAACGGATTACCAGAACAGGCCTCCATCGACCCTAAACGTTCTATTAGTTATCAAAAGAACCTTTCATTAGCTCACGTATGCAAGACAATGAATGTTTCCCTCACCAACAGGATTGAGTGCCACCACGGGTCTGGAAGCCCCGCTGGCCTTGCTGAATCCGGAGATGTTCATGGCGTACACCCGGAACTGGTACTCCAGGCCCTCGATCAGGCTGGACACCTTGTAGTGGCACTCCAGGCAGGGCAGCTTGTTCTCCCTCACCCACAGGATGGTGTTTCTCTCCTTCTTCTCAATCCAGTAGCCAGTCACCTTGCTGCCGCCGTCGTCATATGGCACCTCCCATTTGATGCCGATGACGCTGGCGGACACGGATGTCACATCTGGACGACCTGGAGGACTTGGAGCAACTGTGGAGCACAAGTGGAAGTGAGTAGCAGTAGGGAACATTTGGAAATGTAGACAAGTAGGTGTAAAGGTCGTCCCGTGTATTAAAACAGGACTCACCGTATGGATGCTCGATCACAACGGAAGCGGACTCTGTGGACTTGCTGACTCCGTACTTGTTCTCGGCGCAGACCCTGAAGGTGTACTCCATATACTTGGTGAGGTGAGTCACTTTGATGGTGGTTCTCTTCACACTGGAGTTCACTACCTGCCAGGAGGCAGAGCCGGACTCTCGTTTTTCCACGATGTAGTTGGTGATGTCACTGCCGCCGTCGTCGGCTGGCTCGGACCAGGCCAGGTTGCAGGACTCCGAGGAGACTCCAGAAATGTCCACGGGGCCGGTGGGTGGAGTTGGTCGGCCGACAACAGCCACGGTCACCGTGAACGTCTTGACGCCGGCAGCGTTCTCCAGGCTCAGGTAGTACTTGCCGCTGTCGCTTCTCTTGCTGTCTTTCACCACCAGAGTGGTCCTCTCTTTTGTGGTGCTGATTAGGACTCTGTCGGTCTCCTTCAGCTTCATCTCCTCCAGCCGCCAGGTGACCTTTGGTGCCGGCCTGCCGCTGATGGGGATGTCGATGGTGAAGGTGCTGGAGGTCTTGCAGGTGACCAGCTGGTTGGTGATGCTGCTGAGGTCAGCGGTTGGTTCGATGCAAGGCTCTTTAATGACCACAGAGCCGAAGGTGCCCTGAGGCTCGCTGACTCCGGCATCGTTCTTGGCCTTGACTCTGAAGTCATACTCTGTGTTGTGAACCAGACCCTCCAACAGCATCTTCTGGGATTTGGTCTCTCCACCAACAACCCAGAGGTCTGATCCTTTAGCTCTGTATTCCACGATGTAACCTCTGATGCGGCTGCCTCCGTCATGCTCGGGCTTCAGCCACACCAGGGAGGCTGTGGAGTTGGTGGTGTCGACAACATCCAGTCTTTTGGGTGGAGCAGGTTCCTCTGTGGCAATGATGGGCTCCGTCATCTCATGAGCTTCTCCCTGGCCATACTGGTTGACAGCAATCACCCTGAAGAGATACGGCACACCAATGTCCAGACCAGTTACCCTAATCATCTGTCGGGATGACTTGTTGCTGACTTCCTGCCAGGCGAGGCGGCTGGCCTCGCGCTTGTCAACAATGTAGTGGTGGATTCGGGCTCCGCCGTCGTTGGTGGGGGCATCCCACATAATGGTCAAGGCTCCCCGGATAACGTCCTTGAAGGTGATGGCTCCCGGAGGTCCGGGTGTGTCCAGCACTTTGACGGTGAACGTGATGGCCTTGCGCCCGCTGTTGTTCTCCAGGGACAGGACGTATTTGCCCGCTTCGTATCTCGTGCAGCCCTCGATGGTCAGCGTGGAGGAGGAGTCTGTGGTGCTGATATCGCCCATGACGGGCAGCTCACCGTCTATCTTGGACCAAGTGGCGAGAGGAGCTGGTTTGCCGCGGAAGGTGACTTGAAGGGTGACAGTGCCGCCGTTCTTCACGATGTGAGTCTGCTTGAAGTTGGCATCAAGTTCGATTTCAGGAGACGTGAGTCTGTCCAGAGCCTGAACAGCGCTGGCCATCACCGAGGCGTCGCCCTCCCCCGAGCCGTTCACAGCACTGACCCTGAACTTATAGAGCTCTCCGGGCACCAATCCCTTGGAAGTGTAAGTGGTGTCGATGCACAACTGGTTGTTGACTCTGTGCCACTCCTCTAGGCTGGCCTTGCACATGTCGATATTGTAGCCAATAATTTCCAGGCCTCCATCGAAGACTGGCTTGGTCCATTCCAGGGTGACGGAGGACTTGGTGGAGTCAGTGACCTGATCGACAAGAAAAGAGTAGAGTTTGAGGAGAATTTCTAATTTGTCTTCTTCTTGGTAGATGTTCTTCTACATTTTCAACATTAAAGTTATTTGGGAGTTTCTGCTATAATAAAAGAGAAACTGATTTGAGCTGATTTCTTAGTTGATTTTCATAGTAACAGATATATGACATTTGTCGATGGTTCCTCTCTGAGATTTACAATCTGTTGTACAATTCGTACAACCCTACCTTTATTAATGTGGGGGTACTGGGAGCACTGGTCGGCTCCTTGCATTTGAAGAGTCTAGAAGTACTGCTGGCCGGTCCGATTCCAGCACCATTTTCAGCCATGACGCGGAACTCGTACTCGTTGCCCTCGGTGAGATTGATGACACGGTGTCTTAGCTCAGTGATGGGCCTCTTGGAGGAGACCTTCACCCAGCGCAGGCTCTTCTTCTCTCTCCTCTCGAGGATGTAATGTTTGATTTCATTACCTCCATCAGACCTGGGCCTGGTCCAGCACGTGGTGATGCTGTTTCCAGTCACGTGAGTTGCATCTGGGATACCAGGCGCATCGGGCACAGCTGAGGAGAAAAAGAAGTCGACTTCAATGGAAAGGCAGTTTGTTTATCTTTCGAGTCAACATTCAAGTGAAAGTTTGTAAAATTTGGTCAATATTTAAGGAAGTAGCTTTTCTCACTGTATTGCATCTGTGCGATGATGGCATCAGAGTCCAGTGGTTTGCCAACACCAAACTTGTTCACGGCAGAGATTCTGAACTGGTATTCGTTGCCCTTGATGAGGTTGGCAGCATTGAAAGAACAGGCTTCACATTTGGATGAGGCCAAAGCCCAGGAGATCCTGGATGTCTCCCTCTTCTCCACCACATAGTGGGTGATGGCGGCACAGCCGTCGTTCTCTGGTGGGTTCCACCACACGGTGCACTTCTCAGCCGTGATACCGGTGAATCGGATGGGACCATCAACAGGTCCGGGGGTGTCTAAATGCAAACAGAAGTTAGAGGAGTTTGGCCATGAAAGGGTCAGTGTCTTGTGGCAGATACCTCCACAGTGTTTACCAACCTTGTACTCGGACGTTGACGTCAGCTTTCCTGCTACCGGAGCTGTTCTTGGCCTCCACGGTGTAAATGCCACGGTGGTTCCTGTCAGCATCACGGATGAAAAGACTGCTGGCGCCGATGCCGCTAGTAATCTCGATGTCATACATGGTCCTCTTGTCAATCTCTTTGCCATCCTTATACCAGAGGACCTGGGGCACGGGACGCCCAGTGATGCTGCAGTTGAGCATGATGTTCTCACCAGCCTTCAGGGTGGTCACCTGGTCTGGAGCCCACTCGATCTCAGGGGTAACTGGAGAACAAATGCTGTCAGAAATCTACCATTTATAATCTAGCGGAAATCTCGTTTGAATTTGAAGATACTTACTGCTTTCATCTTTGGTCATGATGTATCCAGAGGAGTTGGAAGGTGGACTCACTGTGCCCACAGCATTCCTGGCGATGATTCTGAACTCAAACCGGTCTCCAGCGGACAGACCGGTCACCGTGTACTGGGTCTCGCAGATATCAGTGAAGTTGCATCGCAGCCATTTGCCTCTACCTTGGCGCCGCTCCACACTGTAGGCAACAATTCTGCTGCCACCATCCTTCTTGGGGATTTCCCACTGCAGGGTGACCGAGTCTCTGGTCACATCGATGCAGAGGGGGTTTCCAGGTGGATCTAATTAACAAGAAAAAATTAATGCATTTTATATATAAGTAATACAGATGCAAAAATGATCTTAATCAACTTGAACACGGCTAGGACACATTCTGGTACTGGATGAACACAAATATTCATCTTTTTATCTCAAGAAAGTCGAATCCCAAAATGTTGTCCTACTTCGATAAGTCCTGGTTAGTGGTTAGGAAATGTAATGCATTATAGCATAGAAACTCTATAAAGAAGTAAGTTTACTCAGAATATTAAAATTGAAGTTGGGAACATTTCCACATTTAACAGGTTAAATGTTTTTCAAACCGTTTTTTCCGTGTCCTTTGTGTGTCTGATGCTGCACGTCTCTCCCTTTCTGTCTCCCCCTCTCCCTCCCTCTCCCCATCTCTCTCTGCCTCTTTGTATCCCGGGCCGCCCTGGGGGGCGTGCTTCAAACACACCACATGTCCCCCCATTTCACTTTCGTGGGTTGGGGTTGGTAATGAGGCCGCGATCCCCCGTCGGCCCACTGCGCCCCCCCCCCCTAGGGGTCGCAACCCCCCCCAGTTTGGAAAGCGCTGTACTACACACAGAACGATGCCTTCTTCAGGATCTACTTACCAACAGGGGAGATGGCGAGCGCGTGTTTGCTCTGCTCGCTGACGGGGCTGAGCCCGGCTTTGTTCTCGGCGTACACTCTGAAGGAGTACTCCAGGCCCTCTATGAGGCCGGTGATCCGGTACTCCTTGTTGGAGATGATGGTGGAGTTCACCTTCTGCCACAGGAGGCTGTTTCTGTCCTTCTTTTCAACATGATAGCCCAGAATGGGGGAGCCTCCGTCGAAGCCTGGGGTCTCCCACCGGATGGTCATCCCGTCACTGGTGACGTTGTAGGCTACCGGCTTTGCTGCTGGCCCCGGAGGTTTGTACTGGTGTTCGGCGAGGATTTCTGAGGAGGTGAGTGATTCACTGACCCCGTATTTGTTCTCTGCACGGACTCTGAACTGGTACTGAGTTCCCTTCACCAGGTTGGGAATCTTGAAGGTAGCCCTGACGACACTGGAGCAGACCATTTTCCAGTTGGACTGAGAGGTCTCACGCTTCTCCACGCAGTAGCAGGTGATCTCTCCACCTCCGTCCTCCTTCGGCTCATCCCAGGAAATGATGATACTCTCAGCCTTAATCTCGTCGAAGCGGATGGGTCCAACAGGCACTGAGGGGGGTCCCAGAGTGGTCACATTAATGTCAAAGTAATTCTTTATCACTCTGTTGTCCAGAACCAAGGTGTACTGGCCGGCATTCTCCTTCTTGGCTCCTCTGACTGTGACTGCGGTCTTGTTGTCAGTGGTCCTGAAGCGGATCTTATCACTTTCCTTCAGCGGCAAGTTATCCTTTAGCCAGCTGATTGCAGGTCTTGGTTTACCCTTGAAGGGCAACTCAATGTGGATGTTCTGACCAACACGAACAGCCAGCTCACAATTGGGGTAGTCACTTAGACTGGCTTCGGGTTGAATGATGAAGTCCATCACTGTGATGTCAGTGATCATGGAGAAGTCGCTGTTGCCCTTCTCGTTCTTGGCGAACACCCTGAAGTCCATGACGGCGTTCTCCTTGAGTCCCGTCACCTCACAGTTCAAGCGCTTGCATGTCGCTCCCAAAGACCAGTTGGCTTCTTCCGAGCTTCTCTTCTCGATGACGTATTCGGTGATGTAGCTGCCACCATCGTGGTCAGGTCTGGTCCACTGCAGGGTAACGGAGGACTTTGTGGAGTCGGCCATCACCAGGTTCTTTACAGCTCCTGGTGTCTCTGTGGCTCTTACAGGCTCGCTGGTTTCGCAGGTGTCTCCCACGCCGTACTCATTTTCAGCAGACACACGGAAGAAGTAAGCTATGTCCTCCTCCAGGCCCGACACCTTGTAAGAAGTGTTGGCCCACTCGGCGTTTATCACCTGGTAAGCCTTCATTGTGGAGGCCTTCTTCTCCACAATGTAATGAGTGACCGGTGAACCGCCTTCGATGAGAGGGGCCTCCCAGCTCAAGGTAAGCTTTCCTCTGGTCACGTTCTTGACCATCAGTTTCTGGCAGGTGGCCGGACTGTCCAGAACCTTCAGGGAAACGGAGATTATCTTGGGTTCTCCCACGCCGTTCTCAATCTCCAGCAGGTACTTGCCGCGATCATCGCGGGTGACCTTGGGGATGAGGAGTGTGGTGGCCCGTTCAGTGGTAGTGATGGTGTAGCGGTTGTCAGCAGCGATGTTGCGGTCGTTACGGCGCCATGTGACGTTGGGGGTGGGGCGTCCCTTCAGGGGGATAAACACTACCACGTCACGGCCGGCCCTGGCGGTGTACTGAGTCTTCATGGGAACGTCCAGGTCCAAATCGGCCTCCTCTGTTGGGAGTATACATTTGTTTTAGCAATAATGACATAATTATACACTTTATTCAATTTAAACATGTTAATTAAACATGGCTTCATCTCAGTCATGAAACAAATATAAAAGTGTAAACAGCATCCAGGGAATGTTTTGAGTACGAACCCAATATATCTTTGGCCTGCACAGGCTGGTACATCTTGATGTCTTCTCCTTTGCCCTTGCAGTTGACAGCAAAGACTCTGAAGAAGTAGTAGCTTCCTGGTTTGAGGTGAGACACAACGTACTCGCAGGCCTTGACCTGCGGGTTGACAGTCACCCAATCCTGTTCCTCTGTGTTCAGCTGCTCCAGAAGGTAGTGTGTGACTTCACTGCCGCCATCATAGATGGGCTTCTCCCAGCCGAGGGTGATGGAGGTCTTTGTGGAGTCCACCACACGCAGCTTGGATGGCTCACCAGGGAGATCTGGAGAGGAAAAAGGCAAGAACGTTGTGAACTGCTCTGTGTGCAGGTAGCAACGTTCAACAAATCATAAGAAGAAATGGTAAGGCTTGGGGGGCAATAATAAACGAAGGTATACCGATGGGGTCGTAGGCCTTGTAGAGGTCAGAAGCCTCAGAGTAGTTTCCTGCTCCAGCCTTGTTGACAGCACAAACTCTGTACTGGTACTCGTTGTTCTCTGACAGGTTGGTGACTTTCTGCCTGGTGTCTCTGATGGTGCCTTTCACCACCTGGCCAGCAAAAAAAATGTTTTGATGCCTGCAGATGCCTGTGATCAGATTGGCTTATTTAAGTACAACATCTGTAAAGATCAGGACCACAAACGTACCTTGAACCACTGCAGACTCTTCTTTTCCCTCTTCTCCAGGTAGTAGCCGTCGATGTCGCTGCCTCCATCCAATGCCGGCCTTTCCCAGATCACCGTCATGGTGGACTTGGTGATCATGGTCACTTTGGGCTTGGACGGCTCACTGGGAGCAACTGTAAAGCAGCAAGATGGATCAGGTTTGATGAAATAAGACAGCTCCCAAATGTTATTTCCATTCGTATTCATGACTAATATGGAATAAGACATTAGCATTAGCTTACCAAATGAGTTCTTTGCGATTACAGGTTGGGACTCCAGTGGTTCCCCAACGCCGTACTTGTTGACTCCACGGACTCTGAAGATGTACTCATTGCCCTGGATGAGTCTGGGGACGTTAACAATGCAGTCCACCAATTTCTCTGAGATGATGGACCACATGATCCTGCTGGTCTCCCTTTTTTCCACAATATAGTGCGTCACCATGGCGCCGCCCTCGTCAGCAGGAGGCGACCACATGATGGTGATGTTGTCGGCTGTCACCTTCTTAAACTGAATCTCTCCATCAGGGGGGCCTGGCTTGTCTGGGAGGGAGGGGGGCATATGCATACATGTTAGGACCATTACTTACTTACACTTACATTAGATAGAGGTAGATTTGATATCGCCCATGACGGGATCTGAATACCTTGAATAAGCAGCCTGACGACGCCGCTCGCGGTCCCCAGGGAGTTCTTCACCTTCACCTCGTAGACTCCAGAGTTGAGGCGAGTGGTGTCCTTCAGGAACAAACTGGTGGACTCGAATGTGTGTTTGAAAGAGAGCTGGGTGGTCTGCTCAAGCTCTCTGCCGTCCTTAAACCACTCGATAGTGGGAGCAGGTTTGGCTGTGATATTAAACTTGAGTTCCACATTAGATTCGGCCATGTGCTTGACTTCACTGAAGTACTCTTGAGGTATTTCAATCTCCGGGGCACCTGGAGGACAAGCAAAAACCATTCAGCTGAGTTCAAATTCTGAACGATAAATAGGCATCGTACATGATGAAAACAGGATAAACAAGAGAGTAGCAAGCATTGTTGTTGGAAAAAAAGTAACAAAACTTGTTAATCCTTTTAGGAGATCAAACATTAAGGGAAATAAAATTTTGAGAAACCTACCGTAGGTGTCCACACATGTGGCCGGTCCAGCTGTCATGGACGGGTTGCTCACGGAGCCCACGGCGTTCTTGGCCATGACTCTGAACTCGTACGTCTCGTCCTGGGTCAGGCCGGTCACAGTGAAGCGGCTTTCTGAGACATTGGTGAGGTTGGTCTTGGACCACCTGGCGTTACCGCCCTCTCTCTTCTCAATAATGTAACCGGTGATTGGGGATCCGCCATCGTAATTCGGCCTCTGCCAGACCAGGCTGATGGAGTTCTTGGTGATGTCACTTATACGGACGTCGGTGGGTGGCTCTGCACGAATGATGGGAAGTCGTTATAAGACAACTGTTTCTAGGAGGTAAAACCTGATGTTCTTGACTGCTTCAGGAAAGCGTTGGCTCTCTACTCACCACAGGCATCAATAGCCAGCACTGCATCAGACAGCTTGCTGAAGGCACCGACTCCGGCCGCGTTCTCTGCTGCTACCTTGAACTCATAAATGAGTCCAGCACTGATGTTGGTGACCTTGTAGTGATTTGCACGAATCACCATTTTGTTGACCCTCTGCCAAAGGAGGCTGTTCCGGTCTTTCATCTGGAGATGGTATCCGAACACATGGCTGCCGCCGTCCGACTGGGGCTCCTTCCAGGCTATGGTGATGGTCTCCCTGGTTACGCGAGTGACCTCTGGAGCTGATGGAGCTTCAGGAAGAGCTGGCGATAAAAATCACAGATAAAAGTTGTTACCACGTTCACTGAAAAAAAAGTATTAGTGACGATAAATGAGGGAAGGAAGTAAAACATTTCTTACTGTAAGGCAGGCTGACAGTGACGGCCGGCGAGTCAATGTGCTCGCTGATTCCATATCTGTTCTCAGCCCTGATTCTGAACTGATACTGCAGGCCAGTGGTCAGCTTCATGATCTTCATGGTGCAGCGGGCCACAGCAGAAGAGACATCCATCCAGTTGGCCGTGGTGGTCTCTCTCTTCTGGATGATGTAGTTGGTGATGGGGCTGCAACCTTCATATACGGGTGGGAACCAATTCAGGGTCACGCTGTCCTCTGTGACGTCAGACAGCTCCACGGGTCCAACCGGAGCACTGGGGCGGTCCAGAACCATTATATTCACAAAGGATTTGGTGGTTCCACTGGAGTTGGAGGCAGTGATATCGTAGCGTCCCGAGTCTCCAGCAATGCTCTCTCGCAGAGTTATCTTGATGCCGTCGGGGGTAACCTCAGAGTTGAACCTCATTGTTGACTTGAGCGGGACGTTATCCTTGGACAGAGAGACTTTGGGCATGGGCCGGCCGGTCAGTGGGATCTCACACTTGAGGTTGGAGCCGGCTCTAACATACACTGTGTTGTGGGGGAAGTCCTTCATGTTGATCTCAGGGGATTCTTGAACAATTAAGGAACATAAAGAGTTATAGTGGCTTAGTGTTAAACACACAGGCATGTTTCTTAGTGTATATTAATCACATTGATAAATCTGATCGGCCTGATTGATGACTTACCAAGCTGGTCTTTGACCACTACTGGGGTGAGCATTTCCTTAATATCACTGAAGCCAGCATGGTTCTCTGCTCTGACTCTGAAGAAGTACTCAGCATTCTCCCTCAGACCAGACACTGTGAAGTGGGTGGACTTGGTCAGCCCACACTTAACCCACTTCTCCTGGCCATTCTCCAGAGCTTCCACCAGGTATCCAGTAACTCTGCTGCCTCCGTCTTGTTCTGGTTTAGCCCAGACAAGGGACACACTCTCCTTGGTAACATCAGTCACACCCAGCTTTGGTGGTGGGCTTGGTTTTTCTGGAGAAAGGAGAACATAATGTGTTTTGTTTAAATAATTGGGTATTGTCTTCTGCCTAACAAGTACAATATATAGCTATATTGACTTAGAAATGCAATACCTGTGATCTTGGTGGCATCTTTGGTCTCAGCAGAAACACCAACACCGTACTCGTTCTCGCCTGTCACTCTGAAGAAGTAGACTCCCCCCTCCAGCACGTCCATCACCTTGTATGTCAGTCTGCTGCAAGTGTCGGTCAACCTGGTCCAGCCCTTTTTGCTGGCCTCACGGATATCAACATGGTAGGTCTTGACCGGTCCTCCTCCCTCATTCTCAGGGGTGTCCCAGGTTACAGTAGCAGAAGTCCTGGTCACGTCCTTGACCTGTACATGGGCAGGAGGTCCAGGGGAATCCAAGACTCTGACGTTGAGTGTCAAGGTGGCTGTTCCAGCTACGCTAGACAAGGTGATGGTGTATTTGCCAGAGTCATTGCGAGTTGCTTTCTCTAAGGTGATGGAGGTGAAGCTGTCTGTGGTGTCAATGACCGCACGAACTCTAAGATCAATATCAGGCTTAGTCCATGAAACACTGGGGATGGGTTTGCCTCTGAAGGGTACTGTCATAGTGAATGAGCTACCATCCTTCACAATAAGAGTCTTCCTCATGTCGTTGCTGATGTCAAAGACTGGCTCCTCCTCTCTTTCTTTGGCAACCTGTTTGTCAGATTCAGGACTGGGCTCGCTGGCTCCGATCTTGTTAATGGACTTAACAACAAACACATATTCTGCCCCAGGTGTCAATCCCACCACTGTAAACTCTGTGTTCTTGGTATTCTGGACAGCAGTAATCCATTCATCATCTACAGTATTCCTGTATTTGACTCTGTAGCCGGTCACAGGGGATCCACCATCAAATAGTGGCTTATTCCACGACAGGGTGGCTGTTGTCTTTGTAGAGTCGATGATCTTTGGCTTAGCGGGGGGTGAAGGCAGAAACAGAGGATCTTCAGCCTTTGTAAGTGGGCAAGCCACGCTGGGAGCACTCAGGCCTGCGGAGTTCTCTGCAAACACTCTGTACTCATACTCACTGCCACCCCGAAGGTGTGAAGCTTTGACTCTGAGGTCATAAACAGGTTTTTTGTTGACACGGCACCAGCGAAGGCCGGTCTTTTCCCGCTTTTCAATGACGTAGCCAGAGATACTGCTGCCGCCATCAGAAACTGGTCTTTCCCAACAAATGGTCATTGCCTCGCTGGTAATTGAGGTGACCTGTACATTAGTGGGAGCGGTGGGCACAGTGAAAGGATGTATGGCCCTTGTTGGCTCACTCTCCAGGGCCTCACCATCCCCGTATTTGTTGACCCCCCGAACTCTGAAGATGTACTCGTTTCCTCTGAGCAGCTTGGTCACCTTACAGGTCGTTGCCTTCATGTCACCATAGACAAGAGTCCAGGTGAGACGACTGGTCTCACGTTTCTCCACAATGTAGTGCATAACTTCTGCACCGCCGTTCTCCTGGGGGGGGCCCCAGTTTATGGTGCATTTCTCGCCCGTTAGACCGGTTACTGCCAAAGGTCCAGAGGCAGGTCCAGGTCTGTCCAGAACTTTGCAGTTGATAGCAACAGACCTGGTTCCTGCAACATTGTGTAAGGTCAGCACGTACTGGCCAGAGTCCCTCCTGATAGCGTCTCTTACAATCAGCGTTGTTGCAAAGTTGGTGGAGGTGACTTCACACCTGGCCTTCTCCTCAATCTCCTTTCCATCCTTTGACCATGATACAACTGGGAGTGGACGGCCCGTGATTTCGGCATCAATTCGAATGATCTCTCCAGCCTTAGTGACAACCAGCTGTCTGAATTTATCTTCCAGGATAATAGTGGGAGGGTCAACATCATCCTTGACCGTGACAGGACCAGTGCTCTCCGAGGGAGCACTCAACAGCTCTGCAGAATTCTTAGTAATGACGTGGAAGTCATATTGGACATCTTCTGTGAGGCCTGTGACATCGTAGTAGGTGTCTTGCACGTTGGTGAAGTTGCATTTAAGCCAGCGGCCGTTGGGAAGTTCTTTACGCTCAACAATGTACCCGGTCACCATTATTCCGCCATCATACTCTGGCTTCTCCCAGAAGAGGGAAACTGAGGTCCTGGTGATGTTGGTGACTCTAAGGTTACGTGGAGATTCACATGGATCCCGGGCTGGCACAGGGTCACTGGCTTTAGTGCAAGGACCAATTCCAGCCATATTCTCAGCATAGACTCTAAACTGATACAGCAGGCCTTCTTCAACGCCTGTCATTTTAAACTGGTTCTCAGCCAGCAGACCTCTGTTGACCTTGGTCCAGAGGATGCTGCTTTGGTCTTTGCATTCAATGTGATAACCAGTTACAGGGCTGCCACCATCAGTGGCAGGTCTGCCCCATACCACGAGCATTCCATACTTTGTGGCATGGGAGACATGGACATTGGTCGGAGGGCTAGGAGGCTCGAAGGGATACTGAGCAGTAACGGGAGCGGAGTCAAGTGCAGAACTCTTGCCATAACGGTTCTCAGCTGCAATGCGGAACTGATACTCGGTTCCCTGAGAGAGACGAGACACCTTGATTGATGTCCTGGCTACTGTGGCGGAGACAATCTGCCATGATGTTGTGGTAGTGTCTCTCTTCTCCACAACATAGTTGTTGATTTGACATCCACCATTATAGGTTGGAGGATCCCATGACAGAGAGATGAAGTCAGCGCTCACCTCATCCATCTTAATGTTGCTGGGCGGGCCGGGTTTGTCTAGAATTACAACAGATATTCCAGCTGTGGTGGTGCCAACTGAGTTTGTCAGAGTAATCACATACTTCCCGACATCATCTTTGGTTGCATCCTTTATGACAATCTTGGATGAGGTCTTTGAAGTAACGACATTAACCCTTGTTGTCTGCTTAAGCACTTGGCCGTCCTTCTTCCAGGACACCTCAGGCTGCGGTCTACCTCTGAAGGGAACATCGATCTTCAGGTCGTCTCCTGCTTTTACACTGTATGTGTCATACAACAGCTTGATAACGGGCTCCATTGTGATGTCTTTCACTAACACGGGGGTGGCCAGAGGCTTAGCATCACTCTTCCCCTTATCATTGACAGCAGTGACCCTGAAGGAATATTCCTCACCAGTTGTGAGTCCACCAATTGTAGCTTCCAGTGCTTTGACTTCACTGCACACAGACCATTTGTCATCTCCCTTTGGCTGCATCTCAACAATAAAGTTTGTAATCTTGCTGCCTCCGTCATGATCGGGCTTCTCCCAGGAAAGAGAGACCGTATGACGAGTTACGTCAACCAGGACAATCTTCCCAGGAGGCAAAGGAGCCTCGGCCACCTTGACTTGTTCTGTGGAGGCAGGCAGACCTACTCCGAGCTCGTTGACAGCCAACACGCGGAAATAGTATCGGCCTCCCTCCTGCAGGTCAGAAATCAGGTAAGAGTTCCTCACGCAGTTGGTGCAAACACTAGTGAAGGCCATTCTCTTCTGATCTCTCTTCTCAACAATATAGTGGGATATCTTAGCCCCACCATCTATTGAAGGAGGTTCCCAGGAGAGAGAGACACAAGTTCTCTTCACATCCTTAATCACCAGGTTGGTAGGAGCGCTGGGGGAGTCCAGAACTCTGACATTGATGAAGGCTGATTTAGAACCACTGAGGTTCTCGAGGTTCAGTACATATTTTCCAGTGTCAAATCTATCGACATTCTCAATCATCAGCATTGTGTAGGAGCCTGTGACTTCAATCTGGGTACGCTCATTCAAAGCGCCCTCGGCCTTTGACCATTTGACCTCTGGCTCTGGTTTTCCTCTGATAGGCACAAACAGACGCAGAGTGGCGGAGGCACGGATATTGACCATCTTCCTCAGGTCTCCATCTAGTTCTATTTCAGGAGCCTCCAGCTTCTCTGCGGCGATCACAGAACCAGACAGGTCCACATGCTCTCCTACACCCTCACAGTTAATCGCGCAGATGCGGAAGTTGTACTCTGCATTCTCCTTCAGATGCTTTACAGTGTAGTGAGTAGCCGGAACACCAGTGGGTGGTGTGCAGGTGATCCATTCATCATCTGCTGCCTCCTTCATTTCAACAACATATCCACTTATCGATGCTCCACCATCATAGATTGGCCTGGACCAGGACAGTGAAACTGTGGTGCTTGAATGGCCAGTGACTTTGGGGTTATTCGGAGAGCCTGGTGGATAAATGGCATCACAGGCTTTGATGTATTCAGTCGGTGGACTAGGCTTTCCCACACCTGCAGCATTTTCAGCTGAGATCCTGAATTCATAGGAGTGTCCCTCTGTTAGGCCACTGCACCTGAATCTCAGGTCACTCAGTCTCTTCTTATTGCACTTAGTCCATCTGATGCCATCCATATCACGTTTTTCAAGGATGTAGCCTTCAACCTCAGCTCCTCCATTGTGCTCCGGTCTCTCCCATGTAAGCACAATGGAGTCCCTCGTGATAGCGCTGGTCTCTGGGGTGGAGGGGGAACTGGGAATGGTGAAGGGGTTACGAGCAATAACAGCCCCAGATTCCAAAGGTTCACCAATGCCATATTTATTGACAGCAGTGACTCTAAATATGTATTCATTGCCAGGCAACAGTTTTGTGATTTTGTAGCTGATGGCCTGGATCTTGGGCTCAACCATGGTCCATGACAAACGACTGGTCTCTCTCTTCTCAATTATGTAGTGAGAGATGCTGGCTCCACCATCATGTGAGGGATGGTTCCAGTGCAGATAACATTTTTCTGCTGTGACCCCTTTGACTTCCAGGGGACCATCTGGAGGACCAGGTCTATCCAGAACTTTAACATTAACTGGGACTATCTTGACTCCTCCTACATTCACAAGTTTGAGGGAAAAGTGGCCACCGTCGACTCTGATGCAATCCTTGACCGTCAGGATAGTACGTGTGAGGGTGGTGTTGACCTCCATTCTCTGTGTAAGTTTGTCAATCTCTTTCTGATCTTTTAACCAAATTACTTCAGGCAGAGGCTTGCCGGTATAATCAGCGTCAATGACAAACGTCTCACCGGCACTAACAACAGTAGTATTCTGGAATTTAGAATCCATGGTGGCCTCTGGAGCCACAATGTCATCTTTGGCGGTAATCTCTCCTGTGCTCGGAGAGGGTCGACTGAAAATCCCAGCAGCGTTCCTGGCAATGACTCTGTACTCGTAAACACAGCCCTCAGTCAGGCCGGTGAGTGTGTACTGTGTAGTAATGATGTTGGTGAAGCTGGCCTTCATCCAGCGGGTGTCTGGGTGCTTCTTCCTCTCAATCACATAGCCAGTGATTGTACTGCCTCCATCATATTGAGGCCTTGTCCACTGAAGCGTCACATGATTTCTGGTGATATCAATGGCCTCAGGAGTGCCTGGTGGGTCACAGGGGTCCCTGGCTACTGTGCTCTGTGAGACCTTGCTAACTGGGCCGAGTCCAGCAATGTTCTCAGCATAAACTCTGAATTCATACTCAATGCCTTCTTCCAGGTCTGAAGTTTTGAAACGTGCGTCTGGGATTAGAAGCTTGTTGAGTTTGGTCCACAAGAGGCTGTTCTTCTCTTTTCTCTCAAGGTGATAGCCTAAGACTGGGCTACCTCCGTTGTTGGGAGGAGCTTTCCACTCAACAACCATGTTCTCCTTGGTTGCAGCAGAAACAATTGGTGTTCCAGGAGCAGCAGGCACACTGAATGGAAACTGAGCAATAACATTGGAAGAGACAATGGCAGAACTCTTTCCATATCTATTCTCAGCCGAGACTCTAAATTGATACTCAGTTCCAGTCTTTAAATTGGTGACTTTAATGGTTGTTCTGGCAATGGTAGCAGACACAATCTGCCATGCTGTTGTGGTGGTATCTTTCTTTTCCACAATGTAGTTGTTGATTTGACAGCCTCCAGTATACTCTGGTGGCTCCCAGGAGAGATTGACATAGTTGGAGCTCACCTCCTCTATCTTCACAGGGCCTGTGGGAGGGCCGGGCTTTTCAAGGATGATCACGGTAATCTCCTCTGAAGCTGTTCCAACACTACTGGTGGCTGTGATGGTGTATTTACTAGAATCTTCCCTATTTGCATCCTTGATGCACAGCTTAGTAGATGACAGTGTTCTGGATACGTTTAGTCTAGTTGTCTCCTTTAGAGCGTGTCCATCCTTCTTCCATTCAACACTGGGAACAGGGCGCCCAATCACTGGAATCTCTATCTTCAGATCCTCACCGTTCTGTACACTGTAAGTGTTGAATGCCATCTTAAAGCCGGGCATCATAGTAACATCTTTAGCAGTGACTGGTGCAGCCAGAGCCCTGGGGTCACTCTTGCCCTTTTCATTGAAGGCCGACACTCTGAAGAGGTACTCATGCCCAGCGCTCAGGCTTGTGACAGTTCCCTCACAAGCTTTGGTTGTGGCGGCCACCACCCACTCTTCTGAACCCACCGGCTGCATCTCGATGTAATAGCCCATAATCCGGCTGCCGCCATCATGGTCTGGCTTCTCCCAGGAGAACGAGGCAGAGGTTTTGGAAACTTCAGTTAAAGTGACTTTACCAACTGGTAGAGGAGACTCAGAGGTCTTAACAGAGTCTTCTGTCTCAGCTGGCTGTCCAACACCAAACTCATTCTCCGCCAAGATTCTGAAATAGTAGATTTGCCCCTCAGTGAGACCAGTTATACGGTAGCTTGTCTTTGTGCATTTGCTGTCCACGTTGGAGTAAACTTTCCTGTTTGACTCACGCTTTTCAACAAGGTAATTCTTGATTCTTGCACCTCCATCAATAAGAGGAGGCTCCCAGGTCAAAGTGACACTTTCCCTCTTAATGTCTTTTACGGTCAGATTCAAAGGGGCCCCTGGCGTGTCCAAAACTTTAACAGAAACAAAAGCTGACTTGGTGCCTGCGGTATTTTCCAAGTGGAGGATGTATTTTCCAGCATCATATTTGTCACAGATATCAATGGAGAGCTGTGAGCATTCTTCATTAGAGTCTATCCGAGCTTTACTGGGCAGTGCTCTGTCCTCCTTGGCCCAGCTGATCTCAGGAGTAGGATGGCCTTTGAATGGAATGCAGATTCTCATTGAGCCCCCTGCACGGACAACTATTCCTTTCCTTAGCTCTGAATCCAGAATCACCTCAGGAGGATCAAGCTTGTCCAATGGTTTCACAACTCCTTCGACCTCGGTGGGCTCACCCACACCTAGCTTGTTGATGGCACATATGCGCACCTTGTATTCCTGGTGCTCCGTCAGCTTAGTGATGGTAAACCTGGTTTCACTGACTCCAGTAGGTGGAGTGCATATGCTCCATTCCTCTTCATCGGCCTTAGTAATTTCCACAGCGTATCCTTGAATCTCACAACCACCGTCGTAGATGGGCCGGTGCCAAGCCAGACCAATGGTGTTTTTAGTCACATCGACCACATGGACATTGGATGGACAGCCCGGTTCAAAGGAGGGGTCACAGGCCTTGAGGTAAGATGTAGACGGGCTTGGTAGACCCACTCCAGCTACATTCTCAGCAGATACCCTGAATTCATATTCATGGTCCTCAGTCAATCCTGTCACTCTGAAACGTAAGTCTGTCACCCTACGCTTGTTGCACTTGGTCCATCTCACTCCAGCTCTGTCTCTCTTCTCAACGATGTAACCAACAATTTCACTGCCTCCAGTTGCCTCCGGGCGGTTCCAGCAGACGGTCATGGAGTCTCTGGTTATGTTAGTGATCTCAAGCTCCTGAGGTGAGCCGGGGGGAACAAATGGATTTCTCATGATGACTGGCACTGATTCAAGAGGCTCGCCCGTTCCGTATTTGTTGACAGCCATGACTCTGAAGATGTACTCGTTGCCCTTCAACAGTTTGGTAACCTTGAACATGGTAGCTCCACAGTCACTGGAGACTAAGGTCCATGCCAGGCGGCTGGTTTCTCTCTTCTGAATGACATAGTGAGAAATGCTTGCTCCTCCATCGTGCCTGGGGGGCAACCATGACAGGGAGCACTTCTCCTCAGTCACATTGCTGACGGTGAGAGGTCCCTCTGCGGGACCTGGTCTGTCCAGGACCTTGACGCTGAATGGGACAGTCTTACTTCCAGCCACATTAGTCACAACAAGCGTGTACTGTCCACCATCCACTCGGATGGCATCCTTCACAACGAGCAAAGCCTTAAAATCTGTATTTTTGATCTCAGCTCGTGCTGAGTTTTCAACTTCAACATTTCCCTTGAACCACTGAGCTTTGGGGACGGGTTTTCCCTCCACACTGGCCTCCAGACTGAAAGTCTCACCAGCATTGAGGACAATGGTCTGGTTGTACATAGAATCCGTCTCACACTTAGGTTGCTCAATTTCATCCTTGGCTGTGATGGATCCCGTACTCTCAGAGGGCTTGCTGACAGCACCAGCTGCATTCCTTGCTATTACTCGGAAATCATATTTACTGTCTTCCGTCAGACCGGTCACTGTGAATTCATGTTCAATGACGTTCGCAAAGCTGGCCTTCATCCACTTTCCCTCAGGAAGGTCGCGTTTCTCCACGACATAGCCTGTGATAAGGCTTCCACCATTATACTCCGGAGCCGTCCACCTCAGCTTCACTGAGTGCCTGGTCACAATCACCGCGTCAGGGCGGCCAGGGGGATAACACTGGTCACGGGCTACATAAACCTCAGAGACTTTGCTGCATTTTCCAATGCCAACAATATTCTCAGCATAGACTCTGTATTCATACTCAATGCCTTCCTCAAGAGGAGCAGATTTGTACCTGCAGTCTTGGATGAGCATTTTGTTGATCTTGGTCCAGAGGATACTGTTCTTCTCCTTTCTCTCCAGATGGTAGCCCAAAATGGCACTTCCTCCATCCGATGGGGGTTTGTGCCACTCAACCACCATGTAGTCTTTAGAATATGTGGACACAAATGGTGTTCCCGAAGGGCCAGGCTCCTGGAACGGATACCGAGCCACAACAGGCTCTGAATCGATTGCATAACTCTTTCCCAATCTGTTCTCAGCATAGATTCTGAACTGGTATTCACTACCGGTCTTCAGATTGCTCACTTTTAGCGTGGTCCTTGCCAGAGTGGCAGATAAGACCATCCAGTTAGTTGTTGTTGTGTCTCTCTTTTCCACAACATAGTTGGTGATCGGGCAACCACCCGTATATGTCGGAGGCTCCCAGTTAAGAGTCATACTCTCAGCACTAACATCCTCAAATTTGACAGGGCCTGTTGGTGGGCCTGGTTTGTCTAGGGTAATTACCTCAATTGTGGCATCCTTAGAACCCAGGGCATTGACAATATTGATACTGTACATGCCTCCATCGTCTCTGGCGGAATCTTTTATGGTGAGGGTGGTGTGACGTGCCGAGTCAGTGACATTGACTCTGGTGGTCTGCTTGAGGGCTGCTCCATCCTTTGACCACGTGATGGTTGGCTTTGGATGACCAGCAACTGGCACCTCAATCTTCAGGTCATACCCCACCTGGACACTGTAGGAGCTCATATGGGGTCTAACGAAAGGCTCAATAACAAGGTCCTTAGCTAAAACAGATTGAGCCAGTTGTCTGGGGTCACTTTTGCCCTTGTCATTCACGGCAAAAACTCTGAACTGGTACTCCTCTCCCTTGAGCAGATTTGTCACTACAGTCTCCAGTGCTTTTCCACTAGCGCACAGGGACCAATTTTCGCTGTCCTTAGGAGCCAATTCAACCTCATAGTAACTGATCCTACTGCCGCCGTCATGCTCAGGCTTCTCCCAGGTAAGAGATACGGTGCTACAAGTGACGTCAACCACACTGACTTTACCCGGTGGCTGAGGCTTTTCAGATATCTTAAGTGGTTCTATGGTTTTAGCAGGGAGCCCCACGCCATATTCATTCTCGGCCAGGACTCTGAAGAAGAAGATTCCACCCTCTGGAAGAGGCTCAACTTTCCATGACATCTTGTTGCAGGTGGTGATGGGGGAATAAACTTTCCTAGTGCTCTCACGTTTCTCAACAATATAATGCTTTATCTTTGAGCCGCCATCCAGATGTGGAGGCTCCCATGTGAGAGTGACGGAATTCTTGGTGATCTCTTTCACCAAGAAGTTAGCCGGTGGACCAGGTGAATCCAAGACTCTGACACTGATGAAGACCGACTTCACTCCGCTGGCATTCTCTGCAGTCAGAGTGTACTTGCCGGTGTCAAATCTGTCAACATTCTCAATGACAAGTGAAGCATAGCTGCTTGTATTGTCAATCAGGGCAGTCTTTTTAATTTCACCCTCAGCCTTCCCCCATTTCACCTCAGGAGCTGGACGACCTCTTACGGGAACAAACAGCCTGAGAGTACTTGCTGATCTGATGTTGATCATCTTTCTCATATCACTATCCAAGTCAAGATCTGGAGCCTCCAGCTTTTCCTCCAGCATAATCTTTCCTGGGATATCAGCATGCTCCCCGACACCAACTTTGTTGATGGCGCAAACTCTGAATTGGTATTCGTGCTTCTCCAGAAGCTTTTTTACTGTGAACTTGGTGTCTGTGATTCCAGTTGGAGGAGTGCACATAAACCACTCATCAGTTGCTGAATTGCAGGCCTCAACAATGTAAGCCTGAATCTCACAGCCACCATCATAGATGGGTTTGCTCCACGTCAGAGAAACAGTGGACCTAGATGTGTCCACCACCTTGGGGTTGTTTGGCGGGCCTGCTTTGAAGACAGGATCCAATGCTTTGTAGTACACAGTGGGTGCACTAGGTGTTCCAACCCCAGCAGCATTTTCAGCAGCAACTCTGAATTCATAGCTGTGGTTTTCTAGGAGCCCTGTCACTCTAAAGCGCAGCTCACTCACTGTCCGCTTGTTGCACCTGGTCCATCTCACGCCGTCCTTGTCACGTTTCTCAACAATGTATCCATGAATGGAGCTGCCACCATCGTTAGTCGGTCTATCCCAGGTCACCACCATTGAGTCTTTGGTGATTGTGGAGACTTCTACATCTGTTGGTGAGTTGGAAGTGACAAACTGATTTCTGGCGATCATTGGCTCAGATTCTAGCGGCTCACCAACTCCGTATTTGTTGACTGCAATCACTCTGAAGATGTACTCATTACCAGGAAGAAGTTTTGTGATCTTCAGGTTCAGTGTCTGAACTTTTTGTTCAACGACAGTCCAAACCAGTCGGCTGGTTTCCCTCCTCTCAACAATGTAGTGGGACACATCGCTACCTCCATCTTGCAGGGGCGATTTCCAGGCGATGGTGCATTTCTCACTGGTTACCCCATAGATGGAGATAGGGCCATCAGGTGGACCTGGTCTGTCCAGGACCTTGACATTAATGTTAACAGATTTTTCTCCTCCAACATTCTTTACCAGCAAAGTGTACTGACCTCCATCAACACGGATAGCTTCTCTAACCACAAGGCAAGCTGTAAAGTCTGTGTTCTTGAGCTCTAGGCGGGCTGCGTCAGAAATCTCTCGGCCCTCCTTACACCAGTGTACATTGGGCACGGGCTTACCAGAGATACCCGCCTCAAGCCGGAATGTATCTCCAGCATTTACCACCACAGCCTGGGAGTACTTAGCTTCTAAGTCAATCTTGGGTGGATCAACCTCATCTTTGGCAGTGATTGATCCAGTAGAATCAGAAGGCTTGCTGAAGACACCTGCTGAATTCTTGGCAATGACACGGAACTCATAAATCTGATTTTCTGTAAGTCCTGTGACAACAAATTTAGTCTCAATGACGTTAGCAAAACTAGCTTTCATCCAGCGGCCCGCTCCTTCCTTCTTCTCAACCACATAGCCTGTGATCTTGATGCCGCCATCATACTCCGGTTTGGTCCATCTGAGTGTCACTTGGTTTCTTGTCACAATGACAGCTTCAGGTTTTCCTGGTCTGTCACAAGGATCTCTGGCCACTTGCATTTCACTCAGTTTGCTGGCTTTGCTGAGACCAACGATGTTCTCAGCATATACTCTGAACTCATATTCAATACCCTCCTCAAGGCCAACGGCCTTAAATCTGTTTTCTGGGATTATTTGTTTGTTCTGTTTCACCCACAATATGCTGTTTCTCTCCTTGAGATCCAAGTGGTAGCCCAGAATTTTGCTCCCACCATCACTGCTTGGTGTATCCCAAACAATCACCATGCTCTCCTTTGTGGCTGACTGGACCACCACAGAACGTGGTGAGCCGGGCACTTGGAACGGATACTGAGCGACAATGGTTTCAGAAAGCAGACAAGGGGACTTGCCATACCTATTCTCTGCAGCAATCCTAAACTGGTACTCAACTCCTGTCTTCAGACGGGCGGCCTTGATAGTGGTTCTGGCCACAGTAGCTGAGACAATCTGCCAGTTAGTGGTAGACGTGTCTCTCTTCTCAACAACGTAATTGCTGATGGCACATCCACCGTCATACTCTGGTGGATTCCAGGACAAGACCAGACTGTCAGCAGTGACCTCGTCCAGCTTAATTGGGCCAGTCGGAGGAACAGGCTTATCCAGAACAATGACATTGAGGTCTGTAGACGCTTCTCCAACTGTGTTGGTCAGTTTGATGGTGTATGTGCCCACATCATCTCTGCAAGCCTCCTTAATAACCAGGAGAAGGTTTTTATCTGTGGCTTCAGAATTAACTCTAGTTGTCTCCTTGAGAACAATGCCGTCTTTGAGCCAGGTTGCTGTAGCCTTTGGACAAGCAGCATATGGCACATGTATCTTCAGATCATCTCCTGCTAGCACACTGAATGTTGTGAAAATCTGTTTGAAGGTCGGTGGGATGACTAGGTCTTTAGCCACCACAGGCAGACTAAGGCCACGTGGATCACTAACTCCCTTTTCGTTGGTGGCTGAGATACGGAACATGTACTCCTCTCCCTGTGTCAGGCCAGTTACAATAGCCAAATTGGTCTTTACCACCATGACCTGGGTCCACTTCTCACTGCCTTTACCTTGCATCTCAATATTATAGCCAGTGATTCTGCTGCCACCATCATAATCAGGCTTTTCCCAGGATAGTGTGACACTAGAGCTGGTAACTTCAAGGAGCGTCACTTTACCTGGTGGCAGAGGCTTCTCTGACACAGTAATTGATTCAGGTGTCTCCACTGGGAGACCAATGCCGTATTCATTCTCAGCAAGGATTCTAAAGCAGTACATCTTTCCTTCCTCCAGGTCCCCAATTTTCCAACTGGACTTATGGCAGCTGGCGCAAACTGTTGAATAGGCCTTTCTGGTCGACTCTCGCTTCTCCACAATGTAGTTGCGGACTCTGGAGCCTCCATCAATGAGAGGTGCATCCCAAACGAGAGAAACGGAATCTCTGGTGATCTCCTTGATGAACAAATTCTGAGGGGCTCCGGGAGTATCAAGCACCCGGACATTAATAAAGGCCGTTTTGCTTCCTGAGGTATTCTCCACTGTCACCATGTATTTACCTGCATCAAACCTGTCCACATTGTCGATCTGAAGAGTGGTGAATGATGAGGTGATTTCAATATTAGCTCTGTCCAGGGATTCTCCATGCTCTCTTGACCATTTAACCTCAGGTACCGGTCTGCCTTTGATAGGAACAAAGAGTCTCAGGGTGCTACAGGCTCTGAGGCTGACCACCTTACGCAGCTCGGCTCCAAGTTCAATTTCTGGAGGAAGCTGTCTGTCTTCAGCCTTGGGGGTTCCGGGAACCGCAGCGGGTTCCCCCACTCCCTCGCAATTAGTGGCACAAACGTTGATTTTGTACTCTTGGTTTTCCTTCAAGCTGGTAATGGTGAAGGACGTGGCTGTCCACCCCTTCTTGGGAGTGTGTATTGTCCACTCATCTTCCTCGGGAAGGCAGGTCTCCACAATGTAGCCTGTGATTTCAGAACCTCCATCGTAGACCGGCTTGTTCCAGGCAAGGGTGACGGAAGACTTGGTTGTGTCCAGAACTCTGGGGTTCCCTGGAGGTCCGGGCTGGAAGATGCTGTCTACCGCTTTGTAGAATGGACTGGAAGGACTAGGCTGACTTAGACCAGCATTGTTCTCAGCAAGAACTCTGAATTCATATTCATGTCCTGGCGTGAGCCCGGAGGCCTTGAAGCGCAGGGTCTGTTACAGTCCTCTTGTTACATTTCACCCAGCGCAGGCCAGTCTTATCCCTTCTTTCAATGATGTAAGTGTTCAATCTGCTGCCTCCATCGTGTTCGGGACGCTCCCAGCACACAACCATGGAGTCCTTGGTAATGGTGGTGACTTCAGGCTGCTGTGGCGGGTCACTGGGAACATACGGGTTGGTACAGATGATAGGGTCAGACTCCAGCGGCTCGCCCACCCCATACTTGTTGACAGCCATGACTCTGAAGACGTATTCATTGCCCTTCAGGAGCTTGGTGACCTTAAACCTGTTTGCCTGAAGGTCTGTGGCAACGTTTGTCCATGCCAATCTACTGGTCTCTCGCCTCTGAATGATGAAGTACTCGATCTTGGCACCGCCATCATGTGTTGGATGTAGCCAGTTAAGGACACATTTCTCAGCAGCAACATCAGTAACAGTGAGGGAGTCCGGTGGCCCGGGTCTGTCGAGCACCTTGACGTTGTAGGTGAATTTGGCAAAGCCCCCAGGATTGCTGGCAGTGAGTGTAAAAGCACCTCCGTCCTTCCTCAGGGAGTCTTTGTTCGTTAGGGTTGTGTGGAAGTCACTTGTCTTTATCTCAAGCTTGGCTGTATCCCCAAGCTCCTTTTCTTCCTTGGTCCATACCAAAGATGGGATTGGCCTGCCAGTCACACTGGCCTCCAGCTTGAACAACTCTCCTGCCATGACAACAACATTGCTGCTATAAGACGAATCAACATCAAGCCTGGGCTCTTCAATGTCATCTCTGCATGTGATTGCCTCAGATGACTGGGATGGAGCACTGACAGCACCCGCTGAATTTCTGGCAAGCACGCGGATTTCATAAGTTTTATCTTCGATCAGACCACTGACTGTGTAGATGGTTTCCAGGATGTTGTTGAAGTTGGCTTTAAGCCAGCGTCCATTAGGCATCTCCCTCCTCTCAACTGTGTATCCAGTGATGGAGAATCCACCATCTCCCTCCGGTTTGGTCCATGATACTGTCACCTCGTGTCTGGTGACATTCAGTGCCACGGGTCTGCCTGGTGGGTCAACTGGGTCAAGCGCATACACTGTCTCCGAGGGTTTGCTTGGTTTGCTGAGACCGGCCATGTTTTCAGCAATAACACGGTGTTCATATGCAATTCCATCAACAAGGCCTGATGATTTGAAGATATTTCCGACAACAATGGCCTTGCTGACTCTCTGCCACAGAATGCTGTTTTTCTCTTTTCTGTCCACGTGATAGCCAAGGATGACGCTACCTCCATCAGAGGAAGGCTCATTCCAGCTCAGAGTCATAGCATCCTTGTTGAAAGATGTGATCACAGGAGTGCCTGGCTGGCCCGGCACATCAAATGGATACGCAGCCACTACTGGCTCAGAAACAACGCATGGTCCAATGCCATATCTGTTCTGGGCCTTGATGCGGAACTGGTACTGGGTCCCAGTGTTGAGGCGGGCTGCCTTGAATGTGGTGCGGATCACTGTCGCCGCCAACTCTATCCAGGAAGTGCCGGTAGTCTCCCGCATCTCAACGATATAGTTGTTGATGGGAACACCTCCATCATTCTCTGGTGCCTCCCAGGACATGAGAACGTAATCACAGGAAACCTCGTCCAGCTTTATGGGACCAGTGGGGGGACCTGGAATGTCGTGGACCAAGACTGTGATTGTCTCAGTCACTGTGCCCAGCATGTTCCTTCCAGTCATGGAGTACTGTCCTCCGTCAGACCTCTTTATCTCACTAATGTTGAGGATGGTTGACGTTGTTGTGGTTTCAACGTTCATTCTTTGTGTCTCCTTGAGCCCTATGTCTCCCTTCTTCCAGGAAACCACAGGTCTGGGTTTACCGAGTACAGGGATTTCCACTTTGATGCGATCCCCTGCCTTGGCGATCACCGTCATCTGGTAGACTCCACGCAGGTCAAAGGATGGAGCAGATGTCTGCTCTTTGATAATGGCGGGCCTGCTCTCGCGTGGGTCACTCCGGCCCGACGCATTGACAGCCATTATGCGGAAGGTATATTCTGCGCCTTGAACAAGATCTGTGACGGTGTAGTCCAGGGCCTTCAAGGTGTCCACATGAACCCACTGGTCAGTGTCCTTCTTCTGGGCCTCAATGACATACCCGGTGATCAAGCTGCCCCCGTCGTGAAGGGGCTTGGTCCACGCCAGACTCGCACTGTCATCTGACACATCTGTGACATACAAGTTCTCTGGTGCTGAGGGGGCCTGAGACACCCTGATTGGCTCAGGGGATTCAGCAGGCTCGCCTACGCCCAGGTCATTCTCGGCAGAGATACGAAAGTAGTAGTAAGCTCCCTCCTCCAGGTCTGTGAATTTGTAGGAGCACTTCTGCCATGTGGTGGTAATTACTGTGTAGGCCTTCTTGGTGGCCTCCCTCTTTTCAATAACATAGTTGCAAATCTTAGAACCACCATCGATTATGGGGATTTCCCACTGGAGGGTGATGGTGTTCTTGGTGATCTCTCTAGGCTTGACGTTCACTGGTGGTCCCGGTGTGTCCAAAACCTTCACATTAACGAAACCGGCCTTCTTCCCGGCAACGTTCTCAAGACAAAGGTTATACTTTCCAGCATCGTATCTGGTGCAGTCAGGAATAACCAGGAGAGTGTAGGACTCAGTTGTGTCAATGTGAGCACGTTTCTTCAGGTTGCTGTCATCTTTGCTCCAGGTTACTTCAGGAACAGGACGACCCCGAATGGGGACAAACATACGGATTGAAGCACGGCACCTGACCACCAGGGTTTTCCTGAGTTCAGCATCTAGCTCAAAATCTGGCAGCGTTTCCTGGTCCACCAGTTCAATCACGTTCTCAACCTCTGCAGGCTCGCCAACTCCCTCAGAGTTTAGGGCGGTGACTCTGAAGTGGTATTTGCCTCCCTTTTGAAGTTTACCAACGACATAATCCGTAGCTTTCAATGGATACTGTGTCTCCACCTCCCAGTCATCATGCCCTTCCTTTTTGTACTCAACAATATATCCTTCCACTTCAAGACCACCATCGTAGTGGGGCTTGCCCCAGGCAAAGGAAGCTGTGGTTTTTGTGGTGTCTGTAATCCTAGCGTTGGATGGCGGACCAGGTGGATCTAATAAACAAGGCAAACATTTTTAAATGAAACATGGTAATTTTTTTCTGCACATACAACTCTCCTGTCTTAAAATATGATCCAGGGTGAAGTGAAGTTTTACTTACATACAATGTCCTTGGTCATCACAGGTTGTGATGGCTGACTTGGCTCCCCGAATCCAGCCTTGTTCTCTGCAGTGACTCTAAACTCATACTCTACTCCCTCAGTTAGACCTTGCACCTTAAAGCGCAGGTCAGGGACCGTCCTCTTACTGGCTCTCACCCATCTCATTCCTCTCCTTTCTTTCCTCTCTACACAATATCCTCTGATGTCACTTCCCCCGTCCTGTATTGGTCTCCTCCATGAAATGGTGACAGCGTTCCTACTGATGTTATCGACCTCTGGGATTGAAGGTGGGCCTGGTGGTTCTGGAGAAGCAACATGAGAGAGAACATTTTAGTCAGTTATGCCTTGGTCTAAAATATAATTATAAGCAAATATAGAGCACATAAACTTACGGTAACTGTCAACCATTTTTATTGGACCGGAGTGGCTTGAGTCTCCGATGCCATACTGGTTCACAGCAAACACTCTGAAGATGTACTCATTGCCCTTGATCAGTTTGCAGGCTACATATCTGCAGTCCATGACGTTTTCGGCTAGCTTGGTCCACTGCAGGCGGCTGGTCTCTCTCTTCTCAAGAATGTAGGACTTGATGGAGAAGCCTCCATCCTCCTCTGGTGGAAGCCAAGTCAGAGTACACTTCTCGGCTGAGATGTTGCTGGCTTCAATGGGGCCTGAGGGTCCAGGCACATCCAGGACCTTCACCTTTACATGTTCCTCCTTAATGCCAAAAGGATTGCTGGCGGTGATGGTGTACTCCCCAGTGTTCTTCCTGCTTGCGTACTTGATAGCCAGAGAGGAGGAGGTGGGGGTGCTGGTGATGGTGATGATGTCAGAGCTCTTAAACTCACGTCCTCCCTTGGACCAGACAGCGGTTGGTGGAGGTTTTCCCAAAATCTTGGAGGCCGAGATCAGGATGGTGTCTCCCGCCTTGACGGAAACACCGTCCTTCATGCCTGGATCAATAGTGATGGTCGGGGGCTCTGCAGAGAAGACAAAAGAAAGATTTCAAAGAAGCTCCTCATTTTTTAACCAATCAATCCAAATTGGTTTCCCGCCCACCATATTCATCCTTGCAGGTCAGAAGCGCTGTTGTCTCTGACGGAACACTGATGGCCCCTGCAGAGTTCTTGGCCCTAATCCTGAACTGATACTGAGATCCCTCCGTCAGGTCGGGGACGGTGAAGGCACAGCCGTGGACATTGACGTGATTGGCCTTCATCCAGGTCTTGCCAGCGGCCTCCAGCTTCTCCACCATGTAGCCGGTCAGCTTGTGGCCGCCGTCGTATTTGGGGGGGGTCCACATTAGGGTGACCGTGGTCCTGGTGACATTGATCACGTCGGGCTTGCCAGGAGGATCTGACGGGACACAGAGTAAATCCGTTAAATAAACCATTTCCATTTAAGCATTTGGTATTGTAGGAAAAAACAAAGCAGTGAACCCACCAATCGGGTCGAGGGCAACCACGCCCTCGGTGACCCTGCTTGGCCTTCCAAGGCCAGCCGCGTTCATGGCCATCACTCGGAATTCGTACTCTAGTCCCTCGATCAGGCCGGTGACTCTGCACTCCTTCACTCTCAGAGGAGTCTTACTGGCCCGTTTCCACATCAGACTGTTCCTCTCCTTAAACTCCACATGATATCCTACAGGCAACACAAAATCAGTTGGAGATGATTGCTGCTGTTTGATATTTGCCCTAAAGTTCAAACTGTCCACCACAGTCTGTTACCGGTTATTGGGGAACCACCAGAGTCCTTCGGATCGGCCCAAGTCAAGATGGCTGACTCGTGGCGGATGCTCAATATTTCTGGTGGAGCAGGTGCCTCGGGCACATCTGGAGGAGGCAGAGAAAGAGAAATGAAACAAATAATTAACGACATTCTTTCCCATGTAACAGTCGTATTAAAACAGTGTCCCAAAACTGTAACTTTAAACTGACTTTAAAGTTTAACTTCTAATTTGTGCACACGGCAGTTTATTCCTGTATTACTCAGTGATGTAGTTAGGAGCGGGATACTCACTGAACGGGTGCTGGGCGACGACCGGGTCGGACCTCAGATGCTCGCCGACCCCATACTTGTTCTCAGCGAACACTCTGAAGATGTACTCTATTCCATCATGGAGCCGGATCACCCTCATGGTGGTCTTCTGGATGGCCGAGGCCACTGTGGCCCACTTGTTGTCCGTCGTCCTCCTCTTCTCCACAATGTAGTTGGACACCTCGGCGCCGCCGTCGTCCTTGGGCGGCGCCCACTCCAGGGTGATACCATCAGCGGTGATCTCCTCGAACTTGATGGGTCCGGTGCAGATACCGGGCTTGCCGACCACCTTCAGCTGGAACTTGCAGTCCTTGGAGCCGGCGCTGTTCCTGACGTGGACGTTGAAGGTCTCGGCGTCTCCTCTCTGGCAGTCTCTGATCAGCAGAGTGGTGACGCCCTGAGACGCCTCCACGCACATTCTGCCGGTGTCGCCGAGCACCACGTCGCCTTTCTTCCAGGTGACGGTGGGGGGGGGCACTCCGGTGACGGGGATGTTGATGCGCGTGGTGCTGCCCTCCTTCACCACGCAGCAGCCGTCGTGCAGGGCACTCAGGTTGCAGTCGGGCGGCACTGGAAAGCAAAGGAGCGGCTTAACAGGAAGGTTTCAACGACAAACCATCTGAACCACAACAGCACCCGGCACTGATTTCTCACCAAACTGGTCCTTGGCGACCACGGTGAGCTCGATGGGCGGTCCCTCTCCCGACTCGTTGAGCGCCTTGACTCTGAACAAGTACTCCTTGTCCGCGGTCAGCTCGCCCACAGTGTGTGAGGAGGTCTTGCCTTTCGCGATCTGCTTCCACTTCTGCTCGCCCTCGCTCTGCTCCAGGATGTAGGCGCTGACGTGGCTTCCGCCGTCGCTGAGGGGCTTCTTCCAGCCCAGGACCACGGAGTCCTTGGTGGTCTTTTGGGCTCTGAAGTCGGTGACTGGACCGGGTTGCTCTGAAGGGGGCAACAGATGAGTTAAGATCAAACATGGTTTCACTGTCCTAGATTGAATTACGTTAGAAAACACGCATACTACCTGTTAGTTTAAGACAACATCTCAAATAGACCACATACCCCTGAGATTGACAAGACAGATGTAAAAACCTCTGTTACTCTGCTTTACTGTGTGACCAACAGACACGTGAAGCTACCTGAGGCCCGGACGCTGCCGGCGGTCTCGCAGCCCTCCCCGATGCCGTAGGCGTTTTCGGCCAGCACTCTGAAGCAGTAGGCCTGTCCGGCCTCCAGGTTGGTGATCCTGAAGGAGATCTTGCAGCAGTCCGTTGCCACGCAGGTCCAGGCCTTCCTCTCGGCCAGACGCTTCTCCACCACGTAGCTCTTGACTGGGCTGCCACCGTCGATCAGCGGGGCGTCCCAGGTGATGCAGGCGTGGCTCCTGGAGGTCTCCTTCACCGTCAGGTTCAGCGGCGGCCCAGGAGAGTCTGTCGGGGGAGGTGAGACGATAGCTTTCGTTAGCATGATGAGAGTAATAATCCAGTCGTGGTTTACATGAAATCATCATCATATTGTTTAGGATTAAACTCATTTTGGTACCACTTATTCCATAATCTAATTTCACTGTTCCAACATTTTTGGTGATTTGCAGGGGGGTTATTTGCTCACTCACACAATGCGGCCCCCGGTGGACTGATCAGGGATAGCAGCTATTTATAATATACAACATAATAGTAATAGTGATTAGATATTATCCTGCGGGCCAAAGATAATTGAGTTTGACAAATGTGGGTTAAAGAGTTAACGTTTATAGATAAATCTGTGCATATTTAAATTGTGTTGCGGCCCCTATTTATGAAAACGACTTATCAACCATTACATATTTCTTCTCGCCTGTAACATACCGAGGCGTGCTCACTAGGGTGCGTGTACTCAGTGCGTCTCCTGCTCTCTTACCGAGGACCTTGACCACGATGGTGTAGCTTTTGCAGCCGCTGCTGTTCTCCAGCGAGAGGACATATTTGCCAGCGTCGTATCGGTTTATGTCCTCGATCATTAGCAGGGTGTCCCACTCGGACGTCTTGATCAGCACGCCCTGTCTGTCCTTCAGGACGGCGTCCACCTTGGTCCACGTCACCTTAGGCGCCGGTCGTCCCCTCAGAGGGACGTAGAGCCTGAGGGTGACGCCGGCTCGAAGAACCAAGACCTTTCTGAGGTCGGCGTCCAGCTCAGCTTCAGGAGCGACTGGAGGACAGAATGAAGGTCAATAATCCAGCGGTAGTTGACCCCTGTATTATTTATTCTGACGAGGTGCTGATAGCTGGTCATTTATCAATATTATTTTTTCCCTCTCACAGCGCAAACATTTTAACCAACATTTTAGTTCCGGTTAATAAACACAAATATTCAACCGTTTTCAATCCCGACAATCACAAATTTTGACCTTTTGAAAAGTTGTTTTTATGAAAAGAAAAAGAAAACTAATTATTTTCTGTATGCCGTTGACGAACACAATCGTTGCCTGCCCATTTACTCAGGGACGGCTTATCGAACAGGATCGATCAATATGATGGGCTGGGGGTCGTACTCAGGATGTCCTTGGGCGTGTGGTTTCCTGGGACCTCGCTGGGGTCGCTGAAGCCGATCTTGTTGACAGCGATGACTCTGAACTGGTACTCGGTGTCGTCCATCAGGCCGGTCATCAGGAACTTGGTGTTCTGGAGCTTCTTCGGGATGTTGCACTTGGTCCAGTGCTCGCCGTCGACTCGCCTGTACTCAACCAGGTAGCCGATGATGTCGCAGCCGCCGTCGTACGCCGGTTTGGTCCAGCTGAGGCTGATGGAGCTCTTGGTGGAATCCACCACCTTGGGGAACGCAGGCGGGCCGGGAGGATCTGGACACGGGACACGTGGACATATTTGTTATTCTTCTCACCATTGTTACACAAAGAGATAAATTGAGGCGCGAATATGTTCCAAGCGGATACTTACAGACGGGGTCGACGGCCAGTGCGGCGTTGGAAGCGTCGCTGGGTTTTCCCAGGCCGGCCTTGTTCATGGCGATGACTCTGAACTCGTACTCGGAGCCCTCGGTCAGCTGCACGGCTTTGATGGTCCTGTCGATGACGGGCCGGCGGTTGACCTTCGCCCAGGTCAGCTCGGTGGCCTCACGCTTCTCCACCATGTAGCCGAGGATGGTGGCCCTGCCGTCGCTGGCCGGGGCCTTCCAGCTCACTGTCATGGAGTTCTTGGTGATGTTGGTGATGACCGGTGGCTCGGACGGACCGGGAACGTCTGAGGGAAGAGACAAGTTCATGACCATCCGTGCTTGGCTTTGGCTTTCAATTAGTCTGTACGTCTCTATTCCTCTAAGCATATATATCATGCAGAGGTGTGGACTGAACTTCATACCATACGGGTTCTTGACCATGACGGGCTCGGCCGTGATGTGGTCTCCGGTGCCGTACTGGTTCTCAGCGCTGACTCTGAACTCGTACTCGTGTCCCTCGATCAGTTTGTCCACCAAGCAGTCGGTGACGTGTCCGTGGATGTTGGCGGAGACCAGTGCCCAGTTGGCCCTGCTGGTCTCACGCTTCTCGATGATGTAGTTGGTGATCTCAGAGCCGCCATCGGCCAGCGGGGGCTCCCATCGCAGCTTAACGCGGTCTGCAAACACCTTGGCGGCTTTCACTGAGGCCGGAGGGCCAGGTTTGTCTGCGGGGGGACGAGTGGGAGATTCTCAGTTTGTCTTTATATACAAGACATGATATCAATACAATATCAGCTCTGACTTACCCAGCACTTTGACCTTGATGGTGGCGTACTTAGAGCCATTGATGTTGTCAGCGGTGATGGTGTAGTCTCCAGACTCCTTCCTGGTGACGGAGAAGAGCTCCAGCAGGTGGACGTGTTTCTTCTGCACCATCTTCAGTCCCTCAACGAGAACCAAAGGCACTCCATCTCTCTTCCAGCTCACCCTGGGCAGCGGTTTGCCAAACACCTCGGCATCCAGGGAGACGTTCTCTCCGGCTTTCACCACGATCAGGTTCTTCATGTTGAGCCCCAGCTCAACGCGAGGAGGAACTGCACACAGGAGAAGAAGGGAGAACAACGGTCATCAGATGTCAGGAGCAGCACAGCTCACTCACGCTTGTCCTTGGCGGGTGCAGGGTTACCATTCTGTGCGATGACAGGGATGGGGTCGGACAGCTCGGACGGCAGGCTGACGTTGATGGCGGTCTTGGCGATGACCCTGAACTGGTACTGTTGGCCTTCTTCCAGGCCGCCCACCACGTAGCTCTCTGCCTGGATGTTCATGCAGTTGGCGTTGCATCGTGTCCACTTTGCTTCTGGAAGCTTTGTGTACTCCATGTAGTAGCCGATCAACTTGCTGCCTCCGTCGTGCTTGGGGCGGCTCCAGACCAATGAGACCGAGTGTTTGGTCACATCCATGGCCTCGGGTTTGCCTGGTGGGTCTGAGGGGAGAGAAGCAAAGTTATGCCGTCTGAACGTTGAGTGACCAAGAACCCGGGCGGTGATTTCAAAAAGAACAAACACAATTTCAGCAGTTCTGCTCTCTTAGAAGTAGAATGCTATGCTTTACTGTGACAAACATATGGAGGATGACACGTACCAACAGCCGTCCTGGCAGTGATCAGGTCCGTCTGTTTGCACGGTTTGCCCTGTCCAGCCATGTTGAGTGCCGACACCCTGAAGGTGTACTCCACGCCCTCCATCAGGCCCATGCAGGTGTACTGGGTGGCTTTCACCAAGGACTCGTTGGCCTTCACCCACAGAAGGCTGTTCCTCTCCTTCTTCTCAATGCAAAATCCGGTTAGGGGCGAGCCCCCGTCGCTGCTGGGACGCTCCCAGGACAGGATAACAAAGTCTTTGAAGACTTTGTTGATTTGCAGGTTGATGGGCTCGCTGGGAGGGTCTTTAGGTAAAAAAAGAGTCAGTACATATTGTTCTTTGCCATAATATCAATGATAACGTTTGGCTCACACTTACCAAATGGGTGTCTGGCAATCATCTTCTCGGAGTAGATGGGCGTGGAGACGCCCAACCTGTTCTCAGCACGGACTCGGAAGCTGTACTCTTTGCCAGTCGTGAGTTTGGTTACTCTGAAGCTGGTTTTGGTGCAGGACGTGGTAACGGGGACCCAGTCGCCCCGGCTGACGTCACACTTCTCCACAATATAGTTGGTGATGTTGCTCCCGCCATCTTCCTGCGGGGAGTTCCAGAGCAGCGTGCAGGCATCGATGTCCTGTTCTGTGATCTCTATCGGCGCTTCGGGGGGTCCAGGGATGTCTGCAGTGACACAGAGGAGGAGTTATCAATGTAAACACATAGTCATCCGTCTCCGTCAGCTCCAACAGCTTCGGTGGTTCAGACTGACCCATGACGGTGACTCTGAGGATCTGGTTGATCCTGCCGGTGCTGTTCTCAGCCGACAGGCTATAATAGCCGCTGTCCGTTCTCTTCACGTTCTTTATGATAAGCGTGCAGGTCGTCAGCGTCTTTACCACCGCCAGGCGGTCGGAGGTCAGCACGTCCTCGTTGCCCTGCTTCCACTTGCAGAAGGGAGACGGTTTACCCGCCACAAGGGCCTCAACCACCAGTTTGGAGCCCGCTCTCACCGTCACAATGTCGGGCATGATGATCTTAGGAGCCACTGGGAGGAAGGAAAAGCACCAAAGTTTGCTACAGACATTCATCCGTTTGCGTTATTGTTTGAGCAGTCTGGGGTGGAGGTGCAGGTTGAGGTCTACTCACTGAGCTGCTCCTTGACCTCAAAAACTCCCTCTGCCTCTCTGGCCAGACTGACTCCCACTGAGTTCCTGGCGGCCACTCTGAACTTGTATTTGGTTCCTTCCTTCAGACCGACCACCACGATGGTCATGTCTTTGACCACCGAGTACGGCGTCCACTTGTCCTCGGGAGCGCCCTCCTCCTGGTAGTCCACCACGTAACCGTTGATTTTGGCTCCTCCGTCCCTGAGCGGCTTCAGCCAGCCCAGCGTGGCACTGTTCTTGGTAATCTCCAACACGTCCATCTTCTTCGGAGGGTCGGGCTCGCCTGGATGCGGCACACAAAAAGGTGTCAGGACAAATGAGGGAAGCAACAAACAGGCAGTTCGGTCAGTTCAGACACTCACTGATTGGGTCGACAGCCAGGTAGGACTTGGGCGAGTCTTGAGGAACTCCGATGCCATACTTGTTGCAGGCTGTGACTCTGAAGTAGTACTCGATGCCAGGCGTCATGTTGGTCACCTTGAAGCTGGTCTTCTTTAGCTCATCTGTGCACTTGTTCCAGGTCTTCCTGTCTACCTCTCGTTTCTCCACGATGTAGTTGAGGATGGGGCTGCCGCCGTCGTTATCTGGCGGCAACCAGGACAGCTGGGCGGAGGTCTTGGTGATGTTGTTTGCCTCCAGGCCGCCGACGGGACCAGGAGTGTCTGCAGAGGATGATGAATAAATCAACTACGTTGGTCATACGGTTTCCTCAAAGGCAAATGTTGCAGCTCGTCATGATTATTTTCTCACCGAGGACTTTGACACGGACGTACACGGCTTTCTCTCCAGCCGAGTTGGACAGAGTCAGGGAGTATCTCCCAGAATCGTCTCTGGTGCTCTCAGGGATGACCAGGAAGGACATAGTGTCCACCTGGTCCACATGACCTCGGCGGATCACGTTGTCCACTCCCAGGCGCTTCCAGGTGACCTTGGGGGACGGCCTTCCTCTGATCACAGCAAAAAGTCTGATCGGACAGCCAGCCCGGACAGACAGGCCTTTCCTCAGACTGGCGTCCAGGTCGATCTCTGGAGCCTCTGTTGCCATAGAAACACGTTGATGTAGAGATTATTAGTGTTGTTAACATTGTTGAAAAAGGACGATACAGCCTCTGTGGGCCGTAGCAGGCATCCATTCTTACCCAGGACCTCCTTGGGGGAGACTGCCTCCTTCAAGTAGGCGTGGCGCCCCCAGCCCACCTGGTTTTGGGCGGACACTTTGAAATCGTACTCCAGCTTCTCATCCAGCTGGCCGATGGTGAACTCTGTCATCACCAACGGGCCGTGGGTGTCAATTCTCTTCCAGCCCTCTGAAGGCTTCTCGGGGTCTGCGTCACTTTTCAGCCTCAGGTCGAGGCTGTAGTTGATGATGGGGGCACCACCATCATACACAGGCTTAGACCAGGACAGGGTGATGGAGGTCTTGGTGCTGTCACCCACTTTCAGGCCTGCAGGGGGGCCAGGGGGCTCTGCAAATACAGAAAGCAACTCAGAGTTCAATAAAGGTACTTGCTGTGGGCAACACGTCATCTGATCTCAAGAACAGCAAACTGACCGATGGGATCTTTGGCTGCGACGGGCCTGCAGGGTTTGCTGGGTTCCCCCAGGCCCACCTCGTTCTCCGCCTTCACCCTGAACTGGTATTCATGGTTGGGAATCAGGTTGGTGACCTTCATGCGTCTCTCGGAGATGGGGCTCTTGGTGCATGGCACCCAGCGCACTGCCCTCTTCTCCTTCCTCTCCAGGATGTAGCCGGTGATCGACTTCCCTCCGTCATTCTCAGGAGGAGCCCAGACAACGGTCATCTCGTCTTTACTCACCTGGACAGCACAAGAGCACGGAGGTGGTTTACTACTACTGCTGCTGCTATCGAGGCGGATACATGAGCCCATTGTTGTTCCTAAACCCCTTTTAGTATTTGACTTACCTTGGTGACGTCAGGAGCTTCAGGGGGTCCAGGTTTGTTGAACTGGGTCTTGACAGTGACAGGCTTGCTCTCCATGGCCGGCCCCGTTCCCATCTTGTTCTCAGCCCTTACTCTGAAGATGTACTCGTTGCTCTCCACCAGACGAGTGACGTTACAGTACGGCGTGACCACAGAGGCCGAGTACGTGGACCAGACCATCCTCCTGGTCTCGCATTTCTCCAGGATGTAGCTGTCCACCTCACAACCGCCTTCGTCCTCCGGAATATCCCACACCACTCTGCACTTGTCGGCCCCGATGCCGGTGATTCTGAGGTTCCTCACTGGGCCGGGGACGTCCAGGACATTAACGTTGGCGTACGCTGTGAAGGTGCCGGCCGAGTTGGTGGCGGTGATGACATACTTTCCGGTGTCAGTGCGTCTGGACTTGGTCAGAAGGAACTTGGAGTAGTCGGTTGTAGTCTCGTAGCTGATTCTCGGGTTGTCTCCGACAGCCTTGTCTTTCACCCATTTGACTTCAGGCTGGGGCTTCCCTCTCAGGGCGGCCTCCATTCTCACGGACTCTCCGGCCCTCACCGTCACAGCTCCGGACAGCTTCAAGTCAATGACGGGCTTCTGGATCTCCTCCCTCACTAGCACGTCGGCGAGTTTCACCCAAGCACTCTCACCGCCTTCGTTGACGGTCTGCACCCTGGATAGCGAACAATAATAATCACTAGGTGTTATTATCAAGTTTAGCTTTGTTAGCTGTACAATAGTTTCTGAGCTACTTGAGTGAGTAGAGACAACCTACCTGAAGGTGTACGTGTGGTTCTCCAGGCACTTGTCAGCCAGGAAAAAGGTGTCGGTGAGATTGTCGCTGCTTAGTTTATCCCACTCTGTATCTGCATCTTTGTCTTTAAACTCCAAGTTGTAGGAGATGTTGGCACTGCCGCCGTCGTAGTCGGGCTTCCTCCATCTCAGATAGACGTGGTGCTTACCGATTTCGGTGGCTCTGAAGTTCTCAGGCTCCCCTGGATTCTCGATTGGGTCGATGGCCAGCAGAGGGGTCTTGGTCTCCACGCATGGGCCCGGGCCCATCTTGTTCTCGGCACAAACGCGGAACAGGTACTCATGGCCTTCCATCATCTTCGCCTTGATCTTGCGGTTTGTGCAGTGGGAGCTAATCATAGACCACATGCTAATGCTGGGCTCACGGCACTCCACGATGTAGTTGGTGATCTCAGATCCACCGTTGTCCTTAGGGGCCTCCCAGTTGAGCATGCACGAGTCCCTGGTGACATAGGTCGTGTGCAGGTTCTGGCAGTGGCTGGGTCGGTCCAGCACATTCACTGTGATGGTGCAAGAGGCCTCGCCGCCCACATTTGAAGCCTTCAGGACATACTTGCCGTGGTCATCCCTTGTGGCCTCCTTGATCTTTAAGTGGACCACGGGGAAGTTCTGAACGATGGTGACACGTTTGCTGTTCTCCAGAACTGTCTCCTCCTTTGACCAAAGCACTTCTGGGTCCGGACGGGCCTTGATGTACCCGATGATGTTGATGTTGTGGCCGACCCGCACGGTGAGGCGATTGCGGCAGGTGGCGTCCATCTCGATCTCCGGAGGGATCAGGATATCCTGAGCAGTGACGGACTCTGGGATTTCTCTGGACTCTCCATCTCCAATCATGTTGGTGGCATAGACTCTGAAAGCGTAAGTGGCGCCCTCCTCCAGGCCCTTGACCCTGTAGGCACACTGCTTGATGAAGTCATCCAGGTTCACCTTTTTCCATTCATCACTGTCTCCCCGTTTCATCTCCACAGTGTAGCCCAGGATGGGGCTGCCCCCGTCTTTGTTGGGTTTGCTCCACACCAGGTCGGCGTTGGTCTTGCTGTAATCTCTGACTTTGGGGTTGACAGGGGGGCTGGGGACCGTGATGGGCCTGCAGGGCTTGCAGAGGTCAGAGGTGGGAGAGGGGCCGCTGTAGCCGACAATGTTCTCAGCAAACACTCTGAACTCGTACTCGTTTCCCTCGAACAGTCCCTCCACTCTGTACCTCAGGTCCTTACAGGCTGTCTTGTTGACACGGATCCACTTTCCTCCCTTGTGCCGGCGCTCGATGATGTAGCCAGTGATCTGGCTTCCGCCGTCAGACAGGGGCATGGTCCAACCGATCGTAACGGAATCCTCTGCGATATCAGAGGGCTGTGGCTTGCCAGGCTGGCTGGGTGGCAAAAAAGAGTGTTCGGCAACAGTGGGCTTGCTCTCCAGAGCGCCGCCGATGCCCATCTTGTTCTCAGCACGGATGCGAACCACATACTCCACTCCCCTCTGGAGGCGGGGAATGTTGAGCTTGGTGGCCAGGCCGACGGAGCCCACCCCTCCCCAGGTCTCCTTGTTGGACTCGCGCTTCTCCACGATGTAGTTGGTGACGGGGCTACCGCCATCGTCCTTGGGAGGACGCCACTCAATCACCATGGAGTCCGGGGTGACCTCCAGGATGTTAGCGGGTCCAATGGGAGCAGCGGGAACATCCAGGACCGTGACGCTCAAGGCCACCGTCTTGGTTCCGGCCGGGTTGGCCACGGTGAGCAGATAGGTGCCCGTGTGGTTCCTGGTGCACTCGTTAATAGTGAGCACAGTGGAGAAGCTGTCGGTATCCACCTTGACGTTCCCCTCGCTGGTGATCTCCTCTCCTTCGATGGTCCACTTGGCAGAGGGAATGGGTATTCCTCTCATGATGGCTGGCAGCCGGATGGTGCTGCCGGCTTTTACGGTGATTCCTTCAGTGAGCTTGACGTCCACCTCGACGACTGGAGGCACTGTGGACATACGGACAGAAGAGAGAAGTTAAAAAACAGGGAAACACTTAATGTAACTGCAGCATTCCTGTGCCTTGAGCACCGCCAACGATGACTGACTGAGAACCAATTCAAGCCTCGTTAGTTTGCTCATGTTGACTTAAATGAGGAGTAAATGTGCATGAATGCTGATGCTACAGAAAGTAGGAATACGTATTCCATGTGAGACATAGAGAGCTCACCCAGTTTTTCCTGGCAGAGGATAGGCACAGTGGTGTCGGGTCTGCTGAGGCCAATGGCGTTCTCCGCCCTCACTCGGAAGCGGTAAGTCTTTCCTTCCTCGAGGCCAGTCACATGACTCTCTGGGATGCTAACAATCTTCCACTCGTCCCAGTCCTTCACTCCCTCCTCCTGATACTCCACCAGGAAGCCTGTGATTTCACTTCCGCCGTCGCGGTCGGGCCTGTTCCACACCAACCACACCTCAGTCTTGTCCACATCGTCATGGTGCAGGTCTTTAGGAGGACCAGGAGGGACTGCAGGGACGGACGAAAAAAACAATTAGCTTTGAACCGGTGAAATTGAGCATTGGAAACATTGGTTTGACCTATCAGGGTCCAAAAGGAGATTGAATAAATGCTTTTGAGAGTGTGAGACCATTGAAAATATTTGCAACAGATCTCTGAACCCGATACTTTTAGCCAGTAGGAAACATTGTCAAACGTGATGTACTGCACAATAATCTGCTGTTAGCTGTACTGGAACTCACACAGCGGATTCATCGCCTTGATGGACTTTGGCGTCTCGACATATTCGCTGCGTCCGTACTGGTTCTCGGCGGCGACTCTGAACATGTAGGACGTTCCCTCCATCAGGTGCCTCAGCATCATGCTGCGTTTCTTGGAGGTGGAGCAGACAGGGATCCACTGAGTAGCTGCCGCGTCTTTCTTCTCCACCACAAAGTTGGTGATGCGAACACCGCCGTTGTCCTCGGGGTCCTTCCAGGACAGGTAGGCGGAGTCGCTCCTGATGTCAGACACCCGGAGGTGCTGGATGGGACCGGGTTTGTCTAAAGAAAACATAACACGCATGGAACTTCACAAAAAGGCTTCAACTTAATTAATATCTGGTACGCTGCTGCCACAGCCAAGGGGAGGGGCCGACTATCATGTGACAGCTTGGAAGGTGATTGAGTGAAATCTGCCATCCCTCCAGGACCCTGAGATCCACGATCCACTCCCCTCTGGCAGGAAGCTGCAGTCAGAAAACTAACGGCAACAATGAGTTTCATCCCGACTCGATTGACGGCGCTCCGGCATCAATATTCTGTCAGTCAATTTTTCCTCTAATGTTCTTGACTTTTGAAGAACTGCCTGTGTTTTTATTTACACTTAATAGGCAATTATACCCAATAAACCTCATTCTGGAATGTATCAAATATATGTCCGATTTTTTTATCCTCCCAAAACGCATACAAAAGGACTGAATAAAACTCAAGCTAAAACCGTTGATTCTCACCAAAGACCAGCACGGTGCAGGTGGCCGTCTTGGAACCGGCCGGGTTCTCCACAGTCAGGGTGTAGTCTCCACAGTCGTCGCGGTTACAGAACCTCATCTCCAGCTTGGTCCCGGTCTGGCTGGTCTCGATGTCGGCCCTGGTGGGCACCTCGGCCTCGTTCTTCTGCCAAGTGACGGTGGGGAACGGGACCCCCTTGATGGTGGCCATCAGAGAGATGTGAGTGCCGGCCATGGCCTTCACCTCTCGGGTCATTGCAGCATCAAGAATCAGCTCTGGGGGCTCTAAGGGGCGGAACACAGTGACATCACATTTGTACACGGCACTCCTTGAGCCAGCGTTGGTTGGGATGCTTCTCAAGCACAGAAATGAAGCCTCACCGAGTCTGTCTTGGACTCTGATTGGCTCCTTCAAGCTAGTTGGGTCGGACTCGCCAGCCGCGTTGACCGCTGTGACTCTGAATCGGTACATGAATCCGTTGTCTAGGTTGATCACCTTAAACTTGGTCTCTTGGCAGGACTCCGGAGTCTGGTTCACCTGGAGACAGCAGCAGGACCAGTTCAATACCATGGGGGTCAGGGGTCACCAAACCAAAGGGGTAAATCCTCTGGGCAGCACATTGACTGGTATTTGGACCTCAAGAGCCTCACCTTGGACCACTCCTCCTCTCCAGCCTTCTGGAACTCCAGCAGGTACCCGAAGATCTTCCCTCTGCCGGTGTCGGTGGGCGGCCGCCAGGACAGACTCACCGACTCCTTGGAGAAGTCGATGGCCTGGAAGTTCACCGGTGGACTGGGTTTCACTGTCAGGGAGGAGCGAGTCTTTGTTGTGAGTGGGGTTGGGTGGAAGCCGTGAAACACAGTGTTTCTGCAGGACGGGGAACTCACCGATGGGGTCTTTGGCAAAGACAGGTTTGGATGGGGGGCTCGGGTCTCCGGCTCCCACGATGTTCTCGGCGCTCACTCTGAACTCGTACTCACAGCCCTGCAGCAGCTCCGTCACCAAGTACTCCACCTTGGGATGGATTCTCTCCGTGTTGCAGCGAACCCACCTGGAAGCAGAAAGGCCACTGAGGAGCATGTTTGCTTCGGCAGCTCCACCGTGTCATATCTTATGGGCAGAACCACCAATTCTGAATGATTTTATTGGGATTAGTTCTTTTAAATATTGAGGTTCAAAATTGTAAGTTAGCTGTCTAACTAACTAACTAACTAACTGGTAACTGGTTGCAACTGGTAGTGAAGATGTTAGTGCGTCAATGTCCAGGTGATCTCGTTGATGGTCTACATCCAAGGCTGAGCAGGAGACCCCCCCCCAAAAGCACAAACGTCTTAGAGACTGAAGCTGGAGGACCCTGGAGCATACCTGTGGGCCATGGTCTCCTTCCTCTCCACGATGTAGCCTGTGATTGGCTTCCCTCCGTCAGCAGGAGGTTCCCAGCTGATGAGGGCGGAATCGTGGTGGACCTCCTTCACGGTAGGCTGTTTAGGGGCGTCGGGCACCGCTGTGAAAGAAACAAGATCCCAGGATCAGATGGGGTCAGGTGGCCCTCTACGGAGTGCTGAGAGCCTCCTGCTGACTTACTGAAGACGTCTCTGGCCTTGGTCTCTGCAGACTGAAGAGGCTCGCTGATGCCGTAGATGTTTTGAGCCATAATCCTGATGATGTAGTCACGACCCTCGATTAGCTTCGGCACCTGAAGGACAGCAGGAATCAGTCATGAGGGCTCTCTTCAGATCATCTGAATCAGAGGGTCGGCAGTTTGATCCCAGGCCTGGCTAACATGCATGTCCATGTGTCCTTGAGCAAGACACTTAACTAGGGTTGCAAAGGGGGGGAAAGTTTCCTCGGGAATTTTGGCTCGGGAAGTTTTTTTGCAAAAGCATATCACAGGGAACTTAAATGTAGTTGAGAAGAAGACTTTGCACGCCGAGCTCAGCTGGATGCAGCTTATTGGGAACATTGTTGTTTTCTATTGTCTTTACCGAGCATGTTGATGACTTGGTAAACTGAAGCTGTGTTCACTTGTATACAGTAGACTCACTTTACAGCAGTGAGAGTACGATGTATGTATGTCCACACAAAAGTACACCAGCACCTCCATTATTTGTGGCTTTCGGGATCCATCAAAAAGCGCGAGTTGGGCAACTTATCACACTACAGGAGTTCTGATGATGTTACCGGGTAAATATGTTATTGATAAGACAAACAAGCTGCTAGTCGTTAACCAACTGACAGCTCATCGTATCAGTGTTGAGCTGTCATGGGTGGGTGATGGGCTACTGTACAGTGGCTTAACAGTAAGATAGCCGTCTTACTACCTTCATGTCTCGTCAAGACGGGTGTCTGGCTCTGTCAAAAAAAACGTTGGTTTTGGTCTTTTAAGATGGTTGCGTCGATGATATTATGTGCCGTTGTACTGTACTCTATCATGTACTGTAATGACACCAACATAATACATTTCAACATAATGCTCCACAGTCTCGTACCCTGTGCACAGAACATATCTTTGTCAGTAAATGACATCTGGTACGTGGTCCTTTTTCCAGTGGATTTGTTTCCGCTTATCGATAAATTGTCAGCGACTACGATGAGATCGAGTTGTACGTAGAAGCACAGCAGGCGCTGTAGTGCGTCACAAAACGCATTTACGAGTCTTAGACTTCATGTACGTGGACTAACCAACGTGTCCCCACCTTGCAGCTGGTCCTGGTGCAGGACGAGGTGACGGGCATCCAGAGGTCTCTGTTGGTGTCTCTCTTCTCGATGATGTAGTTGGACACCGCGCAGCCTCCGTCGTCCAGGGGAGGGTTCCAGGAGACCACCATATAGTTCCTGTAGACCTCGTTGAACACCACGGGGCCCTCAGGAGGCTGAGGGCGGTCTGACGGGAGGAAGAATTCATACAGGTGAGTCCTTCATGGGGATTGGCTGTTCGTATTTGTCACAGCCTCCCTTCCTGCTCAGTCCACTTCTTTGTTCTAGAGAAAACCCAGAGCAAGTCTTCTTCTCATCTCTACGCGCTCCGACTCACCGACCACGGTGACGGTGCAGGTTCCCGTGCGAGAGCCGGCGGCGTTCTCCACGTGGGCGCGGTAGCACCCGCTGTGCTCTCTCTTGGCCTTGCTGATGCTGAGGCTGAGGTGGCGCGCGGTGCTGTGGATGAAGATCTCCTCGTCCGCCTTCAGCTCCTCGTCATTCTTTGTCCAGGTGATAGCCGGGGCCGGTTTGCCGCTGTAGCGTCCCGCCAGCGTGCACGTGTCTCCCACCTTCACCATCATCTTGTCCCTGAAGTCCAGGTCCAGGACGGGTGGTTCTAAAGGAGGACACAGTAAACTGTCAGGGTTTCTTATTTCCCACAAGGAAAAGGATTCACATCTCCCACAATTCTGTTCGCTTTCCATCGGATCACTGAACTCACCGAGCTCGTCCTTGCACTGGACGGGTTTGGTGGCGAAGGACGGTTTCCCCTGTCCCACCTGGTTGACGGCGGAGACCCTGAACTCGTGGCTCGAGCCCTCCTTCAGCCCCGCCAGGGTGAACTTGCTGTCCATCAGCGCCGTCTCTGCACCTACTCGTGTGAAGCTGTCCCGGCCGACCATGCGGGACTCCAGGACGTAGGCGGTGATCTCAGCGCCGCCGTCGTACTTGGGCGCTCTCCAGGTGACGGAGAGGGAGTCCTTGGTGACGCCGGTGATGATCAGGTCCTCCGGACGCTCAGGGACGGCTGGAGGACACAGGCGGACAGAGACGTATTAAGGGACATGTCCTGTTTGGTAGTAGCTTTATAGCCTGACATGTTGCATGATGTCATCTTATGGGCCCCAGTTTTGAATAAATGTTCAGAAAGTAACTGATTTTTATTGAAAATTCGCTGATAGTTATTAAACTATCTGTATTCAAAACCAATTAGCTGTGTTTCTGTCACACTTCTTCACCGGTCTTTATGGGGGGAGAGCGGGGAGAGCGGGGGAGGGGGGCACCTCAGAAGAGAACTCAAATCAGCACCGAGCTTCAGCGTCACATAGACACTGAGTGTTCCCTTGTTGATGAATCTGATTGGACAGAATATTACAGTTCTAGCGTGGGACGTACAGATGGGGTCCTTGATGAGGACCATCTTGTCGGTCTCGATGAAGGGCCCCATGCCGATGATGTTCTCGGCTGCGATCCTGAAGAAGTAGCCCTTTCCGTCGAGGAGTCCCTGCACCACGGCGTTGTTCCTGGTCACCGTGTAGGACACTGAGGTCCAGCCCATGCGGTCCGACACCCTCTTCTCGATGATGTAGTTCGTGATGGCAGAGCCGCCGTCGTCCTCTGGGGAGTACCAGGTCAGCCTACAGGAGTCGTTGGTCAGGTTCTCGCCGGCAAAGGGGAGGCCGACGGGTCCCGGGACGTCTGCGGGGGAGGGGACAGGAGGTCAGGCGTCTCGTTATCGTAAACACGTGACACGAACCCCTCTGATGAACGCGACTCACCAAGGACCTCCACGATCACGGCCTTCTTCCTCTCGCCTCCCTCGTTCTTCGCGCTCAGCGTGTACATGCCCTGGTGTTGGCGTCTGCAGTTCTTGATGACCAGCGAATTGGAGATGCCCGTCGTCTCCACCACGGCCTCCTTGGGCACCTCGCCGTCGTCCCGGCACCAGGTGATCAGGGGGGCGGGTTTACCAGACACGTAGGCGATGATGCGGATGGTGCTGCCGGCGTGGACCACGATCTTCTCCTTCACAGAGGCGTCCAGGTCCATCTCAGGAGCAACTGGACAAAGAAGAGGACGGTTTGTATTCTATAAAACGCTTAATCATCACAAACAGTGGACAGCGGGAGGCGGATCACGTCCTTACTGGTTCGGTCTTTGACCTCAATCAGCTCCGAAACAAGTCCCGCCTCTCCCACCCCTGCTGCGTTCACGGCGCGGACTCTGAAGCGGTACAGACCGCCTTCCTTCAGACCGGCCACCACGAACTTGGTTCCTCTGATCTCGGTGTCCTTTGCCTGCAGAGAGAGAGACGAGATGAGACTCGGGGAATGAAACACCACGAAGCTCCTGGGCCCAGAAAGGCTTTAATGTCTCTCTGTCAGATGTTATTAGACACGAGAGGCCGCGGCCTTCACGGTACGAGCTCATTCTTCATGACATCAATTCTAAAAATCCAATGTGATCTCTTTCTGTCTCATTGGAAAAATCAATAATTATCGTTCCACCAAGTGCAGGTTCCATACTGGACCCTGATTGGTCGTGACGTCACAGAGATTCCCAGTCAGCTCACATGGGAGACACATTTCTTGGACGGACTCGACCTCACTGACCTTCTCCCAGGTGTCCTCGCTCTCCGGCTCAGTCTCCTCCTCATCGCCACTCAGCAGCAGCCTCCTCTGAGCCTTCTTCTCCTCCTCCTCTTTGTTCACCTCCTTGAACTCGGCGATGTAGCCCGTGACCTTGGACCCTCCGTCCATAACGGGGGGCATCCACTCCAGCTCCACGGTGGACTTGGTCCAGTCCGTCACCTTGGGAGTGGGAGGCCCGGGAGGTTCTGCACACGCACACACGTTACCCGATGCTGTGAGCTCTCTGCAAACGTCTCTGACGAGCTTAAAGTTACACAAACTCTTACCGATGGGGGTCCCTGCAGAGCGCGGGGTCAGAGGGCACACTGGGCAGCCCGCAGCCGGCCGCGTTCATGGCGATGACCCTGAACTGGTACGTGGCGCCGTCCTGCAGGCCCGTGACGTCCCAGTAGTTGCCCAGAGGCAGCGCTCGGATGGGGTCGCGGCTCACGCGGACCCAGCGCTTCGCGGTGGTCTCCTTCTTCTCCACGAAGTAGCCGGTGACAGAGGAGCCGCCGTCGTACTTGGGCTCGTCCCAGTTGACGGTCATGGACTCGGCGCAGACGTCGGTCACGGTCGGTTTCTCGCACTGACCGGGCACGGCTGCGAAGAGGACGGGTCGGATATCAGACTGGATGCAGATGTGCTCGTGTGTGTGCACGATGCACCAACGTGAACATTTAGACCTTCCCAGACCACACGGATCTGAACTCACTGAAGAGGTTTCTGGCCTTCTGCGGTTCGCTGACCAGCGGAGGCCCGACTCCGAACTTGTTCTGGGCCATGACTCGGAACTCGTACTCGTGGTTCTCCGTTAGCCGGGTCACCACGTAGGCGCAGTCCTTGGGGTCGTTGGAGACGTGGACCCAGGACTTCCTGTTCTCCTCGCGCTTCTCTACCACGTAGTTGGTGATCTTGGATCCGCCGTCATCTTTGGGGGGGTTCCAGGCCAGGCCGATCCTCTCCGCAAACACCTCGGTGAACTTGAGCGGTGCGATGGGCGGGCCGGGGGGTCCTGCACGGGGGGGGGGGTGTTAGCATTTGTTTCAGTTATCAGACCTCTGATTTTGTAAATAATCAAGCGGTTTCCGTTATCAGAGGATTTGAAATCACCGAGCACGGCGAGCTTGGTGGCCTTGGTGGCCGTGCCCAGGCTGTTGCTGGCCGTCAGGCTGTAGATGGCGCTGTCCAGCCTGCTGGCCTGCTGGATCAGCAGCGTGCACTTGTCCTGGGTCACCAGCTTGCTGATGTGCTGGTCATACTGGACGGCGGCCTTCTCCTCAGGCGTGGCCGTGGCGGCTTTGTGCCAGGTGAGCGTGGGGAACGGACAGCCGCTCACCTTCGCCACAATGCTGATGTCACAGTCTTCCTCACCCTCCATTGCCTCGCGCAGCAGGATGGTGGGAGCGCCTGTGGACAACACGGACGCTTAGTGAAGAGAACACGGTACACTTCCAGCTGAATAAGGAGCCGTGATCCCTACATGTCTGATCTTTGATGACCAGCGGTCCGGCGGTGGCGGAGGGTCGGCTCGGTCCGGCGGCGTTCACGGCTTTGACTCTGAACTCGTATTCTCCTCCCTGCAGTTCAACGACAACAAAAGTCAGAAAAGAGTGTATCCAATATGACAAAAGGACGCGCGCATGTGTACGTGCACACGTGTGTACAGAGCACGCCTGCTTTTATAGATTATTGATGACTGTAAAAAGGTCAATAACTTCTATTCTAGTGAACACTAGCGTCCATTTCCAGAGTAACTAAAGGGGCGTGGCCTCCTTCCGACCCCCCGGTGGTCCTACATGGATCAACTTGTGGATAGATAATATCAGGGTGCAGGGGGTTCAGACCGACCTCCTTTAGGTCCTCCACCACGAAGCGGAGCTCCTCCACGTCCCTCTTGTTGCACTGCTTCCAGGTCTCCTTCTCCTTGCCGCTGGTGTCCCAGCTCAAACGCTCGATGATGTAATGCTTCACCGGGGAGCCGCCGTGGTTCTTGGGAGGCTCCCAGCTCAGAGTGACCGTGTTCTTGGTCACCAGGTTGACCTTGACCTTGGTGGGGGGGTCGGGAGGGTCTGGGGAAGAAAAGAAGAGGAGGGGTTAGCATGGCGACATGTCCCGTGAGGCGTCTGTGGAGAAGCAGGTCTGTCCTCACAGATGGGGTCTCTGGCCCGGACGGGCTCGGCGGTGATGGTGAACGGGCCAAATCCGAGTCGGTTCTCGGCTCTGACCCTGAACAGGTAGTCCTGACCTTCCAGCAGACCCGGCACCACGTAGGCCTGGCTGGCACAGGCCGCATTCACCTGATGACAAAGCGAGCGAGACATCAGCCGAAGACACCACACAGTATTCACGAGTCCATCGGGATCTTCCGTGCAGGTTTGTCATGATGCAGATGAGGAGAGACGCTATGTAGTTAGCTCAGGAAGATAATTAACAACTACATCTTGTATCCAAAACTGTTTTTACCAAAGTCCATCATTCTACATGTTGTACTTTTACTTGCTAATTTAATATGGCTTTTATTCACATAAACAGGCACAATTCAAATGGTGAGGAAGTACACGTTTTTTTTAAAATTCATTGGTGTTAATGTGAAAATGGTCCTATTTTTTTACAGAAGATTGTCAACATGTGACGAGGTTACGTCTCACTGGACTGACCTTGGTCCAGGCTTTGTCCGTCAGACATTTCTTCTCGATGAAGTAGCTCTTGATTCTCTCCCCTCCGTCATTGTCGGGGAGTTTCCAGATCAGCCTCATGGTCGACCGGGTAACGTCAGTCACCCTCAGGTCCTTCGGGGCCCCGGGGACATCTGCACGGTGGACCAGAGGACAGTCAGAGAACAAGAAGACGGAGGAAGGCGGTGAACACGAGCAGCCGGAGACGTACCGAGGACGATGACTCTGACGTTGACGTGTTTCTGGCCCGACTTGTTCTTGGCGGTGATGGTGTAGCGCCCGGAGTGGCTCCTCAGACTGACGGGCACGGTCACAACAGACGTGGTGTCTGTGGACTCCACCTGGACACAGACTCAAGATCAGACTCGGATCTAAAAGCAGCAGCAGTGCGATTACAGACGCCGCGCGGCCGCTCTCACCTCCGAGTCCACGGGCAGCGTGTGCAGCTTGTTCTTCTTGTGCGACTTGGCTTTGCCGTCAAAGTCCCAGGCCACCTTGGGAGTGGGCCGGCCCTTGATGGTGGCCGGGATCCTGATGGGATCTCCGGCACGGATGCACACCAGGTCCTCCACCGCCACGTCAAGGCAGATGGAAGGAGGCACTGTCCCGAAAGAGACATCGGCGGAAACATCAGTAAAGGACAGAGACATGAGACACACTTCGAAGACTGTTTGTCGTGCTAAATGGGGACATACGCTGGATGTCCTCAACCAGAACCTCGCTGGTGCGGGGGCTCGGGTCGGACTCGCCGATATCGTTGACGGCGATGATCCTGAAGCGGTAGCGCTTGAGCTCGCGGAGGCTGGGCATGGTGAACTCGGTGGTGGGGTGGAGGGAGTCTTTGTCGTTGACGCTCACCCACCCCGAGGAGCCCTCGTCCTGGATCTGCACCATGTAGCCCTTGATGGGGCTTCCTCCGTCACTCTCCGGGGCTTTCCAGGACAGCGTTACGCTGTGCTTTGTCTTGTCCACCACCTCGGGGGCAGCGGGCATGCTCGGGGGGGCTGCAGGGGGAAGACACAGTTATTCATCATCTTCCAGGACGGCGACTTGTTTTGATATCTAGAGACTCATCATCCTTCTTTTTACTCACTCAATGGATCGACAGCGAAGGCAGAGTCAGACGGTCCGCTGAACGGTCCCGTTCCTGCAGAATTACTGGCAGCAACTCTGAATTCAAACTCCAACCCTTCGATCAGACGAGTCACCTGGAAGAAGGAGATGGATGAGAGCATTCAAAAGACTCCGGGGGCTAGGAGGCCTCCTCAAAGGTCAGTGTTGGACCATACAGGGCCAACACAGAGGCCTGGACGAAGCACCTAAAGCCGGAGTCCATCTGACAGACTTGTGAACTTCCTGTAAACGTTGTTTTCCTTTCCTCAGACTCAGTTTCAGGTGTGTGTGGCTTTAACCTGAAGTTCAGAAGTACAGATCCTACAGTTGCTGTCAGCCGAGCTGCTCACCTGGAACTCCCAGCCTTTCACGCCCCTCTTGCTCACTGGCGTCTTGTTGACTTTGGCCCAGTAGCTGGTGCCTTTCTCTCTCTTCTCCAGCCAGTAGCCGACAATCATAGAGCCGCCGTTGTCTCTGGGAGGCTGCCAGGTCAGGGTCATGGAGGTCTTGGAGTACTCGGCGATGGTCGGTTTCTCTGGTGGGCCTGGGAGGCCGAACGGGTCGGTGATCAGGACTTCCTCCGTTGCGCAGGGGTCAGATTTACCGTAGCGATTCTCGGCTTTGATCCTGAACAAGTAGGACTTGTTGGTCTCCAGGTTCCACACCTGCAGGAGAGGAAGTTTAGAGTGAAAACCGGCCTTTAAAACACTGCGACGACCCTCATACTATTATCTCCACTTACTCCAAATTTCCTCTCGACGATGGTGGTGGTGACCACCTCCCACTGGGGCTCAGGCGGAGCTTCCTCTCCTTCTTCAAGCTCCGGTTCCTCTTTCAACACATCCCTCTTCTCGACAATGTAGTTGGTCAGCTCGCTGCCCCCGTTGTCCAGCGGCGCGTCCCAGCGGAGGTAGCAAGACTCCGCCCTGATGTTGGACACGGACACATTCCTGGGTGGAAGTGGTCGGTCTGAGAGGAGCAGAGGAACAGTCAGTAGACTCTAAGCAGGCGGTGTCTGACTGATGCGCCGACGTGTTTCCACTCACCCAGCACCAGGACGGTGACGGTGTGCTTAGCCGAACCCATGTTGTTGGAGGCGCACACGGTGTAGCTGGCGCCGTCCCTCCTGTTGGCCGCTGGGATGGTCAGGGTGGTCTTTGCGTTCATTCGGCCGGTCACCTCCGTCTCCAACAGCAGAGTGTCGGTGGGCTGCTCGATCACCACGTCGTCCTTGGACCACTCGATCTTTGGGATGGGGAGACCCAGGACATCCGCCGGGATCTCGATGGGCTCGCCCTTCTTCACAGTAATGCAGTCGCCCTTGAAGTGCTTCAGCATGTGGACCTCCGGAGACACTGAGAGGACAGGAACAAAATGAATAAAGGCTCAATCCTTTATTTAATACATCTCAAGCCTTGACGGTCCAGCGTGAGCAGAAAAGTCCTTTCCAAACATCCAACCTCACCTTCGTCGTCCTGGATGACCACAGTCAACGGGATGGATGGCTCGCTCTCTCCGATTAGGTTGGCGCACTTGATCCTGAATTCATACATCCAGGCCTCTTCCAGACCTTCCACAGTCAGGCTCATGTTGGGGCAGATCTCAGCGTTGCAGAGCTCGAAGGCCTGCTGGTCCGGCCTCTTCTTCTCAACGAAGTAGCCGATGACGGGGCTGCCGCCGTCGTTACGCGGAGGCTTCCAGGTCAGTGTGATGGAGTTCTTGGTGCGCTCGGTGTAGTGGAACTTCTCGGGGTACGACGGTGGACCTGCAGAGTACAACCGAGGTCCTGATCTGCTCACTAGAGAGATATTTTGAGACTTCTGAGTCAAAAGGAAGTTAGAACTCACCCTGGGGGTCAACGGCCTTGATGGGTCCCAGCTCTAAGGGCGGGCCCATTCCGTACTTGTTCTTGGCGATGACGCGGAACATGTAGTCCTGACCCTCCATGATGCCCACGCATTCACACTTGGACGAGGCCGTTTCGATGGGCTGCCTCCATGTGTGCATCTTGGCGTCCCTTCGCTCCACAATGAAGCCGGTGACGTCGCTGCCCCCGTCATCGTCCGGGTCGTCCCAGTTCAGGAAGATCATCTTGCGAGTGACCACGACAGGTTTCAGGTCCGTGACGGGTCCAGGGACATCTGAGGATACAACAAGGTTATCCATCTATGTCCCCTCTGTGGTGTCACGGAGTCCTTGGTGGACCTTCACTCACCCATCACGTCCACCCTGATCGCAGCAGCCTTGGTGCCGCTGGGGTTACAAGCAGAGATGTGGTATTTGCCGCAGTCCTTCCTCTGGACGTTCTTGATGGAAACAATGCTGTCGTCGCCCTCAGTGAGGATCTCCACGCGGTCTTTGTCGGGTTTGGCGTCGTCCTTGGTCCAGGTGATGGACGGGTAAGGTTTACCCGTCACTGTTGCAGGTAAACGGAGCGTCTCTCCGGCTCGGATGACCACGCCGTTCCTGACGGACAGCTCCAGTTCAATCAGCGGCTTCTCTGTGGACAGAAACAGATATCTGATAATTCCATGGTCACTGAACGAGACCACGGTGGACCTAATGAAATCCCAGCCACAGTCCTTCTGGTTCTTTTGGGCTGACCTGCTGGGTTCCTGACGAAAACTGACTCGGTGAATCCTGGTGTTCCTTCTCCGGCTGCGTTGCATGCGATGACCCTGACCAGGTACTTGGCTCCCTCGCGGACTCCGTAGACAGTGAAGGCCCTGGACTTCCATGGACGTTCTGTGGACCTGGACCAGTCCTTGGTACCAGCCATGACCTGAAGAACACCGCAGAACAGAGGCACGTTAGTCTGCACCGAAATGAATGCAGTCAAAGGTCTGATGGAAAATAAAGAAAGGAGGACGCATGTCTGACCTTATCCACGTGGTATCCCAGGATCTCTCCTCCGCCGTTGTCCGCTGGTGGATCCCACTCCAGGTCGATGGAGTGGTCGGTAGTCACCACCACTCTGGCAGTCGGAGGTCCAGGAGGTACTAGAGTGTCAGCAAAACAACGTCCAGATTAGAGACTTACGATGCGTCAGTTTATCTGATTAGCTGTTTGGAGTATTTCCCTCCACTGGACATTTATGCCGTTGACGTACGGATCGGAGCTTGGGCCGTTTTGGGTTCGGAGGGACCACTGAACTTTCCAGGGCCGGCCTGGTTTTCAGCCGCCACCCTGAAGATGTAAGTGAAGCCCTCCAGCAGACCTTCTACGTTCAGCTCGGTGTCAGAGACCATGTTCCTGAGGACCGGGAGACAGAGGGAGGCTTCAGAGAGCCAGCAGAGGCACTTTGGTGGGCCGATGTGTTTGGGAGTTTCCTCACCTGTTGACGCGCGCCCAGTGCGAGCTGTTGATCTCGCGGCGCTCCACCCAGTATCCCAGGATGGGGCTGCCGTTGTCGTTGGGCATGTTCCAGGTGACCAGCATGCTGTTCGCTGTGATATCATCGATCTCTGGCTTTTCAGGAGCCTCAGGAGGTTCTGAGGAGGACAAAGATACTGTTTGTTCTTGTACAAAACATTCTTTAATAAATTAATAAAGTAATAATTTGAATTATTTACAAAACTTCACAGACAGCAAACTCTACATCCTAAAGTCTGAAGGATCATTAGAAAACAGGTTTGTGGGGACAACAAGTAATGTATGTGCTCATATCTGATAATATAGAGATTCCAGATGATGTAAGCAAACAGCTGCTGGCATAAACAGCAGCAATAGTACAAAGCAGCATACCGAAAGGATTCTTGGCGATGAGAGCTTTGGAGATACAGTGTGGACCGGCGCCCAACTTGTTCTCCGCCACCACCCTGAAGATGTACTCCTTCTTCTCGATGAGTTTGGGGACCAGGTAGCGACATCCCCTCAGCGTGGAGGTGACGCAGCTCCACCCGATCTCCAGCTTGGAGTTGTCCTTCTTCTCCAGAGTGTAGTTGAGGATCTCGCTGCCGCCATCGTCTAGAGGAGGACTCCACCTGCAGATCACAGAGTTCTTCCTCACCTCCTCGAAGGTGAAGTTCACCGGAGGGCCGGGAGTATCTGTGGAGCCACAAAGCGTGTTTTTATTCCTGCGGATGTCTTTAACATAAAAGGCGATTCCCCCAATGGAACGGAAGTGGTCCTCACCGAGCACGTTGACCTCGCACGTTGCCGAGGCGCTGCCGTGGTCGTTCTCCACCTTCACCATGTAGACGCCGTGGTCCACTCGCAGTGAGTCCCTGATGGCGATGGAGGAGGAGCCTCTGTGGCGGTTGTCAATGGCCAGACGCTCGTTTATTGTTGGGTAGTCGGTCTCCTCCACCTCGGGCTGTGCTGTCTCCTCCTTCTTCTCCTCTCCTTCCTTCCCCTCTGCTTCCTTAACCTCTCCTTCCTTGACCTCACCTTCCTTCTTCTCCTCTCCTTCCTTGACCTCTCCTTCCTTCTTCTCCTCTCCTTCCTTCTCCTCTTTCTTCTCGGCCTCTCCCTCCTCTGTCTTAACCTCCTCCTTCTTCTCCACCTTCTTCTTCAGGGGTTTCTCAGGCCTCTTGCGGAGCGCCTCGGGCCGGATCACCTGGTTGTTCCAGTACCAGGTGATCTGAGGGTACGGCGAGCCGGAGACGTTGGCGTCCAGACGGATCTCGCAGCCTCGTTTGACACTGAGGCCGGACTGCAAGCTGCCGCTCAGGAACACCTTGGGAGGATCTGAGCGAGAACAGAAGGACAAATGAGTGGACGAGGAGTGGTCTCAATCGGAGCGTCTGGGTCTTAGCGAGAAGACGGCGTCCTCACCGATGGCGTCAGAGGCTTTGGCGAATGGCGTGCCGCGCGAAGGCTCGCTGACCCCGGCTGCGTTTTCCGCACTGACTCTGAAGGCGTAGCTCTTGCCCTCCGTCAGCCTTCTGACGGTGTAGGACAGGACAGGCACAAGGAAGTCGTTGCACCTCTCCCACTTGTCCTCGCCCTTCTGCTGCTTCTCCAGGATGTAGCCCATGATCTTGGCGCCGCCGTCGTACATGGGAGGCTTCCAGGTCAGGGTGACGGTGCTGGACGTGGGGTTGTGGGTCTCCACGTCCACCGGCGGGTCGGGAGCGTCTGGGACGAGACAGAAACATTTTGATTGGGCATAAGATGCATCTTCAGAAGCACTCTGTGGAACAGGAAGTGTTGGTTCTCACGTTTCTGGTCCTCAGGGATGACCGGGTTACGGAGCTCGATGAACTCTCCTCCTCCGATCTTGTTGACGGCCTGGACTCTGAAGTAGTACTCTCCGTTGGGGATCAGGTCTTTGACATTCCAGCTCACCTTTTTCTCTCCGGACATCATGTTGACGTACGTCCTCCTGCCGGCTTCGCGCCGCTGCACAAACAGAAGAAGAATCAGGGTGGGAATCCTTCGGGCCCGATGTCCGGCTCAAAGACGGTCAAATGCCTCATCCCGGACCTGCAGGACATAGTGGACGACCGGGCTGCCGCCGTCGTAGTCCGGGGGATCCCAGGACAGTTTACAGGAGCTCTTTGTGATCTCCGAGGCAAGTATCTCCTTACATGGACCAGGAAGCCCTGAGGACAGAGAGACGTGTCAATCGGGAACCCTGAGGGGGACGTCCACGTGACGGAGACACAACCGGACGCGTGTGGTTGCGTACCGATGACTTTGACGTTGATGGCGGCGCTGGCTGCTCCCAGTTTGTTCTCCAGTGTCACTTTGTACTGTCCAGCATCAGCGTGAAGGCTGCTGTCAATCTCCAGGTGACAGGAAATATACTCCTTCCTGTTGGACACAAACAATCCCATCAGCCACTGCTGCTGACAGAAGACATCACAGGTGGACATTATTAACCATTTCAAACACTTGATAAAAGTTCCTCCCTGACCTGAAGCCGAGGCGCTCGTCGGCCTTCAGCTCCTTGCCGTCTTTGTGCCAGGTGATCCTGGGCGCCGGCACCGCCCTGAAGGGAACCGGGATGTGCAGCTTCTCTGTTTCCACGACAACCAGGTCCAGAGTCTGAAAGTCCAGCGTGGGGTTACCTGGAGCCAGAGACACAGGTGTGTGTTAGTCTGAGGGTCTCCAGGGGAGACGTGACCCGTTGAGGACCAGCAGACGCGCTCACAGTCGGACTCTTTGGCGAAGACGTTCTCGGAGATGTCGGAGGGCTCGCTGACCCCCACGGAGTTGATGGCTCTCACTCTCAGGATGTACTCCTTCTCGGGGACGACGCCTTCGTCCACGCGGTACTTCAGCTCCTTCACTGGACGGGAGTTGACCCGCATCCACTTTTCTGTGCCGGCGGCGCACATCTCCACGTGGTACCCGCTGATAGGGCAGCCGCCGTCCCTTTGTGGCGGCTTCCAGGCGATGGACAGGAAGTCGCGGCTGGCGCCGGTCACGTGCAGCTCGACGGGCGGCGATGGGACGCCTGGACGGGAAAGGACGGAAGGTTTAGACTCGTCTCCTACGTTGTTAACGGGCCGTTACTCACTGCCGGACCGACCTGTTGGGTCCTCGATGGCGAGGATCTCGGTGGGCTCGCTGGGGTGGCCGACGCCCGCTTCGTTCTCGGCGCTGACCTGGAACTGAACCTCGGTGCCCTCGATGACGTCGGTCACTCGGTACTTACAATCCGGACCCGAGGTCTTTCCACATTTCACCCAGCGGGTTCCAAGCTTCTCCATCTTCTCAAGGGAATACCTGTAAGGCGGGGTCACCGACAGGTAAACACACCTTTATACTGTAACCGCCGCTGGAGCATGAATACCGGGACCGACGAGTTAGATCTAAAATGTCTTCTATTAAAAGATATAAAAACATCACCAGATCACAGCAGGGGGAGAAGCTATACGGATAAGAGACGGAGCATATTCATCATTTAAAACTTCTCCAGCCAATAAGAAGAGCCTACTTGAGGATTGGTCTGCCACCATCGTTCTTAGGCTCCTCCCATTGCAGGTCCACGTATCTCTTGGTCACAGCATTGACAGCGAGGGCGTACGGCGGCCCCGGAGCGGCTGAAACAAGAAGAGCCCTCATCATCTTTGTCCTCCCGATTCAAATGCTCTGGGACTGAAAGCGCTCTCTGACTCACCGAAGGAGTCTTTGGCGAGCACCGAGTCGGCCAGCTCGCAGAACGGTCCCACGCCGACAGCGTTCTCGGCCGCCACGCGGAACACGTAGAGCGACCCCTCATTGAGCGGCGTCACCGTGTACTTCAGCTCCTTCACCGTGGTGTCCACGGCCTGCCAGCCTTTGCGCCGGGCGTCACGCTTCTCCACCACGTAGTTGGTGATGGGCGAGCCTCCGTCGCGCTCGGGCAGCGTCCACTTCAAGTCGGCGCTGTTCCTGCTGATGCTGACGACCTCCAGCCAGCGGGGCGCCGTGGGAGGGTCTGTGGGGAGGGAGACAAAGGTTGTGGAACATCGGCTCGCCGTGTCTGGAGGATGGGAGTGTCACTGTTTCTTACTGAGTCTCTCTTTGCAGAGCACCGGCTCGCTGGGCTCGCTGGGTTCGCTCTCTCCGGCCATGTTGAGGGCTTTCACCCTGAACGAGTACTCCTGCTTCTCCATCAGGCCTTTCAGGAAGTGCTCCAGGATGTTGATGTTGTCCGCCAGGCGGATCCAGTCCGTGGTTCCGCTCTTCAGCATCTCAATGACGTAGCCGTCAATCTTCGCTCCGCCGTCGTGCTCCGGTTTGCTCCACGTCAGGAAGCAGGAGGTCTTAGCCACATCCTTCACTGTAGGTTTCCCAGGAGGCCATGGAGGATCTGGAGGAAGAAGAACGTGATGGTTTCAATGTTTGGAACCGAGTCTTGAACACAACCCAAGTGCGGATGTAGATGTTGTACCGATTGGGTCTTTGATGAGGATCTGGTCCGTCTCCTTGCTGGGTTTTCCAGTTCCAGCCAGATTCTCAGCCAGGACTCTGAACTTGTACTTCTTCCTGGTGGGGAGACCTTTGACTCTGCAGGGCAGAAACACCACGTCTCAACACACTGGAACACAACGCGGGAGGCGAAAGGCTTTAGAGGCAGCAGACAGCGGGTGGCCCCACCTGTAGTTGGTGTCTTTGATGGGCAGTTTGTTGCATCTGATCCACTTGTCGTGGTCGGGTTCATGTCTCTCCACCCAGTAGCCGGTGATGGGGCTTCCTCCGTCCTCATCAGGCTCGTACCAGGCCAGAGTCACAGAGTCCTTGGCGATGTCCGAAGCCTCCAGCTTGTAAGGAGCTCCAGGCGTGTCTGAGGACGAGAAGGGGGGGGCAGGTTAGTCCCGGCTTTGCCACAATGGTGCACTGAGCCCAAACAGGTCTGTGGTCCCGTGACCTACCGAAGGGGTATCTGGCGATGATGGGCGGGTGCTCAGCTGGCGGACCAACACCAAACTGGTTCTCAGCGAAGACTCTAAAGACGTACTCCTTGAACTTGACCAAGTCCACGGCTTTGTAGGTGGTCAGTTTGATGGTGGAGGACAGCCGGTGCCAGATCTCGCTGTCGGCGGCTCGGCGCTCCACGATGTAGTTGGTGACTCTGGAGCCGCCGTCGTCACGCGGAGGGTTCCAGGCCAGGAAGCACGTCTCGTTGGTGATCTCAGAGATGTCGAAAGCAGCCGGAGGGCCGGGTTTATCTGTGCGACCAAACTTTCATTCAACTGACGAGAAACTAACAGCAGGTCTTTGTGTAAACTTTGGATCCAGTCTTACCGAGGATGTTGACGTCGACGGTGGCGGTGGCGCGGCCGCTGCTGTTGGTGGCCTCGATGATGTAGGTGGAGCTGTCGTCTCTCTTGGTCTTGGCGATTGTGACGGTGGAGTGTCCCGTCTTGGCCTCAAAGGACACTCTGTCGTCCGGTTTGAGGACCAGGTCGGCCTTGGTCCATTTCACCCGGGGCTCAGGTTTTCCCGTCACCTCGGCGGGGAGCTCGATCTTGCTGCCGGCCTTGGCGGTGAGACCGGCCAGGAGTTTAGCGTCCAGCTGGATCTCCGGAGGCTCTGCGGTGACAGTTAGGACGAGAGGTCGGTCAGAGGTCACAGCTTACAGGAAAGGGGAACGATGAAGCTCGTCTGGTAGGACCTGGTGAACTTTGTGGATGCAGTTTCATCCTTTATAATGAACAACTGAATGTGGAATACGTTTTGATGGGTTTCCATTACATCTCAAAGAACTGGGTACCTTTGGGATCGACGGCCTGGATCTCGTCGGTGGCCTTGCAGGGCCGGCCGGCTCCGAGGCGGTTCAGGGCTCGGACTCGGTAGGCGTACCATTGGCCCTCCACCAGACCCGTCACCTGGCACTTCAGCTCCGGCATCGTGTCCCCGCAGGGTTCCCACTTGTCCGTTCCTCTCTGGCAGCGCTCCACGTTGTAGCCACGGATGCCGGAGCCGCCGTCGTACTTTGGCGGCTCCCAGGTCAGGAAGATGCTGCTGGCCGACTTGTCCCTCCACCTCAGGTTCTCTGGGGGGTCGGGGATGGCTGGAGGGACAGACGGGAGGAAACCTCTTACAACACTTCTTAAGACTATTCGCTCCTCTCTCGGCTTGTACGTCCCAACGTCTGACTCACTGGCTGGAGAGGAGACGTTGACGGGCTCGTCGATGTACGACGGCTCTCCAGGGCCACACTTGTTGCAGGCGGTGACTCTGAACAGATACTCCTTCCCTTCAACCACGTCGGTGACGGTGTACTCCTGATCCTGGATACCTGTGGTCACCTGCGTGGGAGGACAGATGGACGTCCAAGACAAATACTGAAGTAAAGAGCTCTAAGAACTCATTCACTTCATTGGTTAATGTCATACCTTGACCCAGGTCTTGCGAGACATGTCCCGTTTCTCCACCTGGTAGCCAGTCAGAGGGCTTCCTCCGTCGTGCTCTGGGGCCTCCCAGCTCAGGTGGACGTGTTGCCGGGTCACTTCCAGGACCTTGAAGTCCTTAGGAGCGCTGGGCGCCGCTGGAGCAGACAGAAACATATAAATTAGACCAAAATGTGAACGAGAGTGATCCTAGTAAGTTTGACGGCGTACCGATGACGTTGACTTCGATGTCTCCGGAGACGGACAGGACGTCGTTCTCCAGCTGCAGGGTGTAGGTGCCTTTGTCCGGGCGGACGCTCGGTCTCACAACCAATTCCACAAACGTGGACTTGGTTGTCACGGCGACGCGTTCGTCCGCCGTGGTCAGCTCCTTCTCCCCAAAGGTCCACCTGGCGACGGGGGTCGGGTACCCGGTGATGGGGACTCTGATGGTTAGAGGCTGAGGGACGATCACCTCTAGGCCGTCTTTGAAGGCACTCAGGTCGAAGGACGGACCCACTTAATGTAAAGAGAGAGCGAGAGAGAGAGGCATGATGGGAAATGAAACTTCATTTCAGATTGCAGGTGAGGTTTTAAGAAGGTCGCTGTTGGAACTATTCACATAGTTCCAACAACTAGCCACTGTTTGTCTCACCGTGTGCGTCGTCGGCCAGCAGAGGGCCGATGAGGTTCGACGGGTCAGAGACTCCAGCGGCGTTTTCTGCAAACACCTTGTAGTTGTACATGGTTCCATATTTCAGACCAGACACCTGAAGGAAAAAGGACATTGTTCAGATTATGAACCACTCGCCACTTTGACTTTGAAAACAATTAGAGGGTTTTTTTTACTGCGAGAGAAACTAAAGGGCTTTTATTTTGAAAGCATTGGAGAATCACCCACAGAGAGGCATGCCCTGGGTGTAGCTTTGAAGCAGCCAGACGTTCGTCTTCCTGTTGGATTTGAACCCTCACCTTGTAGAAGAGGTCGGGGCAGAGGCGAGCGTTGCAGCGGAGCCACTTGTCGGTTCCTTCCTCGCAGCGCTGGATGATGTATCCGGTGATCATGCTGCCTCCGTTGGTCAGAGGAGTCTCCCAGCTGAGCTGCACAGAGCTCTTATTCTGGTCCTGATGGACCAGATTCTGAGGGGGACTGGGACGCTCTGCAGGGGGGGGCGGACACAAAAACCAACACATGAGATAATATCATTTATTGTATAGAACATCTGCTGGTAACAACCTTATTGAAGCCACGGATGCAGACTTACCGATAGGATCCATGATCTTGACGGGCCGCGAGGCGGCGCTGGGCTTTCCTTCTCCGGCTTTGTTCTGCGCTTTCACTCTGAAGATGTACTCTTTGTTCTCGATGACGTCGTTGACGATGGCGCTTAGATCGTCAGCTTTGGTCACCTGCACCGGGGTCCACTTCACGGAGGTCCTGTCGCGAAGCTCGATGACGTAGGAGGTGACGGGGGAGCCGCCGTCGGACTCGGGAGGCTCCCAGGAGACCGTGCAGCCGAACTTGGTGACGTTTCCCACGATGACGTTCAGAGGAGCTTCGGGAACATCTTGAAAGGAAGAACAGAAGACAAATCAGAGTCATTTAGGCATTAATGTGTCACGTGTGTGTGTGTACAAGGCCAACAGCGCGGTAGTTCTCACCGAACTTGTTCCTGGCCTGTACGGGCTTGTCGGTCTCTACGTTGGGTCCGCTGCCGACCCGGTTCCTGGCGCAGACCCTGAACAGGTACATGGGGTCCCTGTGGAGGCCGGTCACCGTGTACTCGGGACTCTCGGCGTGGTCGGTGGCCAGCGTCCAGGTCTTCCGCTTCGTGTCGCGTCGCTCCACCACGTAAGCCAGCACCTTAGTGCCGCCGTCGCTCTCGGGCTCGTCCCACGCCAGGCTGACCTCGCCATCAGCGGTGTCGACCACCTGCAGGTTCTTCACGGGTCCGGGTACGTCTGGAAAGAAGACCCGAGGGTTGAGTTGGGTGTTTAGGAGTTCTGGGAGTTGAGAGGCAGAGTTACACCAAGTGATGCCTTACCGATGACCTCCAGGTTGATGAAGGCTTCTCCCTCGCCGTGTCGGTTCTTGATGATGATCTTGTAGCGACCCTCGTCAGACTTCAGGGGGTCCTTCAGTCGGTACTCTGTGCGGTCGGCGGACGTATGTATGCCGTCTTTAGGCAGCGTTAGGTTGTCGTACAGCCAGTCGGCCTCGGCCTTCGGGTAGGCGCTGTAAGGGACGGCCATTACGATGGGCTTCCTGGCGTCGGTGACGTAGCTCTGGTCCGTGGTCTTGATCTGAGGCACAGCTGCAGGTGGAGGGACAGATGGTTACTGGTGGATGTTCAGTAGATATGTTTCATATTTTGCAGACAACTATCTATGTTCAAATTGACAAAAGAGGGGCTAATAACGTTAGCTTCACCGCTAACAGCTAATGAGCAGGTCTTCGTAGACCAGCTGCTATACCACCAATAATACAACAAAGCCAATACGGACGATATACAGACATCACGTTTCCAGGTCTCACCTGCCAGCTCCAGCTTGGCCTTGGCATCTTTGTCCTTGGCGACGACTCTGTACTCTCCCTGATCCCGAGGTCGGATCTCACAGACCTGCAGTCTGTGGACTTTGCCCTCGCTCACCATCTGGTACTTGTCTCCCTGCACCACCGTCATGTTGTTCCTCAACCACTTCACCTCCACCCGGTCCTTATTGAGCTCCACCTCGAACACCACGTCGGAGCCCGGAGGCTGGAACGCGTCCTGAGGAGGTCTGACGATCTCCACCGGGGTCTCTGCGGGGGCGGAGACAAATTCACCACGAGGTCAACCAGAGCAGGGAAGACAAGAGGGACGAGTTAATACTGAGGAACCCGAAGAACCGCACCGTCCACAAAGAGCCTGGCTCTGGTTCTCTTCTCGTCCACACCACAGGCGTATTCACACTCATCGTCCGGTCTGCACTCCTTGATGCGAAGGGTGCAGAACTTTCCATCTCTGACAAACGTGTATCTGGGGGAAGAAACACAAATGATGGAATGACAGCATGTGGGTAGCAAACCTTCCCACAGTCTGGTGGTTGTGGGAGTTCCCTGAAGCTCACCTCAGTCCTTCTCTGATCTCCCGTCCGTCCCTGTACCACTTGGCGTCGGCCTTCTCTTTGGTGAGCTTGCAGGTGAATTCCGCGTCCTCGAACTCGGTGATGGTCTGGTCCTTGAGCTGCGCGCTGAAGTCGGTGGGCGCCTCGCTGATGATCAGCTCGGCGGTGGACTTGCTGTCTCCGGCCACGGCGGTGTACTCGCCCTCGTCCGCCAGCGTGCAGTCCTTGACGGTCAGCGTGTGCTTGTCTTTGTCCACCCTGTAGACAAGGCGCTTGCTGAAGACGATCTCCTCGCCGGCCTTCATCCACTTGAGAGTGGCGTTGGGCCGGTTAACCTTGCAGGAGAAGCTGATGGTCTTCTTCTCCTGCGTGTCAATGTCCTCCAGGGGGACCAGGATCCTCAGATTCTCCTCTGTACGGCACAAAGCATCACAACATGATCGAGACTTTCCCTTCAGCAATCAGTCTTTAACTTTGGATTGGAATTGTGCCGGTTTACTCCGGTTTATACTCTTTAAACTCCAACGGAGCGGCTGGCTGTGGAGGTCATTCATACTAATGAAGCTGATACTGCCTCTAATCCTCACTGACCTTTGACACTGAGGCTGCAGGAGCTCTTGGCCTGCTCTGCTCTCTGATTGGTCAGCATGACGCTGTAGTTGGACTCGTCTCCCTTCTGGGCGTCTTTGATCCTCAGGGAGAAGACGTTGTCCCTCTGGACCATCAAGTACTTGCCGCTCTCAAATATCGTCTCCTCGTTCTTCAGCCACTTGGCCTTCGCTCCCTCCGAGTTCACCTCGCAGTTGAGGACAACCTCCTGACCTTCTTTGGCCTCTGTGTCCTTCAGCGGCGTGATGACCTTCAGCTTCTCTGCACGACAGAAACACGGGAGACACGAATGAGACAAAGGTTCTACTGCCAGAGGGGCTGGAAATGTGTTATTGTGCCCACATTTAAACTATTATCCGAATGTCAAAAGATCTTCTTAATTATTGAGAAAAGTATTATTTCACATTACAGGTCATTTAGCAGACGCTTTTATCCAAGCGACTTACATTACATTTTTAACCCGTGGCGTTTTACAATTTACCCGGGGAACCATTAGGGGTCAGGTGTCTTGCTCAGGGACACTTCGACATGGGACATGGGGCAGCCGGCGCTTGAACCACCAACCTTACGGTTCCCAGCGCTCCCTCTCTGCCCCTGCACCGCATCGCAGAGGCAATTAAAATATCTAAACTTAAATACAAGATGAAACAAACCCGTGGAAAAAGTCCACGTGTGCCACGAGCGTTAACTTTATGATGATAATACGTATAAACTCGTAACACAACGGATATATTTTGGTATCTTGAGCCAAAAGGAGCTTCCATATGAATATTATTATGATTCTGTTTCATTTGAATCAGAATTAGAATTTTTCAGATCAAACTGTTCCGAGTCAAAAATGAGACAAAGAAACCAATAAACACAGATGGAAATATAAACAAAAAAAAAGAAATCTCCCTAGAAACTATAGGCGAGTGGGCGGGGCTTACCGAGCACGGTGAGGTCGGCGCTGGCCCTGGTGGCGCCGATCGTCACCACGTAGCTGCCCTCGTCCCCGAGCTCGCAGGCCGTGATGACCAGCGTGCGTCTCTTGCCGTCGCTCAGCGTCTGGTGTTTGTCTCCCGCCTCCAGCTCCTGGTCGCCCTTCAGCCACCTCACCTGGTACGTTTCCTTGGAGACGGAGCAGGTGAACTCCGCCTTCTCGCCCTCCACCACCTCCTGGTTCTGAGGCCTGGAGATGAACTCGGCGGCCATCTCTGAAACACAGGAAGCAGCGTGAGAGATTCTTCTTCTGTGTTTAATAACAGCAGGAAGCAGTTTTACTTCCTCTAGTTTGTTTACACACGTTGTGTTGAACAGGAAGTTGTGATTTACTGATGAACAAAGTCCAACATGTCTCCAACATGTCTGAAGTCATAAAAACATTTGGTTCTTCTTCTTGCGTCTGTATACAAATACAAACACATTTATGAATATAAGTATAAAGACCTGTGTGTACATTTCTATCTTTACTCTTCATCGTCAGGTCTATTCGTGTCCATCAGCTCAAAACCGTTATTCAGAGAGCAGGAGCACATGGACAGAAGACCCTGGTCCTCACCGTTGATCTTCAGGCTCCCGGAGGTCTTGGCGCCGGAGCTCAGCCTGCAGGTGTACTCTCCGACGTCGCTCGTCTTCAGGTCCTGGACCAGGAGGATCCTCCTCCTCCCGTCCACCATGTGCTCGTAGCGGCCCCCCTCCGGCAGTTCCTCCTCCCCCCGGTACCATGTGACCTCAGCGCCAGGCTTGGACACCTCGCAGATCAGCTTCACGCTGTCGGTCTCCGTGCCTTCCACGTTGGACAGGTTCTTGGTGAACCGGGTCTCCTCCTCTGTGAACAAAGGGATGGAACGTAAAGGCCCAGGAGGTTCCAACTGCTGCTAGACTTCTGAGACCTTCTCTACCCTGTGAGGCCCAACCAGACTTTCTCTACCTTTTGAGGCGTTCTGAGACCGTCTCCACCTTCTGAGATATTCTCCACCCTCTGAGACCTACTGAGATATTCTCCACCCTCTGAGATATTCTCTACCCTCTGAGACCTACTGAGATATTCTCCACCCTCTGAGATATTCTCTACCCTCTGAGACCTACTGAGATATTCTCTACCCTCTGAGATATTCTCTACCCTCTGAGACCTACTGAGATATTCTCCACCCTCTGAGATATTCTCTACCCTCTGAGACCTACTGAGATATTCTCCACCCTCTGAGATATTCTCTACCCTCTGAGACCTACTGAGATATTCTCTACCCTCTGAGATATTCTCTACCCTCTGAGACCTACTGAGATATTCTCCACCCTCTGAGATATTCTCTACCCTCTGAGACCTACTGAGATATTCTCTACCCTCTGAGACCTACTGAGATATTCTCCACCCTCTGAGACCTACTGAGATATTCTCCACCTTTCGAGGCCTTCAGAGAATTTCTCTGAGACCTTCTGATGATGCTTTAAAATATTATAACATTGTATTTATGGGCAAAACATTCTTTTTAAACCCCCCAATTGAACATTGATTAAAACGTGAATAACGGCCGCTGGCTGCGGTCAGTCACATCGAGGTGAAGAGAATTGCATTGAAAGTAAAACAAACAAGAGGTGCGACATAAAGCGGAGAACTATGCAGAGGAATCACTCCACGTGTCACACAGAAGGGGGGCGAGTGGATAACGGACCACTTAAAGAACGTCCTGCTAAACGTGGGGAGATGGTTGGCACGTTAAATGTAAGAGAACATGAGAAGAACATAAGAGGACGAGGACAACAGGAAGAGTCGCTAGTTCAACATGTTCCAGCAGGTGGAGTTCTGCCTCCATCATGATCACACAAGTTTTGTCTTTAAAATAACATTAACAATTAAGCAACAGTGTCTGAAAGACACACTTTGTAAAGACTTTGTAAAAACAACATTCATTAATCGCAATCGAGATTAATGAATGTCACATTTCAATGAAACGTAAACGTTGATTTAAACTGTTGCATCATGTGTATGAAGCATCAGAGGTCCTCACCCACGACCGTTAGCATGCCCGAGGACTTGGAGGTCTTGGCGTCGCACTCGTACTCGGCCTCGTCGTCGAACACCGACTTGTGGACCACAAGGACGTGCTGGCGACCTTGAGCCACGATCTCGTACTTCTTCCCCTTCCTGATCTCACTTCCGTCTTTGAACCAGCGGACCTGCAGCGAGGCGAGCAGAGAGGAGAAGGTCAGATCGACATAATCAGAACCTTCATTCTTATTTCATTATGACGGGCAAATCTCACCTTCACGTCCTCTCTGGAAACTTCACATTCAAACCTGGCAGATTCCTTTTCCTTCACCTCCACGTCGCTGAGCGGCTTGGAGAACTCGATGTGCGGTGCTGTGGACGCACGGGACGACCCATTACATCATCATCATCACATCATAGTTCATGTTAGGAGCGTACTAAAGGGTTCCTGCATTGAGGAGTCAAAGGAACCTTCTGGTCCTAAGGAGGTTCTCCTTCTCCTCCATTAGGCTGTACTCACGTTCCACGTTGAGGAAGCAGGAGGTCTTGAAGCTTTTGGCGTCACAGGTGTAGGTCTTGGAGTCGTCCGGAGAGCAGTCGTGGACCAGTAGCGCCCTCTTGTACCCGTCTACGATCATCTCGTACTTCTTGGTCTTCCTGATCTCCTGTCCGTCCCTGAACCATTGGACCTCGGCGTTCTCTCTGGAGACTTCACACTCCAGCGTGGCGGTGGCTTCCTCCTCCACCGTCTGGTCCTCCAGAGGCTTGGAGAACTCAACTGCCGGCTCTGCAGGCGTCAAGACACGATTCAGCTCCAGCTTTTAACGACGCGATACGAGTCGGAAGTGGCGAAAGTTTGCTCTGTAGCCACGCCCACCTGTGATGTCACAGTGTACTGACCCACCCTGTAGTACCCTGTGACATCCCCACCAAAAGGTGAGACGTTAAACCAAAGGACGCCGGATAAAACTGAATTCTAGAGGCCCAGTAGGGTCCTAGGAGTCCAGCAGAGTCATCACAGTCCAGCAGAACCAGCAGAGTCAGCAGAGTCCAGCAGAACCAGTATATCCTACCTTTGACGAAGAGGTTGGCCTCCGTCTGGAAGTCTTTGGCCGTGAGTCTCACTTGTCCGGCTTCATTCAGCTGGACGTCCCTCAGCGTCAAACTATGGACTTTATCCTCCGCCTTCAGCACCACCTGTTCAACAGAGTCATTACGGAGGTTTAATCTGCCCTGAACAGGGACTTTCAGGGTCTTTAATGAACACTTAGTTTCCCCAAGTGTCAAAAGCTGATTCTGATACCAAAGGCGAAACTCCAGTACAAACGCCGTCCAATTAGAAAACCATCTGTTTTGAGAACAGATGCTTAAAGAAAAGGATTTTCAAAGAAATCAAAGATTAAATAAACGATGAATAGACGGAGGACTCTGACTGGCTGAAACGGAAACGTGAACAAACCTCCTCAGACGCAGTTATCCACCGCTGAGCTTTCATCTCATACAATCTGACTGCTACTTAAAGTGTTCTGTACTATTCTAAGGGTTTTATTGACTGTTTGTCAGTTATTAGGAGGCTTTAACCTGCCCACAACTGTGCCTGGACACTCAGCAAGTTAAAATATATGAGCTAGTGGTTCCCTGAGCACTGTGTGACAGGCTGCTGATTGGTAGGGTTCAGGTCTGTAATAGGCAGAGAAGCACACATGTTAGCCATATCATAACCAAATCATGCTGGGGTCAAAGGTGGCGGATGGAGTAGAGAGGTTGACGGTTTGAGGCCCGGCTGCTCCATGTTCTGTGACAAAGTGTCCCTGAGCAAGACACCTGACCCATAATTGCTCCCCAGGCAAGAATAGAATGTAAGTCAGCTAAACGACCTGTAATTCTCGTTGTGTTTTTCCTCCCTGAACCTCGTCTGTGAGGTTCACAGGGAAGTTGCACTGACTGGGTTCTCCAGCACATGAAAGCGAGTCAGCTGAACGTGGCAGGCAGCTGCTTTCCTTTACACAGCATGACCTTTGACACCTGATGGCTGATTTCACCTCACAGCCACAGACTGCATTTCACACCAAGCCCACGGAAACATAATCCACCACAGAGGAATCTAACACACCTTCACCTCATCTTCTTATACTAGAACGACTATCTGTGTTTGTAACTTGTTGTAAGTTCTAAGTAAGTTTGTTTGTGGGCGTTTTAACGACTCTGTAAACATAAATAAAGAGTCAATTATTATTTATAAGAAGTCTAATCAGGATCAAATGTAATCTGCAGCTCGAAGCTTTGTTTGCATGTTCTCTGTTCTAGTTCAGGAGGAAGAGCGCGTAACTGTCAGGAATCATCTATTTCACATTCGTTACGTTGAAATCCCGACTTTTACTGCTCACAGTCCTCCGGTTCCATCTGATGATCAAACTAACGCTGCTGCATGTCACACATGTGCTGCTGCCGCCTGCCCCGCAGACTCCGCCTCCTGCACTCGTTAAAAATAACCTGCAGAAACGCCAGCGGGGCACAAAAGCCTCTGAGAACCAGGATCGAGTGCAGGAACCCAGCAGGCCCTTATAAGAACCTGAACACTGTGTACGAAGGCCCTGGACCAGAACAGGAAGTGGGTCACTTACTCTGTCGCCGGGCTCCAGCTTGCGATCCCCCAGGAACCACTCGACGGCGATGCCCTCGTAGGACAGCTCGCACTGGAAGGTGGCGGTCTCCCCGGCGGTCACGGTGGCGTCGTCCAGGGGTCTCGTCAGGCCGATCACTCGTGCTTTGGATTGGGGAGAAGACATGATTAGCCCCCCCCCTGAAAAGGGTCAGTAGATCCAAAGAGCGCCGGCTAGTCCTCAGAGGCTCGTCCTCATGGTGAAGCTGAAGACAAGCTTGGACGCCCTCAGGACAACTGCAGACGGCCTCCCTGAGACTCGGCACTGGGGGGGCAGCTCATTAGCATGCGACCCGCGGAAACCAGTGAGGCGCGGGGTCGTGCCCCCCCACTGCCAATCACGGCCATCCTGCTCTACATATGGCATTCGGTTTTTAAAATAACCGACGGCCCCGATTGGCCGGGAGCTCCCCTCGCCAGACCCATCAGAGGGGGCCAATCTGCTCCTGTCAATCACAATCAGTGGACATTTCTTCCTGGAAAAGGAAAGAATGCGGCGCTCCTCACAGGAGTTACCCAACGTCTCCTCACGCGTCACATCGTGACAGCCGGGACGTGAAGAACATATTACAGCTAGCGTGATTTCACAAAGTCCAATTTAAGAGTTCAGCTCACGGACGCTGTGAATATTCATCTTCAGGTCTAAATGACTTTCCGATCTGGTTGTTGAACATATGGCAGCGAATCGGGGACTCTGCTCATGTTGCTCATGAAAATACGGAGATTCAACCAGAAAGACACTTGGACATTGCAAGTAGAACTGCGTGTGATTTGTCTGTTTCTCTTCAGGATCAAAGGTCGGATTGGATACACACATAAATGTTCTGATGTCATTTCTGTCACCTTTGACCCTGAGCTGAGCTGAGGATTTGGCATTCGCCGCGGAGAAGTCTACACTTCCAGCCATTTCCCTTTTGCAGTTGAAGAGGATCAACACGTGGCGGGATCCCTCCTCCTTGATCTCCACGTCCTGAGGATAAAGATCCACCGGTGAAACAATCAGAAGAACCTGTCACTCTGGACCCGGGGCTCAAAACGTTACACGTGTCCACAGAACAAGGTGGAACCTTACGGGGGACGGGTGGAGCATCTCCCCCCTCAGCTTCCAGGCGGGGTGAAGATCCTCCTCAGATATCTCCGTCTCAAAGCGAGCCGTCTCGGTCTCCGTGACCTCCACGCTGTAAAGAGGGCGGACCACCTTGATGTCGCGCTCTGCAGAGGTTTAGAGAGACATTAGGGGACCAGAAAGGAGGCGGAGCCTAGTGAAACCTGCCAGGACCGAGTCACGCTGTCCCGAGGACAGAGAGTGAAGATATGAAGACATTAAGATAAAGACATGACCACAGAGACACGGAGACATGTTAGTTGACCGAAAGACATAATCTTACTTTTTACAAAAACGTTCCTAAAACAATAGTTTGTATCAGACGTTATGATACAGAAAGGGAGAGGACAGTCATGGAGGACGGAGGCCCAGAGGGACGACGGTGGGCGAGGTCTCATCGCCACAGGGGGCGGGGTTACCTTCGATGTTCAGGTCGGCGGCGGTTTTGTCCGTGCCGCAGTCGCAGGTGTACGCCCCCGCGTGGCTCTGGGCAACCTTCCTGATCACCAGCGAGCGCTTCCTGCCGTCCGACTGGAGGAGGACGTTCTTAGAGGGAAAGATTTCGTTGCCGTCTCTGAACCACCGGACCTCGGCGGCGGCCCTGCTCAGCTCGCAGGACAGAACCACCTCGTCCTTCTCCACGGCGGCGTAGTTCTGGAGCCGCACGGCGAAGTACAGGTCGCCCTCTGCGAGGAGAAACACGACAGAAACAGCGGCGCCCAGCGAGAGTTTAGAAACAGGGCAGCTCAGCGAAGGACGCGCCTTCATCCCTGGAAGCTGACTGACCGAGCACGGTGAGCATGGCCTCCGAGCTCTTGTCCATGGCCTCCACTTTGATCATGGACGTGTCGTCCACGGTGACCTCCTTGAAGGCCAGCGCGTGGACCCGTCCGTCCACAGACATGTGCACCACCTTGCTGGGGTGCAGGCGCACGTTGTTTCTGGACCAGACCACCGGCACCTTCTCGTGAGAGAGCTCCGCGCTGAACTCGGCCGTTTCGCGCTCTTTCACCGTCACGTCTTTAATGGGTTTGATGAATTCAAGGCGAATACCTGACAGACAGAACCAACGTGGACACACACGAAGTGTATTACATCTAGAGACACACAAACAACACACAAAGAGTTTCCCGGTCGATGGGTTTCAAGAGGCGACCGTCCGACTGCTGTTACCTTTGATTATCAACTTCCCAGAAGTGCGTTTGTCTTCAGCCTCAAACATGTATTTGGCTTCGTCTTCGTACCTGGCCGATTTTAAAACCAGAGCGTGTCGCTTTCCTTCCACCAGGAGCTCAAAGGTCTCGTCGTTGGACAGCTCCTGAGATCCCTTCAGCCAGCGGAAGCTCTTGGGCTCTCTGGATACCTCTAAGTCAAACCTTGCCTCGTCCTTTTCGAACACGTGCACGTCGGTTAGCGGCGTGAGGAAGGAGATGGGCAGCTCTGTTGGTTCAGACAGACACGGTCAGTCTCACAACGCTGAGGTCTTCCAAAGGAGAAGCGAGCTGGAGAGGCGCAGTGAGGACGGGGGCGCTCACCCTTCACTTTCAGGTTAGCCGAGCTCTTGGCGTTGGCGGCGGTGAACGCCACCTCGCCTGTTTGAGGCATTTTGCAGTTGTACAACACCAGCGTGTGTTTGGCACCGTCTTCCACAATCTCAACGTCCTGCAGACGGCCGAGAAACGTTTCAGTGAAAAAGCAAACAGGAGGATGCGAGGAAAAGTCCCGCGGTCGATCCACTGTCATTTGTCGCCAACAGGAGATCAAACGCTCTCAAGATGCACATCTGGACCCTGAGAGGTTTGACGCGTCCGGCTTGAGTCCAAATGAAAGTGGATCGGAGCCGAAGGTGAGAGAACATCTGCCTTGGTGCATGTTGAAGGAGACACATACGGCGGACGGACTGAGGACTTCTCCGTTCAGCCTCCACTGGCCGTGGACGTCGTCCTCGCTGAGCTCCACCTCAAATCGCGCCGTCTCTCCGTCAAACAACTCAGCGCCGTAAACCGGCCGAACCACCTTGATGTGGCGAGCTGGCGTTTAGGAGAGGGGGACAAAGACTCTTACTGAAGACGCTCAGACAAACCTCACAGCAACACAAAAACACTGAGACAACAGAAGGGGTGTGAGGCTGTTGGACCCATTAGAGGTGGCTCAGTTCTTCACAACGTACTGAACACCAATGAAGGGTTTGTGAATGAAGGGCTGGTTGTGGCAGGGGAGCCGTGGAGAGACTACGAAGCACACAAAGACACACACAAATGCATCCATTTCCCTTAAACCCCTGTAGCGTGCTGCTACCATCTCCATTGGGGTGGCGTGGTGACACAAGGGGGCGTGGCTCTGGGGGTTTGGTTAGGTCGTGCTGCAGATGGAGGGTGAGCGGTGATGTGAAGAACAAGTTGTTTAGTTTTTTTTACCTTCAATGTGGAGCGTTGCCGTCGTCTTGTCCGTTCCACAGTCACATACGTACTGTCCCTTGTCCTTGTCTCCCACTCTCTTGATGACCAGGGTTCTGCGCTTGCCCTCAGCCTTAACGGCCACCGTCTTGGAGGTCTTGATCTCGGCCTCATCGTGGTACCACATGACATCCACGTCTTTGCTGAGCTCGCAATCCAGAACCACCTGGTCCTTCTCCACTGCAGTGTAGTCCTGCAGCTTGACGGTGAAGTACGCATCTCCCTCTGTGATGGGACATTCAGGGGTGACTCTCCATAGCACATGAACAACACGAGCACACCACATGTACTACATACTAACGCCACGTACAAAACATCAGTCCTACACATGGTGAACACAACAAGACAACACAAATGCGTCACACAGGACACAACGTGGACAAAGAGCTGTGACCCGGAGACAGGAGACGGTGGACCATTCTGGGTTTACCTATGACCGTCAGGTTGGCCATGGACGGGATTCCTTTGGCCTCGGCCTTAATCTGGCACGTGTCATCTAGAGTCACCTCCTTCATTTCTAGCACGTGTTTCTTTCCGTCCAGCCGAGTGACCGCGGTTCTGCTCGGGTGGATCTTAACATCGTTCTTGTACCAGGTGACGGGCACGTTCTCGTGAGAGAGCTCCAGCTCAAACCGAGCCGTCGTGCCTTCCTTCACTGTCTGGTCCTTTAGCGGCAACACAAATTTGAGCCTGATACCTACAATCGTGTTAGTAAGACATGAATTATTTTGAAAAGAGGACTGAACCAACTGGATGGAGTCATAATAATAAAAGGGTCCAGTGATGGCGGACTTACCCTCCACCGTGAGTCGAGCTGTGGACATTTTGCCCAAAACCGCAATGGTATATTCATCCTCATCATCAAATTCACAGCAGTTTATAATCAGCATGTGCTTATTTCCATCATCAATGATGTCATGCTTTTGGTCTGGCGTGATGACGTCGGCGTCTCGGTACCACATGACCTTAGGGACATCCTTTGTGATGGTGCATTCAAACTTAGCCTGTTTCCTTTCAGGCACAGAAATGTCCTTCAGCGGGACAACAAAGTCCATTTCGATCTCTGGGTTAAAAAGGTGACACAGGTACAGAACATCAACGACACGTACGACAGCCTACAGCCTTCAGTGGAATCCAAAGGTGTCTCAGGTCTTCGTGTCCCCGATGCGGACTAGGTCGTGGTCCATTGATGGGTCCCACAGAACCATCCCCTACAGAAAGCCTAAATGGCTCCACGCGATGGAGGCTAAAGTACGGCCGTGTCTCCAAGGGTTCGTCATGAGACACATTCTTCACTTCTTCAGTTTTATAAGCATGTGGCAAGAATCTTCCTTCTTCAGGCACTTTGTCTTTCTTCAGCAGTTACTTCCTGTCTGATTTAACTAACATTGAGTTACTGAACTGTGTGATCTGCAGTCTCAGGGATTCATGTCTGTTGGAGGAACCTATTCATGAGCCCGCTGTTGGTTTGACTGGTAAACTGGCCATAAAACATAAAACATTTCACTACAGAAGATACTACTTTACTGTGGAGCAACATCACAACTCACATTTGACACAATGTGGAATGTGACGGACCTTTGACCCTCATCAACAACAGAGAAATGAACAGACAAACACTTGTTTCTTTGGACAGCACGAACACGCAGGAGACCTTTTGGATGGGATTCCTCTTCTTTCCCTGCTGCATAAAGTCGATGAATTTAACTGTTAAATAAAGACCCAAGGTCGGCTCTCACGTGCCATACGGCTTTATTTCACTTCCCAGACCTTGTGCTTTTATTTGTCAAGTTAACGTGCCCAAAGCCCTTCTTACCTTTGACATTGAGCATTGAGCTGGTGATGGCATTGAGAGCTTGGTAGGAGACCTCTCCTGCCTGCTCCACCTGGCAGCTCTTCAGAGTGAGTCTACGCACACCACCCTCCATTAGGATGTCGCACATCTGGTGAAGACATCACAGCATTTACATGTACACACACACACATACGCAAAAGTAGAAACACACTCATTTCGAAGCAAACAAGTCCATGAAGTCCTACCGGGGATCTGGTCAAAACCTCTCCTTTGAGCTTCCATTCTCCTGCAACATCCTCCTCCGAGATCTCCGTCTCAAACATGGCATCTTCCTTCTCCACCACCTCAACGCTGGCCAGAGGCTTCAGGATCTCAGCCTCCCGCTCTGAGAAAGAGGTTGAATTAGTGCCGGTAAATATCAGCCCCCCGACAGAAAGATTAGCAATCAGGTTAAAAAGAAGGAAAGAAGGCTGATGGATAAACCTCCAAGTGTTAGCTTGGCAGTGTAGACGCGTCCTTCCACCTCCATGGCGTATTCTGCTACGTCCTCGGGCTGACAGTTCTTGATGGTGAGTGTCAGCTCCTTTCCATCCTTCTTGATCTCCACCTTGTCGGAAGGAGTGAGCTCGGTCTCTCCTCTCAGCCACTTCCAGTTGGGGCTCTCCTTGTAGAGCTCGCATTTAAACGTAGCAGCAGTCTTTGGTTTCACATGCTGGTCTCTCAGTGGTTTCACGATCCAGTCCTTGACTATTTCTGTTGGAGTGAAACGTTACTGAATAAGAGTCGGACAAACCGTTGACGACACAATGTGCACCACTAACATACCAGGTAGAACAAGCAGCATAAGGCAGAGTAGAGGAGGAAAAAACAAGTTAAAGGGTTTCTCCTTATCTGAGTTTGCCAGATTATCCCAAAATGATCCGCAGGACATTAACCACTTCTGGATATAAATGTGTAAAACGTGCAGAAGAATTGTACTGTTGCATGTCATCAGCGTATTACATCATATCCTATGAATAAGACGTGTAGTCATTCCCGTGCAGCTCTATAGAGACTGGTAGTGAGTGCCTGCGTTTCAATGTGGAGTTATGCTCACCGATGATTTTGACGTTGGTGGAGGTCTTGACGTCCTCCTGGTTGGCCACTTCACACGTGTAGAGCCCCGTCTCGTCCTCGCTGGAGTTCTGGATGGTCACAGCGTGCTGCATGCCAATGATGTTGATCTGGATCTTGCCGGCCTGTTTCTTCAGGACCTTCCCGTTCTTCTTCCAGGTCACGTCTCTCTCCTTGTTCAGCTCACAGGTCAAATACACGGGCTGACCCTTCAGAGCGGACGTCTCCTCCTCCAGCTCTTTGATCCACTTCACCGGCAGCTCTGTGGGGAGGAAGGAAGAAGACAATCCAGAGAGGTGATTTTTCTGCCCTCACCTCTGAGCTTGTGTTGTTACGGCACAAAGAGATAAATACCTTCTACAATGAGCTTGGCTGTGCAGGATATCTCCTTGCCGGCGTTCTTGGCTATACAGGTGTATTCGCCGGTGTCGGACAGCTGCACATCGATGATGTTCAACTTTCGGTCTTTGCCGTCGGAGGTGAACTTGTGCTTGGGGCTCTCGCGCAGGTTGCTTCCGTCTTTCATCCAGCTGGTGATGGCGGTGGAGGGCGATACCTCGCACTCGAACACGGCGGCCGAGCCGATGGACTCGGCCTCCTGCAGCACGATGTCCTGGATCTTCTTGATGAACTTCAGGGGGACGGCTTTCAGTTTGAATCCTCCGAAGGGTTCCTCCGGCGGCGACGGGCCTTTCCCTCCAGGCCTCAGGCCACGGCCCCGGCCTTCCCCGGGGGACGGCGTCTGCTTGGCTGCAACACAAACGATTAAGACTCCTCGCTGTCGGATATGGAGCACAACAGGGTCGATAACTCAGAAGTTCCCTTACGTTTCAGCCCTCTTCCTCTTCCTCTTCCTGCTTCTTCTGCTGGTTGTCCCTCTGTTCAGAAACATACTCCGATGAAATGACGCACAAACTGGGATCAGGTTTCAAAGTCTACATAAAACATGGCCGTGCTGGGAGACGTGGAATCACACCGTGGATAGAAAGCACGAAGAGATGGAATGAGGGACAGAAGTGTGAAGAGATGAACACATGTAGGACTGATGGGAGCGACATGACATTGAAATGACAGAATGACAGAATGTTTTGGATGCGACCAGACAGGTTGAAACAGAAGGAGCATCGACATGAAGACGAGGAAGAGATGGCGTCAATCGCGTCACACTCAACATAAGATGGAGTGGAGACAATGTCGATGGAGGCATGATGCTAGAAATGGAGAGAGATTATTCAAGAAATGAAGAAGTTTCTCTCAGACGCTTTTGGGGGGCGGCCACCATCTCACCTCTCCTGGTGACCCCTGGAACCTCCAGAGAAGCTTCTTCACCTTCGCCCTCCCAGTCTTCAGAGCCGTAGCTGTCGCGGGGAACCAGCTCCCAGCCCCAGGCCTCTTCCTCCTCCTGCTCCCCTTCCTCCTCGGCCTCCTCTTCGAACACCTCCTCCTCTGGCTGGGTGGCTATCTTCTTCATCTGCACGGCTCCAGGAGAGACCTCCTTGGCCAGAGGTACCCTCCCTTTTCCAGGCCTTGCCGGTTCTGTGGCCTCCTCGGGCGACGGCTTCCTCTGGACCTTTTTGAGAGTCGCGGCTTCAACTTCTTTGGGCTTCGCAACTTTTGGAGATGGAGTCTTTCGCAGCTCAACCTTCTTGAGCTGCGCCAGAGGCTTTGGAGTCACTTCTTCCTTCTCCTCTTTGACTTTGGGTGTGACTAGCTTCTTCAGCTGCACTGGTTTGGGCTCCTCTGGAACCTCTTGTGGTTTCTTAACCAAGGCAGGAGCCCCCGGCTTCCTCTCTGGAGCTTCTGGGATTTCCGGTTTCTTCACACCGGCCTCTGACTCTGGTTCCTCTGGACTCGTCCGCCGGCGCTGCAGTTTATCTTCTGGCTTCCTCTGCCTCTCCTCCGCTGGTTTCTTCTCAGGCTGTACTGCCTCTTTGGAAGGCCTGGAGAAGGGTTTCAGCTTAACGCTCTCGATCCCTTGTTCCTGTGTTGGGAGTTTCTTCACCTTGGTAGGCGCGTCGACCTGCTCAGGCTTCTTCTCTGGAGTTTGCTTTTTATCTTCTGGCTTCTTCCCTTTGTCTAGTGGCTCCTTTACCTCTGGTGGAGCTTTCTCTGGTTTCTTCTGAGGTTCTTTGGCTTCCACCTCTTTGGGAATCCTCTGAAGCTTCTGGAAAGGTTCCGTGTCTCTGTCCGGCCTCTCCTTCTTGTCCTTCTGCGCCACCTCTGCTGGTTCACCAGGCTTTATGAATGGCTTTAGTTTGACTACCTCTGCTTCTGCCTCATCTGCAGGCACTCTCTTCATCTTCTTCGAGGGTGCGCTTGGTAGAGCAGGTTCTTCTTCCTTTGGTGCCTTGGCAGTTTTCTTCAGCGAGACCTTGTCTTGTGGTTTGTCGGCTCGTGGAATGGGTTTCTGACGTGTCTGTGCATCTTTAGGAGCTCCTTTCTGTTCCTGCTCTTGGAGCTTCACAGTTTCAGGCTTTTTCACCACGTCTGCTTCGCCTCGAGGTGTCCTCTCCTCCGCAGGCCTTCGGGTGGCGCCAGACATCTGAACGACCTCCTCTATGTGCACCGCCTCCTCCACGTCAAAGACCGCAGTCCTGGTGACCTTCTGAGGTTTCTCTTCTTCTTCGGTCTCCTTGGCTGCAACCGATGGGATCTTCTTCAGTTTGATGATCTCCTGCTGCTCCTCCACTTTCTTAATCTCCGTTGTGGTTTTCCTCAAAGTGGGAATCTCAAACGTTCCCTCCTCTTCCCTGTGAACTTTACCTTTTTTGTGCAGCAAAGGTTTGACGTTACTAATTGACACGCACTAATGACATCATTTGAACAAACACATACACACATTTACTAATCATACATTGGGACATTTAAATAAACATTCTAATCACAATTATTCTGATATAGAGGAATACGTGACAACAGTAACATGGAAGCAACATAAAAAAGCAGACAAAGAAGAGGAAACTTCCACAGGATACAACAGTCAACGTCAACTGAAATACCTTTACTACTATCGATAATATGCACTCATTTCAATTGTTTCTAACAATGAATGAATCAGAGCTGGTTGGTGGTCATAATCTGGAGCTGCTGATGGATGTTTGCTGAGCGAGGCGATCTGTGAGCCTACCTTTCTTGACTCCTCCTGGCGCTTGGACGGGTCCTTTGGTTTCATCTAGAACAGAAAATAGTTATTTAGCAAAGTGCATTTTAACCGATTCAGAACTGGAAAGACATTCAGAAGTACTCAGTACAGAGTGTGGACGAGCAGGTCCCAGGGAGAGACACTAAGTGTGCCGGGACACGCGTGGCGTGACGTGCTCGGGTCGGGTTCAACGCAAAAAGGAGACAAACAACATGAAGTTATTGTGACCACGACAAGAGGGACTCACAACACATGGGGGGGTTATGCACCCACACAAAGGGGGTGTTTACTCTCAATACTTCAAATACTTGTCTACCTGTCTCAGGAGTTCTCTTTTTCCCGTCGGCCGGTTTTACTTCCTCCACCTTTCCTGACGGTTCTTCGGCCTTTACGAGAGGCTTCGGCTCGGCCACTTCAAGCACAACACAGAGGGGGTTCAGGTCACGTGAAGTACCACCGGAACACAAAGGAACGCACAACCATCTTGTTGCGGGTTCTTTAAGAAGATCAGGATACCTGGCTTCGCTTCCGCACTCCTTTTCTTCTCCATCTTCTTGGTTTGGTCGGTGACTTCTGACCTTTTGGCAGCTTCTTTTGCAGCTGCATGCGGTTTGATCTCTTCAAGTACAAGATATACAAGAACTTCAAAAGAAAACAGGTTTGATTTCCTTTCTTTGCATAGTACCAAGAATAAAGGCTCAGAGATTCATGCTCACAGTCTTCTGCTCACAGACATCAAACACATTTAGAGCAGAGGTTGTATACCTTCTGGAGGAGCAGCTGGCTCCACCAGGGCCTCACTGAGTTGTGGTGGAGACGACGTCTCCTTCGCAGGAGCTTGGAGATGAAATGATACAACAATCAGAACCTTGTTAAGACTGATGAGTGAGCGCTGAACAACGCAGAGACAATAGAGAACGAAGAAGATCCACGATGGAAACAGAGTTTAAAGATGGAAGAAACATCTCACCTAGTGTGAGAAGAACATCTACCTGGAGACACACACAGGTATGATGAAACATAACAGACATAACAAACACAGTGTGTCCACGGCGGAACACAATGGGTGAGGTAACACGATGTCGCTTGGTGCTCAGATCAAACAACACGTGCTCGGTGACACACAGCGGTTTCCCTTCTGTACCTCCTGAAGACTTGGCAGCTTCTCTGCTGCTGGAGGCTTCAGCCTCCTGAGGAGGCTTCTTCTGATCTGTTACTGACGGTTCTCTGACTGAGGGACCAGCTGTTGATTCTGTGTTCACTTCATCGAGTGTCTCTGGGTACGTTTCCTCCTTCCTTTTCCTGGGAACCACTAAGTGATCTCCTCTCATTTGTTCCTGTCCAGCGGCTTTTAGGGCTTCTTCATCTTTTTCTTGAAGCCTTTGAATGGTTTGGTCTTTGCCTGCGATGCTTTCTGTCTTCATTTCCTTGGATTTCACTGGTTTCAGTCTTTTTTCCAAAGCCTCTTCCTCCTCCAGCGATGCTCCTGAGGGTCGACCTTTAACTTTCATTTCTTCCACCAAAGAAACAGCTTTTGTCCGTTTCTCATCATCTTGAAAGTCTCGTTCATCTGACATTGTTTTAGTTTCACCTCTTGTTGCATATTCTACTGTGATAAGTGATTCTCTGGATGTCGCCTCACTGGCGGGTGTTTCTGCAGACTGGCAGATTTCGATGTGTTCCATCTTAATTTGTGCGTCTTCAGTAGGACCAACGGCAGCACTTTCATCTTTAGAGCTGAAAGCTTTTGGCAGAATTTCTCCCTCTGTGGTGGACGGACTTTTATCGGCTTCACTGAAGGTCATTTGAGTGCCTCGCATTGAAACTCCAGCGGTGGACTCTGGTGAGACTTTGCTCGTCTTGTCATCCAGTATTTTACCCTTTGACCTGCTTTCTCCTGCTCTGAACCCTTGTCTTTGGTCCTCTGTGGAATTGTCTTTCTTTACCCCCTCAGACTCCTCAGGTTTTCTGAGTGAAATGTCTCTGAATAGATTGTCGGGGGAAATATACTTTTGTGGAGTATCTGAGATAAGATCTTGTTCTTTCCCAATCGATGGTTTTTCATGTGCGACGTCCATCGCCTGTGTCCTTGAAGCTTTTCTTTCTATCTGCTCCCTCTCTGTTTCTGTGTCTGTCTCGTCCCCGGTGACCTCTGCTCGCTCACATCGGGCGCCCTGCTGTCTCTGTGGATGTTCTGCGTCCACCACCTTTGTTTCAGACACTTTTCCTGATGTCTCCTGAGACTTCAGCTGAGCCTGTTTCCGTTTGGTTGCTGCTGTATCAACTCTGTCGGTTGGACCTGTTACCTCTTGTTCACCAGCTAAAGCCTCCAGGATGTCCCTGGAGGACTCTGGACTCCCCAGAGGAGACTTGTTTAATGTATCGTCCTGTAGGAGCTGCTCGGGTCCAGCGATCCTCTGCAGGGCGGCTGATTGTCCCTCTTTGACTGTGAGATGTTCTTCAGACGGAGTGGCTTGCTTGACGTGTTGCTGGTTTATCTTCTCATCTCTAACCGTCGTGGACTGCACTTCTTCAAGGGCAACTCTCTGTCTTTTCCCTTTTAGGGACTTAGATTTCTTTGCCTCGTCGTGCTCGGTGTCCATGTCGGCCATCTTTGTTTCAGCAGCTGTGGTGGTTTTATACATTTCTGAAGGTGTTTCTTCTGGTTTGGATGTGGTCGAGGTCTTTCCTCTGGCAGCTAACTGCTCTGTGATGGTAGGAGCCGTGTGTGTCTGAACCAGGTGACCTTCTGACACGACTTGGCCCATGACTTGGACCTGCTGGTGCGGTTTAGTAGACCTTTGGAGAGTCTGCGTCTCAACGTCTCCTTCTGTCACCACCAGACCTGTTTGAGATGAAACGTCCATCACGGGAGCCAGCAGGCACTTTCTTCCCACTTTTTCCTCTTTTGTTTGTGCGAAACTGTAATCATGTTTGACTCCGTCTGTCTGGAACAGGACCTGCTCAGGAGAGGTCCTTTGCCCTTTTGGCCTTTGGCTTTTCTCTTTTAGGAATGACTTTGTCTGCAGATCCTCAGCCGATGTTCTGCCAAACTCCCGCGGCGTTTCCTGCTGAGCGCCATCGTCTTTTAGTGGAAGGTTTTCTGCTGCGGTTCCACCACTTCTACCCGTTGTGGTGTCCGGCTCTGAAGAAGTTGCGTCCGCCTCAGGACCAACGGAGGATTTCCTTTCAGGTGGTTTCTGACTCGTCACAGTTTGTGAATCGTCTTCGGGAGGTGTTTGAATCTCTGCAGAGAGACTTTGGTGCTGCTCTGTGACCTTGTTAAGAGTTTGGTCCCTCATCTTTGAGTGAACATCGCCAGCTCTACTTGTGATTGGTCTCTGCTTCAGAGGCTTTCTCTTTGTTTTCTGCTCTTCAGTGGGAGTAAATAGATCTGTAACTTTGTTGATTGCATCTCCTCTGACCTGCGACTGAACCTGAACATCTTCACGTTTTAGTGGAACTTCTTGTAGTTGAGGCACTTCTGACAAAAAGGTTTCACGTCTTGTTTTACTGTCACATGTTTGACCTTCACCTGCTGGTTCTTTTGACTCAGGAGTATCTGGTTCTGTCAATGATTTTGCATCATTTCCATCAGCAGCAGGTATCTCCTCGGCCTCAGGAACGATGTGTTGTTGATCTTCAGTGGTGACCATCTCTGTCAGGCCTTTGGTTTCTTTAGAAGGAAGGTCGTCTCCACGATGCTCTGCTCCCTCTCGCTCAGAGCTCAAAGAGGACAGTTTGTCAGCTCGGGCTGGTTTTGTCTTTTCTTGGACAGCTTCGACTTGGTCCTCGTCTTTCACAGCTGTCTGCTGTCTCACTTTCTTAGAAGCATCTTTCTTCTCAGATACCATCTCAGGCTTTTGAAGGGTTTCTCTATCTGGCGGTGGTTCTGGGAGTTTGACTCGGTCGTCTCTGTCTGGTTTCATCTCAGAAGTTCTGACCCGTTTGTCTTTAAGTGGAAGGACTTGGGACAAAGCTTCAGGTATTTGGGGTTCATCTGGTCCGTTAATATCTCTCTGCTGTGCTTCTATCGTCTCTTTTTCATCACAAACACATTTGACTGTAAATTCTAATGTTCTTGCTTTTCTTGGAGAAGCTTTAGTATCTTTTTTAATGTCTTTTATTTCAACGCTCGCTGTTGGACAATCAGTACTTTGGACAGAAAACTCTTTTTGTTTGGTAGGTTCATCCTGAACTAACAACGTTTTCTTCATCTTATCTTCACTTCCTGTCATGAGCTTTTCTTTGCTTTTAAGAGCCTTCAAACCGTCAGTAACAGTCACCTCTGACTCATCGTCAGGTTCTATCAGCACATTTAGGATCCCTTCTTGTTGCACAGATTCAGATTTCATTTCTTCTTCTTCTTCTTCTTCCGCCTTCTCCGTTTCCTTGTGCGTTGGTGCAGAAGAAGCTCGGCCTCTTCTCGCGGCCTTCAGCACGCGGCTGGCTGGAGGACGGATCAGTTAAAGAGGTGTGAAGAGAAAGCACCATGTAGCGGTGCCAAGAGATTAGGGAGAAAACAACAACAACAAGAAGGAGACAAACACGTAAAACCAGACAGAGGGAAGAGGGAGAACGCGTTGTTGTACCTTTCTCTCTCTCTGCTGTCTCAGGGGGCGAAGAGGCCTCCACTGCTGCTCCTTTAACAGACAATAAGCTTTGCTTTAATGCAAGATATTAACATTCAGGAGCAGAGACTAAAAACACTGCTGAAACAAAGAGCTCCGTTAACAGAACATGGTGTCAGGAGACGTTTAGGGGGGGAGGGAATGGTGCCCCCCTGTGGTCCATAAAAGAAGAAGAAAGATGGAAAAGACTCTGTGTACCTCTGGAAGCAGCTGGTCCAGAGGGTTTTCTCTGGACCCAATCCTCCACTTTAAGACTTGTTTGTTCCTTGGATTCCTCTTTCTTCTTCTCTGCGTCACTTCTTGCAGCAACAAAGTCAGATTGAGTCTCTTTTGGCCTCCGGAGCCGAGCTTCTGTTACTGTCTCATCAGCCTTCTTGTTCTCTGGTTTCTTAACCGGACCCTTTTCTGGCGCACTAGTCTCATCTTTGTTGGATGCGGGACTGACAGCTGCTTTATCTACACTGTCCTCTTTTCTAATAGTTTTCTCTTCTACCTTCTTCCCCCAAGTGGAACCCCCTTGTGTCGGTTCATCCTTCACTGTGACCTCTGTCTGCTGGATTGTGACTGTCTCAGTTACACTGTCCTCATCCTCTGCTTTGTCTGAGATGATTTTAGCACGATGATGCACCGATTCCTCGGTCTCTCCTCGTTCTATTTCTTTGACTGCAGTAGTTTTCCTGACTTCCGGTTGTCTCTCTCCTGTACCCTCGGTGTCCTGCACCCCCTCGTCCTGCAGCTGTCTGACTGAACCGCCGTCTTTCCTCTCGTCTGAGACTTCTCTTAGTGTCTCGGTGTCCCTCATGCCTCTGTCGGTCTGCTGGACTATAACGACGGTTTGTGGAGGCGACCTGTTTTTTTTCCTCTTTGAAGAGTCAGTGACAGAAATCTGTCCTCTGGCCTTTTCTGTCAAAAGGAAGAAGTCTGTCTCTGACAACGTGGTCTCACTCAGACGAGCCACTGGGAGCTCCTCCTCCTCCTCCTCCTCCTCCTCCTCATCCTCCTCCTCAGCGGCCGACGCCCCGTAGAAGACTTGCTGTATCTTTTGAGCTGCTCCCCGTTTAAGAGGCGTTGAAGAAGAGGCGTCATGCGGCGGCGCCAAGAGGTGATGACAAAACACAAAGACAAGCATTAGTGTTGGAAGAGATGAATTGAAATGGTCAGCGTCCACCTGCCCAGCTCCTCTGTCCTCTGAGCCTTCGTCTGAAGGAGACACTGTCTTATTTTCTGCTTCTTCTTAAGAACAAATTCAGATCATGGAAGAGTGTTTAACAAAGAGAAGACATGTAGAAACAAGCAGTAGAAGGTTCAGTTTGTACTCTGGTGTCTGTCTCAGTCTTTAAATGTCCACATCAGAGGACGATCAGACAGACTATGCTTGTATAGTTTAACCCACGTTTCATCCAGCTTGGATGCTCCTCTGATGGAGACGTCATCCTCACTAGATACATTGAAATGATTTGGAAGTAGAGACAGAAATAGAGAGGGGAGGTCTGCCGGGCTTTACCTTCACGGAGACTTTCTTCTGCTTTGGGTTTAGCTTCAGGTATCTTCACATATGTTTTATCTACACAGATCCTCGCTGCTTGTTTCTTGGACCCCAGGTCAGGTTTTACTTCCTCGGGTGTCCTCTCGTCTTCGGGCGTCTCTGGTCCCTTCTCCTCAGGTAAACACGTTTCCCCCACTGTCCTCTCTGGGGTCTTTTCTGTCCCTGCAGGCCGTCTCTCAGGTGTAGGTTTGGTCTCCTCAAACACCTTCTGAGGTTCTTGTTGGGGTGTGACTTTAGGTTTTGGCTTCAAAGCTTTAGGAGGGTTGGACACAAACACGTGACTGAAGACACAAAGTAGTGAAAGACGTGCTGTCGCACAATAAAGAGACATTTTAGATTAAACTCAATATATTAGCTAATTAGGACGGTAACCCTTTAAAGGCTACGAGATGACCTTGTCCCCCCATCAGCACCATCAAAGTACCTTTTGGCCTCGGCTCTTCTCTGGGAGGAACCGCGGACGCTTCTGCTTTCTCCTCCACGGGAACTTTAAAGAGTTCACAGACATTAAAAGCTTGTCAAAGAACTGAAGAGCGTCGCTAGAGACGGACAGACCCAAACACTCTGCCGAGCGCACAACAAGAGGAGCCCGACTACAACGAAGTCCAAGGACTTCCCGTGTAAAACCACTGCAGATGGTGATTAGGATGTATACCTTTCTTAGGAGGTTCCTTTGCTTCTGGTTTGCTCTCTGGAGGTTCTGGTTTTTGAAGTGGCCGTTCTTTCTTCATGGCAGCAGGTTCTGGCTTCGCTACAAGAGCCTCAGATTTACCAACTACTAGTTTTTCTGCTTCTGGCTTCTTTACTGCCGGTTCAGGCTGGATCTCCTCTGGGACTTAAAGCAACATTTAGTTTAGAGACGAGCAAACAAACCAAGTCAAAGATCCGCTTCCACGTCTGAAGCTGAGAAAAGCCGGTTCAGACAGACAAACACACCCAAAGAAGCGAAGCAGGAAATACCTTTGGCTGCAGGGGTTGCCGGCTTAGCTTCAGCTGTGCCTCGTGCTTCTGCTCTGGGAGCCTCAGGCTCCGGCTTAAACGCAGGCGCCACTTTTTTCGTCTTGCCTGGTACCGGAGGCTTGGGCTCTTCTTCAGGTGGGTAACACAGACATTAGCTAACGTTAGCATGACGTCGTGGTAGCGTCTAAGATTCATCAAGAGCCGGCGGAAAGAGTGAGACCAAACCGAACAGAGAAGGAAACAAGAGAGGGGAGAAGCCCCCGAGCCAGAGCACCACAAAGCTGCTGCCATCAGATCAACGAGTCAAGTACCTTTCTGGGGCAATCCGGGCTTCTCTGCAGGCGGCGGGGGGGCAGCGGCAGGCTCCTTTACCACCTCGGATTCTTTTAAGATTCAAACACAAGATGAAGCAGACGGTCGCAGCAACCGGACAGAAGATGGAGTGAGCGTCGTCACGGCAGATCAACGAGGCTCGGGCTCACATCAGCGACTCTACCTTTTGGAGCAGGAACCTTGTTCTTCTCTGCGACCTTCTCCTCCACTGGCTTTCTGCCCTCCGGTGCTTCAAAATGTCAGCAAAATGAAAGTCATGGACGAGGCTCAAACACACACATTGCATTCATCTAGTCTAGGACGGAGACCCCGGGTCAAGAACATGACAACATGGAGGGTGTGCCGGTACCTTTGGGGGCCGGCGGCTCCTTGGCATCAGCTGTCAGCTTCTCTTCAGGCTTTCTCTCAGCTTTGACAACTTAAAGACACAAGCCATAGTTTTAGCGAGACAAAGAGAGGCACGTGTCACCTTCAGGAGAAGATACGCAGACAGAAAGCTACGCTAGAGAAGGAAGAGTTCACCTGAAACACATGAGAGGAGAAGAAGCAAACACAAACACAGAGACGAACAGAACAAACAAGACTTTGGCGCCGGAGGACGGACGCGCTAAGAGGAGCTGAGAAGACGTGCAGGTGTTCGCTACCTTTTGTTGGGACTTCCTCTCTCGTTTCAATTGTCCTGGTCTCCACTTTCTCCTCAACGGCAACTCTGGCAACTGATGGAGGATAAAACAAAGAAACACGTCCACAATCAACATCACTGATGCCGTAAAACAACCGTTTCTCACTTAACGGACAAGTTGCTGCTTCCAATGGAAACTGTGGACTCAGTCTAACCACCAGTCTCTGGGAGGACAGTTCAATGTTGTCCTAATCAGACAAGTGTGTTGTCTCCTACTGGCTGTGGTCAAAATAAGCCCCGTTACAATGGAAACACTGGAAGCAATATAATTAGTGATTTTTTTAAAAAGGTTTCAGGAGTTTAGCAGATAAAAGACATGAACACAAACACAGGTCTGAAACACAAAACCACCACAAAGAGACAAAAAAACACCACAAAAAGAAAGTCTTCTCATAATTTGCTGAAGACTGTTGTTGTTGTTGTTGTTGTTGTTGTGTGTAATGTCTCATTCAGTGAGGAGGGCCTGTGGGACAAACGACTTTGTGAAATACAGCATTAGTGGAAGTTAGTGGAAGTATGATGATGAGATGAAGATGGGATCAAAGTTAAAAGAGCGAAAACAGGAGCAAACAAACAAGACTTTGGTAATACGTCCAAGCAGAGATCATGTAGATGAGTAATTATTCTAAACGTGTGATATTTCACTTTGATGAACCTATTGGGTATTGGGTATTCTTTAATTAATGTCATTTTAAAATGTCTCACACAATATGTAGATAAAAGTTTCATCCATTGTTGTGAGGTGCAAAAGAAAAGAAAACAGATCTGCTGAGATGGTTGGATGGCTGATGGAGTGAAATCAAGTAGCATGTTGTACCTGTCTGCTCCACCTCCTCTTCATAGTGATACGAATATTCAGCTGATTCTTCACAGAACAAAGTGTGTTGGTTTCCGTTACAGAGAACAGAAGATAATAAAGCATTTGATTACAAGTGTGACCGTGAGGGACAGACTACACTGGTAAACGCCGAATAAACCGCTTTTTAGTGTCGAATCTATGATGACATAGAAAATATCTTTAACTGCTTTTTAGTGAAAGCTGTTCTTGAAGGTTCAATTTCTTCCACATATTGATAGAATTCAGCAGGTTCTGTATTCTGACCTTTTGGTTTCATTATGACGTTACGGTTAAGGTGCCAAATATCCCTTTTTGATTCTTTGAAACTTAAAGCGTCAACTTCTTAAACTAAGATAGTTTTTGAATCAACTATGAGATGATTACGTTATTGGGCCTGATTCCAGTCTTACCTTGAATTGTCACTGATGAAGGCACCTCAGGCCTCTGAACTGAGGAGTCTGGGACATCTACAGAATATGTACATACCAGAACATTAGTGCAACGTACAAAAGCATCTTTACAACAATGAGATCGACTGTTCTGTCATGAAAGGGACGGGCGGACATCTTTCCTCTTGTCAGAGCTCTTATGCTGCGTTCACACCAGAAGAAAAGCAACTTTTCGTTTACTTGTAGTTCATTTGCGTCATTCGGAAAGAGGGCGTGGCTTAACTTTGTCACTTCTCTCTGTTGTCATTTCTGCTGTCCACCTTGGAAAAACCCACTATTTCTGCTCTGTACAGGCGTTTATGAGGCGTATCGCTCGCTTTGCTACATTCGAGTCATTCACGCCGCACGTTGAAAATTAGCTGAAAGTTTGCAACCATCCGCAACTTTGCGTGGAATCTACTACTTTGCTTCGCTTCTGGTGTGAACGTGCATACGAATGTCCAATGTTCCTATGTTACCATGGTCTGCTGTTACCACGCCGATAGGCTAGCATGGTGCTTAATGGTGTTATCGTGACCTATGTTACCATGGTCTGCTGTTACCACGCCGATAGGCTAGCATGGTGCTTAATGGTGTTATCGTGACCTATGTTACCATGGTCTGCTGTTACCACGCCGATAGGCTAGCATGGTGCTGTGATGGTGTTATCGTGACCTATGTTACCATGGTCTGCTGTTACCACGCCGATAGGCTACCATGGTGCTGTGATGGTGTTATCGTGACCTATGTTACCATGGTCTGCTGTTACCACGCCGATAGGCTAGCATGGTGCTTAATGGTGTTATCGTGACCTATGTTACCATGGTCTGCTGTTACCACGCCGATAGGCTAGCATGGTGCTTAATGGTGTTATCGTGACCTATGTTACCATGGTCTGCTGTTACCACGCCGATAGGCTAGCATGGTGCTTAATGGTGTTATCGTGACCTATGTTACCATGGTCTGCTGTTACCACGCCGATAGGCTAGCATGGTGCTTAATGGTGTTATCGTGACCTATGTTACCATGGTCTGCTGTTACCACGCCGATAGGCTAGCATGGTGCTGTGATGGTGTTATCGTGACCTATGTTACCATGGTCTGCTGTTACCACGCCGATAGGCTAGCATGGTGCTGTGATGGTGTTATCGTGACCTATGTTACCATGGTCTGCTGTTACCACGCCGATAGGCTAGCATGGTGCTTAATGGTGTTATCGTGACCTATGTTACCATGGTCTGCTGTTACCACGCCGATAGGCTAGCATGGTGCTTAATGGTGTTATCGTGACCTATGTTACCATGGTCTGCTGTTACCACGCCGATAGGCTAGCATGGTGCTGTAATGGTGTTATCGTGACCTATGTTACCATGGTCTGCTGTTACCACGCCGATAGGCTAGCATGGTGCTTAATGGTGTTATCGTGACCTATGTTACCATGGTCTGCTGTTACCACGCCGATAGGCTAGCATGGTGCTGTGATGGTGTTATCGTGACCTATGTTACCATGGTCTGCTGTTACCATGCCGATAGGCTAGCATGGTGCTGTCATGGTGATATCGTGACCTATGTTACCATGGTCTGCTGTTACCACGCCGATAGGCTAGCATGGTGCTGTCATGGTGATATCGTGACCTATGTTACCATGGTCTGCTGTTACCACGCCGATAGGCTAGCATGGTGCTGTCATGGTGATATCGTGACCTATGTTACCATGGTCTGCTGTTACCACGCCGATAGGCTAGCATGGTGCTGTCATGGTGATATCGTGATCTATGTTACCATGGTCTGCTGTTACCACGCCGATAGGCTAGCATGGTGCTGTCATGGTGATATCGTGACCTATGTTACCATGGTCTGCTGTTACCACGCCGATAGGCTAGCATGGTGCTGTCATGGTGATATCGTGATCTATGTTACCATGGTGCTGTTTATATGTGTTCTGTAAGGCTAAATGTTTCATTGACCCGGGGTCCTGAAGTTAAAGTTGTGTAGAGAATAAAATACTTACCGGAGGGCACCATTGCTAATTCAATTTCTGTAAAAGAGGGGAGGAGAGTGAAGAAGGCGTTAAACGCTAAAACAGACACAAGCTGAACAGAACATAAAAAGATGGCGTCTGACTGGAAACTGTACCTTTGCCAGACAAATAAAGCTCAGCTGTGCTCTTAGCCACTCCTCTGGGCTCCAACCGCACAATCACTGAGTACACGCCTACACGGGATATCAATGAAGACGTTTAACACATGGATACAATGAAGGGGAAGAAGAGCCTCTGCGCCTCTTTATGCTTTCGCTCCCCTCGCGGCCTCGGTGCTCTACACACCCTTCGTCTTCGATGGTCACGTTTTGGATGACCATGAAATGTCTTCGTCCCTCGCTCGTGAAGCTGTACTTGGGGCTCTCTCTCAGCTCCCAGGTGTCTTTGTACCACGAAACAATGGCGTTGTCGAAGGACACCTCGCACTCGAAGCTGGCCGACTGGCGCTCGTTGACTTCGATGTTGTGGATGCGTTTGGTGAAATGAATTTGTTCGGCTAAAAAAGATAAAGACGGCAACGGGTAAACGGGAGCACAGCTGGGAATGTTTGACAATGCTGGAGTGGTAGTTCATTTAATGGGCACAGCATCCACACGGTTAGCGGTGATGGTCAGAGCGGGCGGTTACGAGGGTTGGTTGTCGGGGACGGGGGGAGTTGAGTGGAGACCAACGTGAGGAGACGGACAAGTCGATGGCTGAGCCTGGTTTTGCGAGATAATCCGAGAGAGGAGAGGAGACGTGTGAAGAGGGTTAAGACAGAGGAGGCCAAATCCCAGAAGAAAGAGGGGGAAAAAGGGCTGAAGCAAACGGCCGTCTTTAGTCTGAGAGAGCGATGAGTCCAAAGAGGTTAGTGCACGGAGAGCATCCACCACGTCTACAGGGTCCAACGGTCCCGTGTACAAACCTTCCACCCACAGGTCCGCAGAGGACTCCAGGTTCTGGTACCGGCAGGTGTACCTGCCCTGGTCTTCGGTCCTGAGGTCTCTGATCAGGAGCTTCTGGACCTTGTGCTTGGCCTCTGACGAGTATCTGCCTTTCATCTCTAACCGCTCGCCGTTTTTAAACCACTGAGCCTCTACGTTTGGGACGGACAACTGACAAGACAGACAGCACGGCTGGCCTTCCTTACCCGATGTGTCCTGCAGATGCTTCTCCACCTCTGGAAGACAGAGAGAAGGAAATGCAGCTGTTTACAGGTGGTTCACGTGATCTAAGCTTTAGATACGATCAAACATGTGACATTATGAACGTGTAACCACAGTAATATTAGTATTACATTTGATGTGGTCATTGTTTACTGCTGGTGAACTATCTATAGGTCGTGTGTGTCTGTGTACGCGTGGGACTGACCCATGACGGTGAGCTTGGCGCTGGAGATGTGTGGCCCACAGACCACCCGGTAGTTGCCCTGGTCAGCAGACTGGCAGCTCTTGATCTTCAGCAGGTGGCGCTCTCCACTGATGCTGATGTTGTACTTGTCGCTGCTTTCCAGCTTCTGGGTGCCCTTGTACCAGGACAGGGTGATCTCCGGGTAGTTGATCTTCACCTCGCACTCAAACACCGCCTCCTTGTCGGTGGAGACGGCCATATCGGAGATGTCCTTCACCACGGTGACGGGCTGCGGGGGAGGACAAGATGAGTCGTGGTGGAGACAAGTGTGGACTCAACAGCATCCTTTAATCATTACGAACTGTTCTGAAATGCTGGAAGGAGCTAAACTTAAAGTTAAACAGAACCGACATCAGACTTTCTTCATCAAATCTCTCCAAAAATGTTTGAGGAGCGTCAGAAAGAATATCTTGTTTTAAACTTTCTAATCTTTGTTCGTCTGACGAATGGTCTTTATGCCGGGCGTCCTGACCTCGGTGCGCTCCATCCTCTTCTGCAGGTCGGCCACCAGTCGGGCCATGTCCTCATCCGACTCTCTGTCTCCACGTTCCACTTCCTATCAACAGCAACAACAACAACACCACCTGGTTATCTATCAGGACATCCGGAGACACGAGGACATCGCTGTCTGTCCGTCCGTCCGGGGAGCTTTACCGGTCTTCCACTTTCTTCCGCCTTCTCCTTCTTCAGCTGCTCGATGGCCTGCAGCAGGCCTCTGTAGTCCGTGATGCCGTACATCCGGGCGTACTTCTCGTACTCTTTGGGGTCCACGTTCCTCAGCAGCTCGACGATGTCGATGTCCTTCTCCTCCTGCGGACTTTTCTGCTTCGAAGGCGTCCTGAGGACGAGGCGGAAGAGACGGTTTAGAGCTTAAAGCAGAGAGTTTGAAAACCCGAGTGCGCTGATCCTGAGGAACTCACTTCTTCAGCTTGGCCCGGAGGTCGCCCTCCAGCTGCGCCGCGCCTTTCTTCTCGTCCACGTGCATGTCAGCGCTGCACTCGATCTCGCCGTGCTTGTTGGAGGCGACGCACCGGTACTGACCCGAGTCGGACTTGGTGACCTCCCGGATCTGCAGCTTGGCCTCCTGGCCCTTCTGCTCGATGGAGATGCGGCCGCCGTGCGTGATCTGCCTCCACTTCCCCTTCATCCACTTCACGTTGGGGATCGGGTCGCCACCCACTTTGGCGATGAAGGTGGCGATGGCTTCTGTGGAGCGGGAGGTAAAGATGGATCTGTATTCATTTTTCAGAGCTGAAATGTGTTTGTGAATTCAGCGTTCATCAAGTTGTGGGTACAAACTGGAGGAGGTAAACAGTGTGTAAACTGTTGTGTGTAACGCTGTGTTTTGTATGATAAAAAGTGACGTGTTACTCTCGGTGACGTGGGCCGTTCTGGGCTCCTGGATGAAGAAGAGGTTTTCCAGTTTCTTGGTTGGAGCAGCAGGCGGAGCTTCAGCAGGAGACGGAGCTGCTCCTGGTGTCTCTGAGACAACAAGGTGCAACGTTAAAGCACTGGGCGCTGTCCAGTGGTCACTATGGTCACCGTCCACTCAGAGCACAGAGAAGATGCTGGTTCTACCTTTCACGGTGACTTTGGGCCTTGCAGAACTCGCTGCCGGCGTCGTTTGTGGCCTTGCAGAGATAGTCGCCGGCGTCGTGTCGGGACGTCGGGTTGATCTCCAGGCAGGCAGTCCCGTCGGAGAAGCTGATCCTGGTGCTGCCGGTCGAGGTCAGGTCCTTCCGGTCCTTCATCCACTGGATCTTCAGCGGAGCAGAGCCGCAGACGTGACACCTGAGACTCAGTTTCTCACCCTCGTCCACCGTCAGCGGCTTGAGGGGGGCGTCGAACACCGGAGGCTTCCTGGCTTCTGCAGGAGAGACGAGACGAGATGTAAAACACCATCAAATATTTGTCTCGTGAGGAGCTCGGAGTAGAGCCGCTGCTCCTCTGGGTCGAAAGGAGCCAGTTGAGGTGGTTTGGGGGTCTGGGGCCTCATTTATAAACGTTGCGTACGCCGCTCTCTACGCAATAATTGGTATTTATAAAAAGCAAACTTGACGGAGAAATGTGCGGTCCTTCACGCAGGCTCGGCCCCATGCGTACGCACAAAAACGGGTGAAATGAGCCGTCGGCAAATGCAAGAAACACACAAACGTGTGAAAGTGTAAAACTAGACTGTTGTGTCTAGAAATGCCAATACTGCCTCTCATAAATAACACGAACACCCGTCTGATCGATCTGCAGTGTAAAACAAACATATACTAATTAACATATTTTCAAAAAGAAAAGTGAAATATGTTCTGCAATAATATGCAATAACAGCTGTTGCTGTCAGATGCAATCAGATGGACGTAACACCAGCCCCTGTGATTGTCTGATTGTTTCCACCCGTGTCCAATCACCTGCACCTCCCAGTGTATTTAAGCAGCGTGTCTCTTGTCACTGGTCGCATCATTGTCTGTTGTCCTGGATGTTCCTGCCTGCCTTTTGCTTTTTGCCCTGGTTCCTAGTTGACGTTTTGCCCCCTTGCCTTTTGCTTTCGTATTTGACTATTAAGTCTATGGAGTCTCCTTCATATTTTAACTTGGGGACCTAGAGAAGGGTGCCAAGTGACACCCCACAAACCAAGACACCCGACCCCGAACGACTCCCCGGGCAAGGAAGTAGAAAGCATTGGTTTAAAAATGACGTGTAGTGTTAATAGTTTAGTTTAGAAAGGTAGTGGGGAACAAGAGCCTAAGAACTGATGCACGTTCTCCACCTGAGATCCCAACGGTGACGTCACAGGAGGCGCTCCCTGCCTCGTAGGAGGCGCGGCAGCTGTACCTTGCCGCTGTCCGCCACCCGGCTGCTCTTGATGCACAGCACAGCCACGTTGCTCTTGAAGCTCACGTCGTATCTGTCGGAGCTGCCGATCTCGCCGTCGTCTTTGAACCAGCTGACAGTGAGGGGCTGCGAGCCGCTGAGGCGGCCCTCCATCTTTACCAGCTGGCCCTCCGTGTCCTCCAGGGTGGCCGAGGGCTTCTTGGTGAACACCGGAGGGTTTTTACGCTCTGAGTAGGAGGAGAAGGCCACGGTGAGGCGGGGCAAGTGTGTTCCCTCCACTCAAAGAAACGCCCCCCGGGGGGGGGGGCTGAGAGTTCAAGGAGGTGGGGGTGAATGTGACCCCGGGTCAAATACCTTTGACGGTGACTTCAGAGGAGCAGGAGTCCTTGCCCACGTCGTTGGCGGCGTGGCAGAAGTATCGCCCCGCGTCGCCTTTATCGGCCTTGAGGATGGAGAGGTGGGCCGTGTTCTCCACGCAGCTCATCTTGTAGTTGCCCCCAGTGCGAATGTCCTTGTGGTCTTTGGACCATGTGACTTTGATGGGGGCAGAGCCGCTCATGTGACACTCCAGCTCAACGCTGTCGCCCACCGTCATGTCCTGAGGGGACAACTTCCTGTCAAAGACTGGGGGGTACCTAGGTTCTGTCCGAGGAGGAGGAGGAGGAAGAGGAGGAAGATGAGTACAAAACAACATTCAGTCCAAAGAGGAACTCCTCCCACCAGCTTCATAGTCATGCAGCAGAGGAAGAACAAGAGGCGGTCAAGTTGAATTAAATAAAAAAGTTCAGATGAAGTGGACGAGAACGGATCAACCTTCCTGACCCTGGACCTTCCTGACCCTGGTCCATGACCTTCCTGACCCTGGCCCATGACCTTCCTGACCCTGGTCCATGACCTTCCTGAACGTCCTGCATAAAAGCAACCAATGAGAAAGCCTCACAGACCTTGCAGAGTGAGCTTGGCTCTGCACGAGGCCGAGCCCACGCCGTTGTTGGCCACGCAGGTGTACTCCCCGGAGTGCCTGGCCTCCCCGCGGCTGATCTCCAGGACGGCGGTGTTGTCGTCGTACAGCATGGAGAGCTCCGCCCCCGGGCTCAGGGGCTCGCCATCCTTCAGCCAGGACACCTCTAAGGGGGAGGAGCCGGCGACGCGGCACTCGAAGCGGACCGGCTGCCCCTGCGTCTGCTGCAGGCTGGTGATCTTCTTCGGGAAGGACGGAGGCGTTTTGGCCTCTGGAAGAGGAGACGTATAAAGAGTTACATTAAGGGACCTTGGTTCCTTGGGGTCTAAAACAGCCCCCTGTTTACCCCTCCACAGCCCCCTGTTTACCCCTCCACAGTGCCCCGTTTACCCCTCCACAGTGCCCCGTTTACCCCTCCACAGTGCCCCGTTTACCCCTCCACAGTGCCCCGTTTACCCCTCCACAGCCCCCCGTTTACCCCTCCACAGCCCCCTGTTTACCCCTCCACAGTGCCCCGTTTACCCCTCCACAGCCCCCCGTTTACCCCTCCACAGCGCCCTGTTTTATCTGCCATCAGCTTCATGCTGCTTCTGTGTATCTGAGGTTTCCAGTCACTCAAGCAGGACGTTTCTGACGTTCAAGAACCAGAACAATCGATGGAGGTTTTGGGTCAGTAGACGTGCCAGATACCCAAAGAAGGGGAGTTTTCATAAGATGTCCCCTTTAAGTGCAACAGTAGTGGGAAGTAAACTTTACTAGTGCTTCATAATGACCCAACTTATTACTTCTACCAACTCTGTTTATCTGACAATATCTGTTGCTTTAACAGCACATTAGATTACAGGGTTTTCAAGTTAAAATCACTTCTTTAGCTTTTAATACAGTAAGAAAAACTAAATATAAATCTGGCAGGAAACTGAAAACTAAGAAAAACAAACAAGAAATGTGTAAGAAAAACAAATATAAACAGTGGAAATAAAAAAGAGATGTTTAATTTAACCGACTAATCCTTGTTGTTGCTTTTTGACTGGTAATTATGTTGGTATGTACATGATTATAAAAACATGCTCAGTGTCTTATCAACTGATTGTCACAGCGTGAAGCGAGTAGCAGTGAACCATGGAAGCACAGCGGCGAGACTGTCATGTGGTCGGAGGAGGCCGATGCTCACCCAGCACATTGAGTTTGCAGGTGGAGGAGGCGGAGCCTATCTGGTTCTCCGCCTTGCAGGTGTACTCTCCGATGTCGGCCTTGGTGGCCTTGCTGAGCTTCAGACAGGCCACGCCCTTCACGTACTCTAGCTTACAGGTGGGGCTGGACCGGACTTTGCCGTCGGCCTTGAACCAGGACACCTTAATCTCAGGTGTGCCCGCCACCTGACACTTGAGACACACGGCGTCCCCGGACGTCACCTCCATGGACTCCAGATGCTCCGCGAAATACGGGGATTCTGAGGCCACAAACAAGAGGAGACACCGGTGAGAAGCCTGAACCCTACTGGTGACTGTGATTGGCTCACAGAGGCGACTCTGTATTGGACCAATGGGCTTTGAGCTGAGCTGCTACTTGTCCTACAGAGATCCAGTGAGTTGAGCTAAGCTAGGCTGTTGACAACAGATGACACAACTCTAAAGAAGATGCAGAGACATTCAAACAGGACTCCATGTTGGAAAAACAGTCAAATACGACGGCCCGAATTCAACGCAATTAACGAAAACACACAGATTCTTTCTGAGATTATAAAGTCACATTTTCCTAAATTTAATTGAATTCGTCAACAAAAAAAGGCGGCGACGCAGCGTTTCCCTGGATCAGCAGCATCGTGTGTGTGTGTCCGCCCCTCCATGTAAAGGTATAATATGAGCTGAGGAGACACGTAATGTCCCTTAGGATGCTTGAGGAGCAGAACTGACCGAGCACGGACACGGCTGCGTAACACGTGTCCTTCCCGGCGTCGTTGGACACCTCGCAGGAGAACCTCCCTGCCGCCTCCCTGTCGTCGGTGCTCAGACACTCCAGGATGCAGGAGCTCTCCGTGGTGGTGATGTTGTACTTGTAGGAGGCAAAGACCTGCTGGCCGTCTTTGAACCACGTCACGGTGATTTTAGGAGTCCCCGTGTACGAGCACTCCAAGGTCAAGGGTTTGCCCTTCTCCACCGACACGTCCTTCAGCCTCTTAGAGAAGGCCGCCGGCTCTGAGAGACAAAGACAGGGTAGTTTACAACAAAGGACATAGACTAGAACCAGGACGTCATCAGAGGGCCGAGTCTAGACCAGAACCAGGACGTCATCAGAGGACCGAGTCTAGACCAGAACCAGGACGTCATCAGAGGACCGAGTCTAGACTAGAACCAGGACGTCATCAGAGGACCGAGTCTAGACTAGAACCGAGGACGTCATCAGAGGACCAAGTCTAGACCAGAACCAGGACGTCATCAGAGGGCCGAGTCTAGACCAGAACCAGGACGTCATCAGAGGACCGAGTCTAGACCAGAACCAGGACGTCATCAGAGGACCGAGTCTAGACTAGAACCAGGACGTCATCAGAGGACCAAATCTAGACCAGAACCAGGACGTCATCAGAGGACCGAGTCTAGACTAGAACCAGGGCGTCATCAGAGGACCGAATCTAGACCAGAACGTCATCAGAGGACCGAGTCTAGACTAGAACAGGATGTTAGAGGACAGTCTACTTTAGAGGACATGATCACCTTTGACGGTGAGATTGACGGGGCAGCTCTCCTTCCCTGCGTCGTTGATGATCTGACAGGTGTACTCTCCAGCGAGAGCTCTGTCCACGGCAGAGAGCTCCAGCAGGACCTGGTTGTCCTTCAGGGAGAACTCGCAGCCTCGTCCAGACTGGATCTCCTTGGCTCCTCTGAACCACTTCAGCCTGAGGGGGGCGCTGCCTTTCACCATGGCAGAGAAGATCACATTGGAGCCGGGCATGGCCTCCACCGACTGAGGAGGCACCACAAAGGACGGGGGTTCTGGGTGGCGGAGGACGGAGACAAGTCAAATGAGACTCTGGCGGACCTGATCTGATACTGGTTTCACTGGAGCAGATTTATCTACGGGTATCAGCATGGCTGTTGATGTACTTTCTGATTGATGTGGTGATCCAAAAACACATCAAAACTTCCCTCAGCCTCTTATATTTCAACAAAGTGAAAGCAGGTTTTTGGACACAGTTTTATCTGTTTAGTGGGGACATTTCTGGAAGTGTTTCAATACGGTTTCACGGTTTGGATTAGAACAATCCCTAATCTGCATATTTACATATTCAGACTATGTAGTATACATATTTTACTGTACCGCCTCTCAGAGGTACATGTTGTACTTTTAGTCAGCTGTAACCGTGTTTGGTGTTTTCCGTGTCTTTCTGACCTTTGACGACCAAGGCGGCGCTGGTGTCACTGGATCCCGCCTTGTTGATGGCTCTGCATTTGTAGGTTCCGCAGTCGGACAGCTTCAGCGTGGACACTCTGAGCGTGCAGCTGTTGTTGCTGAAGGCGATGTCGTGGTTGGGTCCGCTCTGTATCTCCTCCCCGTCGTGGTACCACGAGATGGTGAAAGGCGGAGAGCCCGATACTTTGCACTCCATCTCTCCCGCCGCCCCAACGACTGTGTTGCAATCCTTCAATTTCCTGGAGAATGTTGGAGGTACGATCTTATCTATTGGGGAGTGAAAGCAGACGTTAGAAGATGAAATCCACAAATTCAGCAATATATGAGGAATAACACAGAAAGAAGATATTTTGGTATTATGAGGCACCATATTGGCACTGACTAGTATAAACACATGCCCAGTACTCAAAGAAAGAAGAGGACACCAACCTAAAACTGTGAGACTAATTTTACTCAAGTCCTTCCCGACCTCGTTCATGACTTCAAAGGTATATTCTCCTGAGTCCACTTTCTCAGCGGAAAGAACGTTCAGGCTGGAAATCATCTGAGAAAACGAGATTTTGTATTTCCTCCCTGATGCCAGCTCCACGCCGTCCTTGAACCACTTGTGTGTCAGCTCGGGGGTTCCACACACTTTGACCTCCAAGGCGGCCATGTCGCCCGCCGTCACACTCAGGGCGTCGGGCTTGTCAACTATCTTGGCGGGTTCTGGAATCAACGGAGAAGAAGCAGAACCTTCTTAATCAAACATGCAGCAGAAGAAAGGAGAAACAACTGCATGAGAAAGAGAGAATTATATGATTACAAACCTAAAATAGTCAAGTTAGCGAAACATTCCACACTCCCAGCATCGTTTCTGAGTTGGCAGGTGTATTTGCCTGCCGTGGTTGCATCAGCCTTAAAGACTTTAAGAGCCACCTTGTTGTTCTCAAAGGTGATTTTCCTGTTGTCACCGTCCCTGAGAATGTGATCCGTGTCTTGAACCCAGGACACAGTAATGGGTTCAGAGCCTTTAACAGTGGCCACAAGGGTCACCTCCTCCCCCAGTATCACCGTCATGTTTGACAGTTTCTTCACAAACGACGGCGGCTCTGAAGAGGAGACAAACAGCGCAAAAGGGAAAGTCAGCAGGTGACAAAGTGACCTGGAAATCTATACTTCTGATTTTCATTTCAGACTAACGCCATTTCTACTGACCTCTGAGTCTAACTGACGTCTGGCAGGTGTCACTTCCTACACTGTTTGACACTTTGCACTCGTACTCGCCGGCATCTGAGGACTCTATCCCAATGACATACAGCGTGGCCGAGCTCCCCTCGCTCACCATCTTATACTTCCTGCTTTCCATCAGAGGTTTCCTGTCTTTGAACCAGGTGACCTGGAACGGAGCTGTGCCGCTCATCTCGCAACACAGACTCGCGTCTTTACCCTTCAGCCCTTCAACTGGCTGAGGTACTTTGACAAAAGATGGAGGGTCTACGAAAAGATCGGCAAAGTGTTAAGAGGCATTCGTGGTCAAAATAATCCTTGAGTAAATCTGAAGCTGAAACCCGCAACATTGCATGTGTAGTAACGCTCTATGTTTAACTAATGTTACAAGTTTAACTTATGTTTTAACTAGCTTGTACTTTATTCTTTTGTTAACTGACTCCGTCGCACTCTGAGATCTGTTGATCTGTTGATGAAGGCTGCGTTATGAATCAAATGTATTATTATTAATAGTGACAAAACTCCTGAGATGGTAGAAAACTTTTATTAAAAACTAGGACTATTCTATTATTCTAGGACTAGGGATGGTGTAAACTATGATTAAGGTGGTGTTTGTAAGGGGGTGTAAACTATGATTACGGTGGTGCTTGCAGGGTGGTGTAAACTATGATTACGGTGGTGCTTGCAGGGTGGTGTAAACTATGATTAAGGTGGTGTTTGTAGGGGGTGGTGTAAACTATGATTAAGGTGGTGTTTGTAGGGGGTGGTGTAAACTATGATTAAGGTGGTGTTTGTAAGGGGGTGTAAACTATGATTAAGGTGGTGCTTGCAGGGTGGTGTAAACTATGATTAAGGTGGTGTTTGCAGGGTGGTGTAAACTATGATCACGGTAGTGTTTGCAATGGGCGGTGTAAACTACGATTACGGTAGTGTTTGCAATGGGCGGTGTAAACTACGATTACGGTAGTGTTTGCAGTGGGTGGTGTAAACTACGACTAAGGTGGTGTTTGCAGGGGGGGTGTAAACTACGATTAAGGTGGTGTTTGCAGGGGGGGTGTAAACTATGGTTAAGGTGGTGTTTGTAGGGGGTGGTGTAAACTATGATTAAGGTGGTGTTTGTAGGGGGTGGTGTAAACTATGATTAAGGTGGTGTTTGTAGGGGGGTGTAAACTATGATTAAGGTGGTGCTTGCAGGGTGGTGTAAACTATGATTAAGGTGGTGTTTGCAGGGGGTGGTGTAAACTATGATTAAGATGGTGTTTTCATGGTGGTGTAAACTATGATTAAGGTGGTGTTTTCAGGGTGGTGTAAACTATGATCACGGTAGTGTTTGCAATGGGCGGTGTAAACTATGATTACGGTAGTGTTAGCAGTGGGTGGTGTAAACTACGATTAAGGTGGTGTTTGCAGGGGGGGGTGTAAACTATGGTTAAGGTGGTGTTTGTAGGGGGTGGTGTAAACTATGATTAAGGTGGTGTTTGTAGGGGGGTGTAAACTATGATTAAGGTGGTGCTTGCAGGGTGGTGTAAACTATGATTAAGGTGGTGTTTGCAGGGGGTGGTGTAAACTATGATTAAGGTGGTGTTTTCAGGGTGGTGTAAACTATGATTAAGGTGGTGTTTTCAGGGTGGTGTAAACTATGATCACGGTAGTGTTTTCAATGGGTGGTGTAAACTATGATTACGGTAGTGTTTGCAGTGGGTGGTGTAAACTATGATTAAGGTGGTGTTTTCATGGGGGTGTAAACTATGGTTGAGGTGGTGTTTGAAGGGTGGTGTAAACTATGATTAAGGTGGTGTTTGTAGGTGTGGTGTAAACTATGATTAAGGTGGTGTTTGCAGGGTGGTGTAAACTACGATCACGGTAGTGTTTGCAATGGGCGGTGTAAACTACGATTACGGTAGTGTTTGCAGTGGGTGGTGTAAACTACGATTAAGGTGGTGTTTGCAGTGGGTGGTGTAAACTACGATTAAGGTGGTGTTTGTAGGGGGTGGTGTAAACTATGATTAAGGTGATGTTTGCAGGGAGGAGGGTGCAAGCTATGATTAAGGTGGTGTTTGTAGGGTGGTGGTGTAAACTATGATTAAGGTGGTGTTTGCAGGGAGGAGGGTGTAAACTATGATTAAGGTGGTGTCGCAGGGGGTGGTGTAAACTATGATCAAGGTGGTGTTGCAGGGGGTGGTGTAAACTAGGTATTCCAGTTTTAAGCAATACAACAAAGCTTTCGTGAAAACGCCAACAACATGCTGAACTGCTGCTGCATCGTGAAGTCGGACCATTGATGAAGAACAGTAGGAGGTCAGTGACGTGCTGACCTTTAACGGTAACCGTGCTGCTGCAGCTCACACTGCCAGCATCGTTCTGAGCTTCACAGGTGTAAACTCCATCATCGTCAAAGCCGGCAGAGAGCAGTTCCAAGACTGCTACCGTGTCAACAAAGGATGTCCTGCAGTTGACCCCGTCTGTGATCTTTGTGTCCTGTTTGTACCAGGTCACCTTCAGAGGGACAGTGCCGCTGGCTTTGCACTCCAGCCGGAGCAACTCTCCCTGCTTCACAAACTTAACGGCAGGGAGTTTCAGCACAAACTCGGGTGGTTCTGAAAAGCCGAAATACAGACATATTAGCTGCTGGAAGATGTAGGGTCACTTAGAACTAGAAGGTTACAACAGGAACGAGCTGACAATGATGAGGTTAGGCTGTGGACAACGCGGGTGCATCAACAAACACTTGACACGATGGTTTCACAAAAACTTGACAACCACTTGTTCTGCAGATGTGAGATGAAGGAGATGATTTAAAAGATGCAAGTCCAACCTTTGACGGTAAAGTCTGCACTGCAGCGTACAGAGCCGGCGTCGTTACTGACTTGGCAAGAGTAAACTCCACTCTGGGTGACGCCCACCGAGTAGAGCTCTAAGAAGCAAGACAGCCCCTCCAGCCCCATGAAACAAGTGGGCCCGGCCATGAGCTCAGAGTCGTCTTTTAACCATTTGACCGTGAAGGGAGGCGTTCCCTTAAATGTGCCTTTGAAGCGCACAGTGCCATTTGGCAGAGCCACCTGGGACTCGGGCGGTGTCACAAAGCTGGGCGGTTCTGAAGAGAACAAGACGGACGGCGTTAAAAGAGGTACTCACCTTTGATTTGGGATTGCACCACAAATCAAGTGGTAGATCAAGAGCTAACCTTTAACCGTGAGGGACGCTCTGCCTTCACAGATCCCCGCTGCGTTGGTCAGTTTGCAGGAGTAGGATCCTGCGTCAGATCTCTCCAGCTGTTCCATTTCAACAGACACAGAATTGTCCTGCTGAATGAGTTTGTGTTTCACACCACTAAAGATTTTGGTCCCGTCTTTCTGCCACTCCACAGCGATGGGAAGGGAACCAGATATTTTGCAACATATCTGAACAAAGGAGCCCAATATCTCCTGAATGTCTACCAGGGGCTGGATGAAGCTTGGGGGAATTACTTGTTCTGTCACCAAAAGAATAACAAGAGTCATCAGGCTTTATTCAACATCTCGCTGTGTAAGTTTTATGTTCCTCACACCAACCTAGTACGATCACTTTGACTTTGCAGTTGCAGCTGCTGATGTGGTTTGACACCTCGAAGACGTACTCTCCTTCGTCCTCTTTCTGAGCCGACTGAAGCTTTAGCCTGCTGATGTTGTTCTCAAAGACCAGCTTGTGCTGTCTGATGGACTGAAGCGCCCTGCCATCTTTCATCCATTTGACCGTGAGCTCCGGGGAGCCCGTCACCTTACAGTCCAGACTGAATGGATCTCCCACTGTAACCTTTATCACTTCAGGCTTCTCTGTGATCTGAGGAGGTTCTACAATGTAAAACAAAGTCAAGATTCACACGTTTTCTCACAGTTAGGACCATGGAAAGCTTTGATACCATGATGAGGTAAGCACATGTATACCTTGGACCGTCAGGGTGGCAAAACATTTATCCTGCCCGGCCTGGTTTACCGCCTGGCAGGTATATTTCCCGCTGTGTGTCACCTCGCAGGAGGGAATCCTGAGAGTAGCCACATTGTTCTCAAATGTTCTCCCAATCTTTGGATCCTCCAAGATCCAGTTCTCATCTTTCTGCCATTGCACAGAGAGAGTGGGAGAACCCTCCACGACACACTGAAACTCGGCCATTTTACCCACAACAGTGTCAGTGTTCTCAATCCTCGTGGTAAACACTGGTGGTTCTGTTAATGTTAAAGCAAAGGGTCAGCTATTACCTCAACGTAACAAGAAACAGGGATTTGAAATTCTGATTAGACTAACCTTTGAGGTTTAGCGTGGTCTTACAAGTACAGCTTCCCACCTCATTAGCAACAGTACACTGGTATTCACCGACGTCTGCGGCGTCACACTTGTGTACCTCTAGACCCACAGTGTTGTTGATCAGGGAGAAGCTGTGTTTGGCACTGGGTTTGATTTCCTTTGCATCCTTGTGCCATGTTATCTCAAAAGGAACAGACCCATTCAACAGAGACTCAAAACAGGCACTACAGCCCTTCACAACATCAGCGGGAAGCAGCTCTTTCATGAATGATGGCGGTTCTGAGATGAGAGGGAACAAACTGTCACCCAACTACTTCTCAACAGTCACATTTCTAAATATTTAAAGCACAACAATTTAACAGCAATCTGTTGACTCAGGTAGATTATGGACAAAGCCAATTGTTAAAATGAAATCTTTCATTTAAGGTCTTAACTGAAATAAATGCCAATACAGTTCTTTCCAGCCAAATAGCTAGAAAAGCACTACATCCAGTAGTATAGTCTTAAAAGTCCTGCCCAATGAGCCTCACGTCCCCTGACACGACTGACCTTTGACCTTGAGCTCCATGCTGCAGCTCTCACTGCCAGCCTCGTTGCGAGCCTCGCAGTAGTAAAGCCCGCTGTCTTTGGTATCAGTGCAACAGACCTCCAGCGTGGCCACGCAGTCAACAAAGAGCAGCTTGTGCCGCTCGCTGGGGCTGATCTCAGAGCCTTCCCTGAACCAGTAGATGTCTATTTCAGGTGTGCCAGTCACCTGGCATTCAAACACTTTACTCTGACCGGGACGGACCACGGACAGACGAGCCGGGGTTCGTGTGAACTTAGGAGGCTCTGAGAAACAAAGAAAAAAGATAGACGTGACCATTGGAAGGACAGAGAGGGGACGACTAGGACCTCCGTGATGTTGACAATGTCTCCATTCAACTGTCGTTGGACCATTTGAAAAGAGTGGGTGTGTTTCTATTCTATTTCTATTCTGTTGTTTTGTCAATATCCTGAAGCAAAACAAGATGCCTTGTTATGTGGCACATTAGCCTCCCAAGCTAACTAGCACAAAAATCCATAATTAAATGCCACTTTAGCTTCCCAACAATCACATTTTAATGAAAACACTAATAACTGTGAAGTGAATGCTCCATCAAAAGGGGGTCCCATCGTCAGGTCAAAGGAGAAGGACCCAATTCTGGATGCAAAATTCTGATCGAGAGATGGATGGGACATATTTACCGACTCAGACATAAAGCATATATTGACCTTTGACAAAGAGCGCTGCCTGGCATGAGGTGGAGCCCACGTCGTTCCGTATTTCACAGACATAGTCTCCAGAATCAGAGGTCTTAGTGAAGAAGAGCTCCAGTGAGCTTGAGGTGTTGTCTTTGACCACAGAGCAGTCGGCACTGGATAAAATCTCTTTCTTGTTTTTAAACCATCTGGTGGTCAGCGGAGGCGTGCCACAGACCAACACGTTAAACTGGACTTTGGAGCCAGGCAAAACGTTCATGGAATCAGGCTTTTCAAGAATGCATGGTGGTTCTAGGAGAGAAAACAATGTAATGAGCTTGTAATAGCTGCATATATAACAAAGGTCCTTTACAATGTGTAGCTGAACTTTGATGAGAGCCATCCCAATAAATACCACAAACCTTTAACAAACAAGTTCCCGGAGCACTGCACTGTTCCTGCTTGGTTTCGAGCGATGCACGTATAGCTGCCGCTGGCTTTACTGTCCAGATTGGAGATTTCCAGAAAAGCGACATTCTCAAAGAACGTGCATTTGTGTTTCTCATCAGTCTGCATCTCTTTCTCATCTTTGTACCACTGAATGGTTATCGGCAGGGAACCGGAAACGAGACACTCCAGATGAGCGAACGATCCTTTGATACCTTCCGTCGGCTTCAGTTTTCTCGTAAAAGATGGTGGAATTATTTGATCTAATATTGTTGGGAGAGAATTAGGTAAGAAGCGACGTTCAAAGCATGCTGCATTTAAACAAAACCTTTGTTCCTGGCAACAGCATCAAGGACTGACCCAGAATGGTGACTGTGGCCTCGCAAGAGCTTTGTCCAACATCGTTTGACACCTCGAAGGTGTAGTCACCACTGTCCCTTTTCTCAGTTTTAATAATCTTGAGCACCGAGCTGGTGTCCGTGCCATGTACTTTATATCTCTGGCCTGATATCAGCTCCTTGCCAGCTAGAAGCCATCTGGCCTTCAGCGGCTTTGTGCCCAAGAAGCGGGTCTCCAGCGTGGCCGGATCCCCCTGAGTCACACTGATGGACTTAGCCTCCTCCGTCACCTTGGCCGGCTCTGAGACGTCAGACAACACAGTGAGCACAGATTCTCTGATCACGTTTACTAACTAACGATGCTAAAGATGCGTTCGGTCATTATCAACTCATGAAAGGATCACGTGACAGTTGAGTCCCACGCTTGTGTTGAGGTGACCGCTGTTCGACGCTGAATCCATCCCCAAAGAGACACTGTGAGGAGCAATGGAGGCCAAACACTCCACGATGGACACATCACTGGTGATGAAGAGAACTAAGCCTTGTGGCCATTTGACTCACTGACTTCCAGGAATCCCACAATGTTCCATTTCATGAGTTGATAAGAATCGCCCGAACACCCTCCAGGAACTAGTCCTGAGTTCTCAAGGTAGCTCAACCAACCTTTGACTGTCAGCACTGCGGAGCACGTCTGGCTCCCGGCCTGATTCTGGGCCTGGCAGGAGTATTTGCCTCCGTGTTTGCTCTGCAAGCCGGTGAAGTGCAGCAGAGCTGCGTTGTTCTCGTACGTGATCCGAACGTGTTCAGCCTCTTTGACTTCGTGGTTGTCTTTGGTCCAAGACACGGTCATGGGCTCTGAGCCCTTCAGAGCGCACTGCAGAGAAACATTGCTGCCAACCAAGGAGCTGAGGTTCTCCAGTTTTCTCACAAATGACGGTGGTTCTACAGAGAGACATTTTGTATGAGTATTATTGGCATCTCTGTGAAGGTTAAGTCTCTACTGCAAGAGCGGTGCTCCTAAGAGACTTATGGAAACATTTTAGAAACAGTGCTACCGTGTTCAGCTGGTGAACAGCCAATGCACCAAGTCAAATTCCTTTATGTCTAACATATGTGGCAATAATAATATATGTGGCCGCTTCTGAAAAAATAATTTGTTATCAAGGAACTGAACAATCAGAAAGATTGGCTCCTATCAGCGGAATCAGGGTGGAATGGGGGTGCTGTTTTGTGTCGTGGTTTCGTTCCAGCTTCTAGTTTCAATGTAGTGTGTTCAGTGGGGGGTTAAAGACATGTAAACCAACCTTTGAGTGTTACTTGAAAATCACAGGAGGACTTCCCCACTTCATTCTCAACAGTGCACTGGTACAAGCCCACGTCTGCTGCCTCAACGGCTAGCACCTGCAGGGCTATGAGGTCGTCCTTCACAGTGATCCTGTGTCTCTTGTCGTTTCTGATCAGCTTTGTGTTCTTATAAAACAACACGGTGAAAGGGGAGGAGCCAGAGACCTGGCCCTCCACCATCATTTCGGTGCCTTTCACCACATCTCTGGGCTCCATGCTACGCACAAACAACGGCGGCTCTAGAAAAGATCAGCGGGTGTGTCAGCTTGTTACACTGGACCGCACGAGAGGGATCAAAAAGTGAAAGAATGCACTGGCATTTCACTGTGACGTTGAAAATGCTTGTGTTGATTTACTTTTCAGCGCTAATGACGGTCAAGACCTCCGCAACGTTTACCCAACGGAGAGGCAAGTGGCATTCATGTCTCATGACAATAAATGCTGATGATTTGTCATTTAAACCAAAGCGCAGAAAGTGTCTTCAATGTCACAGTAAAAGTGGGAGTAGACTAAATCACAGGGACCAACCTTTGACCGTGACTGTGCTGCTGCAGCGGTCACTACCGGCCTCGCTGGCTGCCACACAGACGTAATCGCCACTATCCTCCACCGCACACTTCATTATCTCCAGAGACGCCACTGTGTCAGTGGAGGCCATTGTGTATTTGGGACTGGAGCTGATCTCCCTCTCGTCCTTGAACCATTTGAAAGTGACCACGGGGCTGCCCGTCGCTTTGCACTCCAGCTTGGCGGAGTCGCCGGCGGTGACGAGCTTGGTCGCCTCGAGCCTCGTCACAAACAAGGGAGGTTCTGAGAGAAGAGGTCACCAAGTCGTTATCAAAAAGAAGACATGTGTTAGTATCAAAAGAGTCATTTTCAGGACAGGCACCTTTCACAAAGAGGACCGCGGTGCAATCCACCTTCCCGGCATCATTGGACACTTGGCAAGTGTACTGGGAGGAGTCACTGGGTTTCACAGAGTTGAGCTCTAGAGAGCTCGAAGAGGCATCTTTCTTTATGAAATATGAGCCTCCGCTTGTGATCTCTTTCTCCTCTCTGAACCACCTTACAGCTAAAGGAGCCGTTCCAGTGAAAGCTGTCCTGAAGGACACGGTGGTTCCCGGTATAGTATCCTGGTTCTCAGATGTCACTGTGAACACTGGCGGCTCTGGAGGCCACGAACGAAAACAGAGTGCATTTAATGTTAGCATGCAATCGGTGACACAAGAAACTGAGGCACAACATAAGCAGAGCATTGGTAACCTTTGACATAGAGCGTGCCGCTGCTTTCCTTAAAGCCGGCTGAATTGGAGGCTCTGCATTTGTAAACTCCAGAGTTGGCCTTCTCCAGCCGTGTGATTCTCAGCGAAGCAGAACTGTCTTTGAATTCAGGCTGGAATTTGGATCCTGGTGTGACTTCCTGGTCATCTTTGAACCAGGCTATGGTCATGGGCTGGGACCCAGACACTTTACAATCCATGGAGACGTCGTTACCAAGGTTACCGTCGACCCTTTTCAGGGACTTGGTGAAAGTTGGAGGCATTATCCGATCTGGTTGTTAAAGAAAAAACATCTCATGCATTAACATTTTCACTCAGCTAAAATCCAGAAGGAAACATCTTTAACTGCAATTAATGTCCTCTGCAATGTTTAGATGAAAATACTTTATATTAATGTTGGTCCCAAAAGGTGTGTTGAAGTTGATTTCCTTTTGGTTAGCAACATAAATAACTAGAGAATGTGGAAGTAAGATGTTCAGGTCCTAAGACTTGTCATGGCATAACTAACCCAAGATTGTGACTGAGCACGTGCACTGGTCTTTCCCGACTTTATTCGACACCTCCATCCTGTACTCTGAAGTGTCTCCTCTTTCTGCCGTTAGAATCTTCATGGTGGCCACATTGTCTTTGAGACTCATCTTGTATTTACGGCCGCTGATCATCTCCTTGTCGTCTTTAAACCACTTCACTTTCAGGTCTGGGCTTCCTGAGATAGTGCACTCCAGCGTGGCAGAATCCCCTGCAGTCACACTAATGGACTCTGCTGGTTCTAGGATTTTGGCGGGTTCTGGGATAAGACACGGTTATTATATTATGAGAGAATAGACACGAGAAGCTACAGAACTCCACACAGCATCTACGCATCAGAGACGTTAACTGACCTTGCACGGTCAAGGACGCTTCACATTTTTGCTGGCCGGCCTCGTTCTCAGCCTGGCAGCAATACTTGCCGCCGTGACTGATGGCCACTGTTGTTACGGACAAGCTAACAACGTTGTTCTCAAACGCAATCTTGATGTTTGGATCGTCGTCTCTGAGTACCTCAGAGTCTTTTGTCCATTTAACAGAGATGGGAGCCGAGCCCTTGACGGTCCCCTGCAGTTTCACTGTATTTCCCACCACGGCCGTGGCACTCTCAACCCTCTTTGAAAAGGTTGGTGGCTCTACAAGTTCATTTTGAGAGTTAAAAACCAGAGTTTGAAGAACAAGATTAAACCTCAGTGAATAACATAAACTCAGGTTTACCTTTAAGCTTAGCTAGGGCCTTAGTCGTGACTTTGCCCACATCATTGGATACGACACACTGATAATCTCCAACATCTGCACTATCAAAGGTCTGGATCTGCAGCCTCAACGAGGTATCCTGGACGATTATTTTATACTTCTGGTCGCCGGAGATGGCTTTCTTATTTTTCAACCAGCTGATTTCAAAGGGAGCTGTTCCTGAGATATCACACTCCAGTTGAGCAGCAACTCCCTTCACCGTCTCTACGGTCTGCAGCTCTTTCCTAATGGATGGTGGTTCTGGGTGTCAAAACAGTAAGTGAAGCGTATGAAATATGAAGCGTATCAAGTTCTTTGAATTGATCAGTTAGTGTAAGCAAAAACGTTTGACAAACCTTTAACAGCTATAAGAGTGTTGCAGCTCTCGCTGCCGGCATTATTCGACACCTCGCACGTGTAGGTGCCGCTGTCTGTGACCACAAGGTTCTTAATCTCCAAAGAGCAAACGCCGCTTTTTAAAGAGGTTGTATATTTCTCTCCATCGCTGAGCACTCTCTCATTCCAGAACCAGTGGATGCGAAGTTCTGGTGACCCTTTAATGGTGCACTGTAAGCGTGCAGCTATCCCTTGTTTCCAGGTAATCTTAGGTTCCAGTTTCCTAACAAAGGCAGGGGGCTCTGAAAGTGTTTAATACAGTGTCAAACGAGAAACAGGGAAAAAAGAAACCACAATAAGCAAGACAGAAAAGGGGAAAAAAGAAATTCAAAAGAAAGACGTTAGAGTAAGCTGGCAATCAGCTAAGAACAGCTGTTATCCATTTGCTCAATGGAAAGATCTTCTTGAGGATCTTACCTTGAACAGTTACCACAGCCTCACAGGACGAGCTCCCGGCCTCATTTGTGGCTGTGCACACATATTTCCCAGAGTCCTTCAGCTTGGACTTGGGAATGTCAACAATAGCCACCTTGTCCTCAAAGGACAGCTTGCAATCCATGCTCTGGTGGACTTTTTTGCCATCCCTGGTCCAGGTAATAGTCACACCGGTGTCCTCGTCCACCTGGCCCTCCAGCCTCAGAGGGTCGTTGACGGCAGCTGACACCGGCCCAACGGTCTTAACAAAGCTGGGCTTGTTGATAACCTTGAGCTCTGTGGTAAAGGTAGCAGTGCCAACGCTGTTGGATGCCTTGCACAGGTACGCTCCCTGGTCAGCCAGTTCAAGACTCTTAATGAGAAGGGAGTACTTGTTCTTTTCACATTTCATGACATAGTTCCCTCCCGAGGAGATGGCTATGTTGTCCTTGTGCCAGACAACTTCCATAGGAGAGGATCCAGTGAGTGAGCACTGCAGCACGGCTGGTTTGCCCACGTATAAAGTCATTGGGTCTGGATTTGATACAAATACCGGCGGGTACATTTCTATGGAGAACAGGTAGAACATACAAATAAGTTCAACAAATATAAAAAAGGGGACAACACACCAACCTAAAAAGTATCTCGAGCAGCCTCAACTTGATGATCAATGTAGGTTTAAACAAAACGTGATCCTCAACCTCTTCAAATCTCGCCCAACTTGACACAAGATCCAATTCATGTACAAGTCACCGCTTTTGAATTCCACTATCATGATTCAGGGAAAAACACATTGCAAATATATAATTCTCTCTCTCTCAAACATACCCATTTGTGATGCCAAGCTTTAAAGATAAAAACAATTGTCCCACTGGGTCTTACCGGTGACGATGAGCATGGCGGTGCAGCTGTCAGTGCCGTGTTGGTTTGTAGCCTTGCAGCTGTATTCGTTGCTGTCGGCTTTGATCGGGTTTAGGAGCTCCAAGGAGGAACTGGTGTGGCGGCTGAGGATCCTGAACTTCTCACTCTGCTTGATCTCGATGCCGGACTTGTACCATTTGAAGGTCACACTCGGAGCCTCCTCGATTTCACACTCGAACTTGGCGTGACCACCGATGTTTATCTCCAGAGGGATGATTTTCTTCCTGAAGACGGGCGGCACTGAGGCACACGCGGACAGAAAGGGTTAAAGTTACTCACGGAATCCACAAAGCTCATGATAAAGTGAACAACTGACAGGAACTGCAATGGTGAAATGTACAGCAATGGTGGAAATAGGAGTGACTGTGGAGGAGGAAGTAAAAGCAAGAACATTAGCCCCGTGGTTTCACAAAAGTCTGGTATCACTGTACGTGATTATCATGGGGCTAGGGTTCAGGCTAATAGGAGGAGAAACAAAGATGTGAAAGATGAAGCATTGTCATTCCCTGGAAGCATGCAGAGAAAGAGATGTGGGGAGGAAATGGACCTAAAGAAATGTGACAGACCATGAGTTTATCCATTAACATCAACATGCCAAAGTGACCATGAAAAAGAAACAAGGTTGCCGTAGGACCAGGATCATGACAACCATTACTGGCTATGAAGGTCCCAGTCTTCGGCCAATATTTAACCACACAATGATGTGGAACAAACAAGACACAGTGAGTTAGTACCATCCGGTGCCCCGCTCAGGGGGTTCATGCCGATCTATGAAATGAATAAAGACACCAGAACGACGGACGTCTTAAATGAACCGATTGGTGTGAATGATTAGTCATTCTCAGAGAAAGTGAAAGTGAATATGGATGAATGACATACTAAGTTTTACTGTTGTCAAACCTCTTGAGACCACAGTGAGTCTTGAAGACGTTGAAGTCCTGCCGGCTTCATTCTCAGCCTCACAAACATATTCTCCTTGATGTCTCTCCTTGACAACTTTGTTGATAACCAATGTGTATGTGTCGTGGTCTTTGGAACACTTGAACTCTTTGCCAGATTTCACCAATTGCCCATTGAAAAGCCAGTTTACCTTTGCGACGTACTTAATGGTGGTACTAAAAGTTATCTCACTATCTTCCTCAATGGATAAGTCCCCGAGAGACGTGACTATTACAGGGTATTTTCTCTGCTCTGCTACGGTGATCTCCTCTTTAAAGGTGTCCTCCCTGTGCTCCTGCTGGATGCTCACATCCACCACCTGGGGGACAGTGGTTGGAGGCAAGATGGCCGTAACAACGGCCGCCCCTACGTCTTTCTCGGTGCTTTTCACCGCCACCGACTTCATTTCCTGCCTTGACGACTGCTCAAAAGACACACGCGACTCTGTGGAGACTTTGACCTGTGACAGAATGCATTGTTCCATCGTTGCAGCCTTAGATTCCTGCACCATAACCTGTTGCTCAGCTGCAGCACTTTGCACTGGCATTTTAGACTCTATCTTTAGTGCAGCAGACAGAGATTTGACAGCCGTAAAGTCAACCACACTCTCCGCCACGCTCACAGTCTCTACTGTGGATGATAGTATTTGCTTAGAGTGGGCCGAGGTGACCTGCGCCCTCTGAGGTCTGTCTAGCTGCATAGTGCCCGGCTGCTCCGAGGTAAGAACATGGGCTTCTTCATAAACCATAGAGTGAAAAGCTGCCTGCAGTTCGGTCCGAAGATCAGCTGTCTGGGGGTATTCACCCTCAAAAGCCAGAGTGATCTCCACGGGCGCACTTGTTGTTGTGATGAGGTACGTAAACTTGGCCCACTTGGGCTCCCTCTGAACCTTGACTTCTAGTACCTCTAAAGCCTGTATCCTTCCCACCACGTCAGCGAGCAGCACTGGCTGCTCGCTGGCCGTGGCGGACTGGAGTGCATCTCTGAGCTGACGCCGAATATTCAGACCTAAGGGTTTGGGGATCTGAATGACAAAGGTCATCTCTTTGGGAAGAGCGGTACTGTCTTTCGATTCCGATGCGCCGAGGGAGAGTTTTGGTTGCGTAGTGACAACGACTTTGGAGGAATCACACGTGGCGATTTCCAGAGAGAGCTCACCGGTAAGCACTCGCTTCTCGTCCATTGCTATGGACTGCCTGATGGACTGTCCCTCCTGGATCTGAACAGCAAAGTCCTGCTCTGCAGCCTCTAGAACGACACTACTCTCGGTGGAAATCTCCTTCTCCTCCATCTGCACCGGCTCTGCAGGGAGTTTTGGCTCTACCGCCATCTGGCAGGTGAAATTATCCACGGCCATGAGATTCTCGGCGTGGCCCTCCTCTAAGGCCCGGCTGTCGGCCACACTGGGGACAAGCATTGCGTTTGAGCGATCCTCCTTCTGCACCAATGCTCGCTGCGGCTTGAGGTCAGCGGTAACAGGTGTCTCCTTTGGCAGCTGCAAGGGCTGGAAGGAGAGCTGGAGAATGTTCTGAGGCCTAGGCTCGGTCCGAAGTTGAGACTGAATGCCTGTCACGGACTGATCCAGCTCTGTGTGATAATCCGCCGTGAGCACCCTCCTTTCCTCCGAGGTGGCCGCAAGACTTCGCGTCTTTTCTTGTTTCTGTGCCGCCACCTGTTGGTCAGGCTCCTCAGTCACGAGGATGCCCTCCTTGGGTAGTGCCTCCACAGGTTGTGATAATTGGAGATGCAGTAGAGTGGGATCCACTTTCTGGGGCTGGATGGTCATGGTGCTGGCCTTGGCCTCAAACTCTAAGGTGTCCTCGTAAACCATCGTCGTCTGCTCATCTTGGGTGACAGTGTGCAGCAGTGTTGGACTCTTTCTGGCCCCTGCCTGCTCTGGTGTTGGTTTCTCACAGGTGAAGCTCTTCTCAGATGGGAGTAGGTCCTGGTCTGTGATAACCTGCAGGTGCAGCAAATGCTCTTCTTCTAGGTGGGACTGAATGGACATGGCGCTGTCCAGACTTGGCAGCTGCTGAGAAGGCTCAGCCTGCAGCATTTGCATCTCTTCAGCGGTCAGAGCTGTCTTCATTGGTTTGTCCTTACAGACATGGGCCGTCTCCTCACTTGGCCTGGTCATGGAGAACTTGATCTCCTTAGAAAGAGTCTGTTTGGACTCGCTGACTGACGCCAAGACGAGACGGTGCTGCTCTTTCCCTGCAGAGGACTTCACAGCAGAGTCTGCTGTTGCCAGTTCAGTTGTGTGGCACTCTGCGAGCACCCTTTTCTCTGCCGACTGGAGTGAGTATAAGATCTTAACGCCTTCTTTAACCTTATAACTCTTCTCCTCCTGTTGTTTGGGGATTTTGAGAGCCTCCTCTTTTAGGATGGGCAGCTGTGACTCAACCTGATGCCCGCTGACTAGATGTTTAGGCTCTGAAGTGGGCCTGACAGCGGCAGACTTCCCGGCCGCCAGGGGCTCTGTGCCGGCAGTAGAAAGTGAGGTGATCTCTTCGGCGACAGCCGACATCAGCACTGACCTCTTTTCTCTGACTGCCCGCAGCTCAGCGACCTCTGGGCTCTGAATGCGATCACAGTGCTGCTCCGTGAAGTCCAGGCTCTCCTCAACGGACGACGTAAATGCCGCCGCGTGGAGCTGTTTCCCTGGAACAGCCGAGATGTGAGGGGGGCGTGTGGGAACCACTGAGACCCTCTCCTCCACCTCGTGAGTCTGAAGCACCGCCGCCTGGTGGGTCAGCTGCTCGCGATGAACGGTGGCGGCAGAGATTTCAAGCTCTCCGATGGAGCCCACCTGCTCGCTGGGAATTATCTGCCGGTCTTCGGTGCCGATAGTGTAAACCATTGGATCCGACTTGCTTCTGTCCTGGCCCGGCAGGCTGACTTGGTACAAACGAGACTCTGTTGCTTGTTCCGTCAAGGAAACCTTATAGCTTTTCTTCTGAACCGTCGTCAGCTGCTCCTGTTTGTGAGAAACTGAGATGGACGCTTTGAACACATCCAACTCGGCACTGCAGGAGGCCTCCCCGAACTGGTTGGAGGCCTTGCATGTGTACAGGCCACTGTCCTCCTGTTTTACACTCTGAATATTGATGATGCCGGATCCATCCGGGTTGGCTGTAACGACACAGTTTCTACTTGGCTGGATCTGAAAAGCTCCCTTGAACCACTTCACAGCAGGTATCGGATCCCCGCTGACTTTGTAGTTAAAAGAAACCGCCCCTCCTTCTGAGCACCTGGCAGGCTGGATTTGAACTGGGAAAGTAGGAGGCTGACCTGTGACCTTAAACATCTTCTCTACCCATTTCTCTGCCTGGCTAATGTCTGACTTTTTCACCTCGAGGTACGCGGTGCACGTCGTCTGACCAAATCGGTTGGAGGCGGTGCAGCAGTACTCGCCCTCATATTCCGATGTGACCTTTGTGATCACTAGCGAGTACTCCTCCTTCTCCTCTATCAGCTTGTAAACGGAGGAGGTCTCGATGACCTTCCCGTCGCGAGACCACCGAACGGTCGGCTTCGGGAGGCCGGACACTCTGACGGTGAACCTGGCCGTCTCCCCAGCGGTCACAGCCGACGGGGAGAGCTGGCTGAGGAAAACTGGCTTTTCTTTTTTCTTCTCTAAAGAGGAAGAGTAACGTTTTGACTCTGACTTGAGCTCAAGTGTTTTAGTTGTCTGTGGTAACTGGACACCGGTGAAGTAGGTTTCCTCTTGTTCCTCCACAGTGGTGACGATGGTGCTACAACGTTCTGTCAGGAAATAGTGAGCGAGACTGATAACAATGTCCACAACATATAAGCTGTAAAATTAACATTTATTGATAAAAGCAACACTTGACGGCCGTCTTTTCCCACAAAAGGTCCACAAATAGACATCAGGTTTTCTCCAATCAATAATAAATGTCAACAAAATAGATCAATTTAATCTAGTTTATTTCTTATATTACTTAAAAGCTAAATGACCTGTAATGTAAAATAAACTCATCTCAGTTTAGTCCCAGATTACCTATTAGTTGACTAGGTGATTAAGAGATGACAGCGCTAATACATGTATATTAGAGTTTGTGTGAAGAGATGCTTTGATATAAACATGTTATGAGAATATAATTGGGGTTTTTCCCCCCAAATGTATAGATCCTTTTGTATTTTCTTTCTGGTAATATTTCAGAATTTAACTATTTTGCTATTCGATTCCCTTAGTCACCAATTGATTCAAATTAATTTTAGGACAAATGTTTGTCAAGTAGCTTTATTTCCCAAAACTGAAAGAAAACTAAATCCGCTAA